GCTCTCCTCCTGAGCAGAGCGAGGCCTCTGCTCCCTGCAGGCCTGGGAGAGGGAGTGCAGAGGGTGGTGGGGGAAGGCGTGTGGCCGATGGCCAGGCAGACAGCCTGGCCTGTTGCGTGTGGCCGCCAGCCTAGTACTGTTGGACGAACACGCAGAGGGGCCAGCCCTGAGGCCGGGGCTGGGCACCTGCCGCCCTAGGAACTGTGACCGTGGCGCAGAGGTAGAACCGGGGCGGTGGGCTGCCAGGACAGGAGGGTTCCCACGGTGTCCGCAGCAGCCCTTTCTGTCCAGGCGGGATGGCGAGAGCCAAAGTGCAGGAAGCTGGGGTGGGGGGTGGAAGGAACCACAAGGGCTCTGCCGCATGTCTTTTCTCAGGGGGGACTTCCATGTGTATTTCTCATTTTCCCACGTTAAAGCTACAGGGGATCAAAACAGCAGGGCGTCGATCGCCTCCGCGCCCTGCACCCCCCAACCAGGTGTTCATTCACAGTGTGTCACCTCGCTTCCTCGCTCTCTCTCTGGGACCATCTGAGACACTGGCAGACGTGATGGACCTTCCCACCCAAAGGCGCCTCTCCAGAGATACTCACCCATGGGGTGCACAGCTTTCGTCGCACCCGGGACACTCAAAACTGATTCAAAGGTTTCCTTTCATTCACAAAAGGTCCCCGAGAGATTTTTTAAACCAGCATGTGGTCAAGGACCTTACGCTGCATCTGACCACTCCGGCTCCTGCCCTCCCGCAGCCTCCCCCAGACTTGTCTGTCTGTTGTGAGGTTGTTTTCAACAGTCAGATCACAGGCAGGCCGGGAATGTGGCCACCTCATCTGTGGGAAATCCAGCACGTGGCCGGACTCGGGTAAGTCTCGGCCAGTCTTCACTGCGGGTCCCACCCCCTCCCTTCCAACAGCCTCCCTCCCTTGACAAGGCCCGTGGTGTGTGTGGGGGTCATGCCCAAGATTAGGCCCCGCGCTCCCTGGACGGCAAACCTCTGAGCCCTCCTGGCAGGGCGGTGGCTCCTCTCTACCCACAAAAGGCGCATCAGCACCTGGTGCTCAGAGCCGTGGCCTGGCCTGTGGACCCCCAGCGTGACGGGCCCTCCCTGCAGGGCCTCGGATCCCAAGCCCTGGTCTGTCCACCTGGGGGCAGCCTGCGGTTCCCCGGTTGTGGGTCAAAGGCACGAGGCCATCTCGTGGGGAAACACACCCCTGCGCTGCATGTGCAGAGGGTTTGAGCTCTCAGGGCCTCGGGGGCTCAGTGGAAGGTACGGGTGGTGACCGGGCTTTGGCACACGTCGGCACCCAGGCCTGAGAGAGCACCGTGTTAGGGTCTCAGGCAAGCAGAAGCTACAGGAGTTGGTCACCACTAAGCCCCCCACATGGGAGGTTAAAGGGACTTCTTTAGGCTGAAGAGAATGGGCGCTCACTGGGGACAGGAACACGTGAAAAACCCCCTCGCACTGGAAAGGTTAGGGGACAGTGAAGGCAGGTCAGTCACCTACAAAGTTCGTGTGAAGGCTGGAAGACACACGCTTCGAAACAGCCACAATCACGGTGACTGGGACATTCAAACGCAGGGCGCAGGGCCAGGAGGGAGACGCTGAGCCTTTAGATTGGGTCAAATCTGCGTGGTTTCAACCAAAAGAGATATGGGCGGTGACCTGGGAACTAACCGCAACCACGACATAGCACCTCCACGCACGGAAAGCAGGGAGTGTAGTGACCACCAAAGACAGGTGACCAGCTGCAAAGGAAGGGAGAGGAGTGCAGCACTGGCCAGGGGACAGGGAGCCGGCCGGCAGTGGGTATGTGCCTTCCGGAACCACGTGGAGTGCGGACGGACTAGCTCGCCCATCCAACGACGTGGCCAAAAGAGCAAAGCACAAGGCCCGCCTGTCTGCTGCCTGCCCGGCTCACTGTGCGTGTAAGGACACATGGGGACTGGAAGCGAGGGGCAGAGGAAGCCAGGCCCTGCACGTGGAAATGCAGAGAATATCGGAGCAGCTGTGTTTAAGTCAGGGAACCTGGAGTTTGAACAAAGGCTGGAGTGAGAGACCAACGGGTGTTACGTGGTAACGCAGGGGTCACTCAACATCAGGCTGTAGAATTTGTCGGTGTCTACGTACCCAACACAGCATCACCTAAGTGTGTAAAACCGACGTTGAGAGACCCGAAAGAGCTCTGGGCAGAGGACTGGCGCCCCTTCTTTTGTGGGAGGCTCGGCAGCTCTGCCAGATGTGCCCTGGCTGTAGCACCGAGGGACATTCAGAGCTGGGGGCAGGTGCATAGGTCATGCAGAGCCTTCGTGCATGTGGACCACCACTGAGCCCGGGGACGGCCCGGCGGGGCCTGGCGCGTCTGTGGCATGACCAGGATCCATACGTGAAGGGGTGGAGGTGCCCGCTGAACTCGGCTACCATCTGGAAAGGAAGTCAGACCCCATTTCCAGATCCTAAGTGAGCTGGCTGGAAATGATGTGCTTTATGGGGATAAATGCATTGCAGGACACAGTCTATAAACACGTCCCCCTTGATTCCTGAGGACACAGGGGTGGCTGCGACTGAGTTCAAGGTCCCTTGTTTCTGAGAGAGCAGGAGGGTGCTCGGTATTCTTTCACAGCGGTCTGGGGGGTCAGAGCCAACGTGACACGCTTGGGGGCTGGGGGTACAGCCCTGCTCATCACCGGGTCAGCGGGAAAAGCCGGCCCTGCCACCAGGCACTGACTCGAGCCCCTTCCAGCAAACCCACGTCCTGTCCGGGCCTCGTCCATCATGGCTTAATTACTCCGATCAGACCGAAACGTGATTAGATTTTCCCAGGGAGCGGCATGAGAAAGAGAGAATCCAATTTACCCGGGACGGGAGGAAACAGCTGAAGACGGAACACAGCCGGTGATTGAATTTCGGGCCCTGCGTGCCCCAGCGTGATTCAATTCTGAGGCGTGGGCCAGGCAACCGACAGAGGCCCGTCCTCCCCACAGCAACCGGCTCACCTGCGAAACAGCCTGGCATCAGCGGCCATCTGGTTCCAAGGGACAGGTCCCCTGCTCACTCCACAGGCAGAACCTGGTCCTCGCAGAGGGGTGACACGGTCACAGCCCACGGGACCCTCAGAAACCCTCAGAGGCCAGAAAACACCACATTTAGTGAGTGCTGGGGGGGGGGGGACTTGCTCCACACTCATGGCCACTTCTAGGAGCTTCCATGTAAAACAGGCCACAGACCCTGAAAAAGTTGGCCTGTGAATCACGCACTTGGCTCCCCGAGGGAGACACAGCAGTGCACGCGCAGATGGACATGCGTGCTGCGGTCAGTCAGCACCGAGCCACGTGCCTTCCATGGATCATGGGTCAGCGCTGACTCTCCTGACACTCTGCCCCATGCTCTGTGCTGTCATATGACCAGGCCCAGGGTTCCGTGTGACCAGGGACAGCCCTGACCTGCCCTGGGGTCCTGGGCCCAGGTCCCTTCCATGCACTGAGCCTGGCCCTTCGAAGCTACTCTGAACCCCCCAACAGGAGTGTGTGCTCCAAGTTCAATAATCTGCTTCCCAAAGTCTGATCTGAGCCCGCAGGTTTTTAAACCACTTCGAACATCAGCCCAGCTGGCCTCCAAGGTTCAGTTTGAATAACCATTTTATATGGAATCAGTCAGTCGGGAAGACGAGTGTTATGAATCTGGCAAGATTCAATTGTTAGCATTACAAAACAAGGACTTCATTTCAAAGTCTCACTTAACGGTTGGAAACCTGTCCTGGCCCGTGTCACTGCATGGACTAGGTTTCCGCGCCGACTTGCAGAGGAGACTGGACAGGCAGAAGAGGAACGCCCCAGCACGAGGTCAGCCGTGGGGGGCTGAGACAGTCGGACAGGCAGGCGCAGGCGCGGCTCTCCCCACAGGCTGCCCTCGGGGGGCTGGCGAAGGGGCGGCTCGAGCTCGGACGAGAGACAGCCCGATGACACCCACACTCCTCTTCCGCCCGCGTCTCTCATGGTGTGTGCATGCTGGTTCGGTCGGTACCTTCTCGGAACCCCGGGTCCCCTCGGGGTGGAGCTGGCGCCTGCTCAGACGGTTGCTGTGTGTGAAGGCCGCCTGTCTTGTAAGTGCCGTGGCACAGCCCGGGCCAGCACGAGTCCTCGGTGCCTGAGGGCTGAAGAGATGAAAGAACCTCTCACCAAACACATTCCAAACCGCCTGGTATGAGCAGCAGCAGGACAAAGAGCCCAGGACCACGTCCTGTGGGGCAGGGAGGGGTTCCGAGAGGCACCCCGGGTGCGGAGGCCGTGGGGGCTGAGACCCCTGTGACCGAGGCAGGACGGCCCAGTGGAGCCCGTCCTCACGTCACCTCTTCCCAGCCTGTGACCGGGGACAAGCTACCCTCTGGGTGTCGCTGGGGCGGAGATGCCAATGAACCTGCTCCACAGGCTCTGCGAGGGCTCGGCCAGTTCCCGTTTGTGAAGAACTCAAGCCAGTGCCTGGCAAGCAATGAAGAATGTGTACAGTTTCTAAGTGTAAGCCACTGAAATAAGTTGAACGGCAATAAACGGCACCCCTGCTGCTCCTCTCTGTGTGGGGGGTTCAGTCACTGGCACAAATGTGGATCCCAGGGGCAGAAGTTTGTCTGTTTTTCTAAGATTTTTATTTATTTATTTCTGGAGAGAAGGGTAGGGAGGGAGAGAGAGAGAAACATCAATGTGTGGTTTCCTCTCGAGCGCCCCCTAATGGGGACCTGACCTATAACCCAGGCCTGGACCCTGATTGGGAATTGAACCAGTGACCCTTTGGTTTGCAGGCCGGTGCTCAATCCACTGAGCCACACCAACCGGGGCACCAAATCCACAAGTTTTGAGCTTCCAGAAACAATCCTCTGCAGACTGTGCCCTGGATACGATGGCCATCTGCCCCTTCGGATCTCGGGAAACAGACAACAGGGCCCAAGTGACCGGATGGCACCAGGACACCTGCCCGGCAGGCCCTCGGGTGCCTTCTCGCTCAGAGAAAGAGGAGATGCCTGTAATAGCATCAACAATTAAAAACAAAACACTGTTCTTCCTCTATCCAATTACTTTTGCACTTTTGTCAAAAACCAGCTGGGCCCCTGTGCGTGGGTCTGTCCCTGGATGGCCGTCTGTCCCATGGTCTTCGTGTCCCCAGCCACTGTCCTGGCCACTGGTGCCGCAGCACCCAGGCCTCCAGAATTGGTGAGCTCGTCGTCCACAGGTTTGGGGGAAAGACACTTGCCCTCCACAGGGTGCTGGGCCTTTCACAGGTCAGGTGACCTTCCTGACCTCGTCCCCACACAGAGCAAAAAACAGAGGGTTTGGGACATTTTCTGAGTGTTTGGTTTACTTTTGTCTGATGGGCGGAACAACATTTCTCTAAACACTGGAACAATTTAAACACCGCACAATCCTGCCTTCCATCTCCACAATCGTGTAACTGTGACTGTCATGTGTGGGGCTGCAGCCCCCGAGGGCACCGAAGTGCCGGCCCCCAGACCTGCGACTGTCACCTGGTTTCCAGAGGATGTGACTCAGACGAGGTCATGAGGAGGGGCACTGAGCCAGTGCCACTGTGTCCGTGGGAAAGGGGACACCTGGGCAGAGAGATGCTGCAGGGATGTGCCACGTGAAACTTGGGGTGATGAGGCCACAGCCTAGGAGTCTGAGAAGTGGGGGGCCTAGAACAGCAGCCCCCCAGGGGACGTGGGGACTCCAGCGCTGTGTGACAGTGCGTCCCTGTGTGCGGTGCTCTTCTGGCCTCCACCCTCGAGTCCTCAAGTCCTCACGTGACTTCTTGCATCTCTGCTCTAGCGCCCGGGCGTCGGCCTCTGGCCTGGGAGACGGCGCTTCTCCCGCGTGCACATCTGTGCAGGGAACATCTGGTCGCCACTGGTCTGTCTGCAGCGTCATTTCCAGGCCTGACCTGCACGTCCTGCTCTGCCATGACTGGGGGCCACCGCTCCCCGCATTTGTGCGTTCGTGCCGACAGTCCCTTCCACACCAGGGCCTTGTCTTGGTGGGGGACTCTTCCCGGGAGGGGCTGGGGGTCTGACTTAAAACATGAAGAACGTTGATAAAAGTACATTTTCCTGCACTCACCCCAATCACTTGGCCATCAGAAGCTGCCACCAAGGGGCCGCCCTCTGCCCCAGCCACGGGTGCGTCCTGCCATTCTTTGGGTGGGAGCTGGGGGCTGTCGGCCAGGCCCTCGACCCTCAGCAGGAGTTCATCCAGCAGGCCTGCTAACTCGTCCAGCAGGCAGGCCTACAGGGACGAGAACCGGGAGACTCTCTCGGGACCGGAACTTTCCCTCCGCCCTCCTCATCTGAAGCATTTCCCGGTCCCAACTTTAGGTGGCTGTGCTTTGTTAGCGATGACACAGGACCCGGGGTCCGGGCGCCCAGCCTGGAGGTCCCATCTCGGTCCCCCACACACTGTGTCACACGCAGATGTGCACACCTGGCGGGATCTGAGTCAGGTCTCGGATAGAGCAGGGTGTGCTTGTCCCCCTTGCCGACCCCCCAGGGCCATTCTGAGGCTCTAAGGGGCTACAGGGGGTGGGGGCCGGGGGGCTGTGACCCTCTGGGGTGGTGAGTGAAATCCTGGGCCCACAGGGGCAGCCTCCAGTCCCTCTTCGGTTTCTTAGAGCAGAGATCTGCAAGGGGGCCCATGAAGGGGGCGGGGGCTGGGGTGGGCCACGAGTGCTCACGGGACTCTCGGCCGGGCCTGCCTCCTCCTCCAGCACCGGCCTCGCCAGCCCCAGCGCAGAGCTCGCCTGCTCCCAGGCGTAGGCTGTCACGTCTCCCAGTGTCACAAGAGACCGGCCTCGGAAAGATTTTCTTTTGGGGGTAAAAGCCCTAAGGGAACCTCTCAGCTGCGGGGAAGGAAAAAAAATGACAAACTGCATTATCCAGCAGAAAACTAGCTTTTTCCATTTGTTTGACGGTGAGAGAGATGGTATCCAATGAAGGCGTTGCTTTTCCTGTCAATGAGACAGTAACCTTTCAGCAAAAATGGAAACGCTCATAAATTGAACTAAGTGGCAGCAAGACAAGCTGAGCAGTGAAAATTAACCCCAAACCGCTGAAGCAGTGTAAGCCACTGGTGGTGTGTGCATCCACGTTTGCACACGTGTTTGCCTATGTGCAGGCACATGCATCTGTGTGTCTGTGTGTGTGCATGCGTGTGACATGACCAGGGTTGTAAATGGCAGGTCAGCAGGAGGATGGGACCCAGGGAGCCCCGCTGCCAGTGCAGCTTTGAGCCCCAGGAACCTGCCCATGGTGCCGGCTGACGCAGCGACACTTCAGAGGTGGAGAGACACAGACACAGGACGAGGGGCCGGTCATCCACGGAGCGGCAGGAGGGATGGGGGTGTGGCTCGGCACTGCAGCCCAGGAGGCTCCCTGAGGAGGCAGCTCCCTGGAGGGACTGGCCATCTTGCTGAAACTGTTTAGCAACTGGGTTCAGGCCTGCCTGGCGCAGAGGAGGGGCCTCAGGGACTCACAACCATGAGGTTTGGCCGGCAGGTGGAGGTGTGCATGGGGACCAAGGACTCTCACCCCAGGGACCTCGGAGTCCAGGGTGGGGCACGCACCAGCATAAACCACAGAGCTGTCCCTGCTGTGAGGAGGGCCGCGCAGCACCTGGACGCCACCCGCAGGTCAGACTCGGGGAGGCCCCGGGAGGTTTCTTTTTGGCCACTTCCTGAGAAACCGAACAGCAGCCTGTGGAAGGTGTCCGCAGAGGTGCCAGATGGTGGGGCCCAGGTGAAGAGTGGAATTCCACGCAGGTGGGAGTGGGCAGCCAGCACCAGGAGCCCAGCCAGCTGCAGGGAGGAAACCTGCCAGGTTGGCCTCTGAGTGCTGGGCCATGGGAACCCCAGACTCAGGGGGGGCTTGTGAATGCTGTACAATAAGGAGCACACCTTAGAGAAGAGCAGCTTTTGGATTACTGATTGCATCAGCCAGGTGTGAGAACTCAGTCCCAGCAAGGCTGGTCCCATCCCCCCAGGCCCTCCCCCTTCCCAGGTGCTCAGTCCTGGCACCTCCTCTCCTGGTCCTGTGCCATCTGCACCCCGGAGCCGCCAGAGGCCATGCTTGCTGCCAGGGGTACCTGTCTCACATCTCTGCTCCCAGCACCTGCAGGGGCTCAGTTAAACGAACCCCTTAGGAAAGGTGAGGACAGAGCAACCTTGTGTTCAGTTTAGTTCTGACATCTCCTTGGCTGGTTGTGGTAACAGACCAGGAACTGGGCCTGTGAGCCTTGGGTGGTGTCTCGGACCCAGGACACGTCCTGCTCTCCCCACCCACCCACCCACACAGCACAACTCAGGGGAGGTGCTGAGCCTGCTTCGAAAGCGCCTGTCAGGCAGTAAGTACTACGCACGCCCGTGATGCCACCAGCACCAGCACCGTGCCACAGAGAGCTCGGAGCAGGGCAGTGTCCATGTCTGTAAGTTATCCCCGTGGCCGCGGACACGGGGGTGTAAGACCAGCCGAGGGGGCTCTGCATTCAGGGCGGCATGCCCCTAGTCAAGGCTCACTGAGGAGAACTCAAGGACGCTACCAGTTCATTGGGCAGTAACTTGATGCAGGGGCCTCACCGCTGGTGCGAAGACGCCTGAGAGGGAGCGGGACGCCGTGGCACTCTGCCAGCCAAGCGGACGGAGGCACCTCAGGGCCAAGAAGAAGGAAAGGGCTCCCTGCAGCCACCGCGCCCTCTGCAGCAGAAGAACAGGGTGTCACACGGACATGGCGCACAGGCGGCCTCTCCCCCGTGGGAGACTCTCCCCCGTGTGGCCCCATGTCAGGAGGGCATCCCAACAGGAATAGGGAGATTTGCAACACCTTTCAGAAGCATTGGCTCTGGTTCTGACCTTTAGCTCCTGTGGAGGGCAGGCCCACTGGGGCTGTATACCCTGTCACGGCCTCGGTGACAGAGCAGCACAAGCCCAGCACTGCACGGGGCTGCGGAGAGTATCCCTGCCTGTGGGGCCCTCCGGCCTGGACGTGCATGGGGCGTGTTTGCTTCTCACGCACATTTTTAAAGTCTAACCTGGGTGAAGACTAGCTGCATCTGTTCTATAGCGACGGAGCCTGGGGCTCGGACGAGCAAGACGACTGGGCAAAGCTGCCAGGCTGCAGAAATAGCAGCGGGCTCCCCGGCCATCTGAGTCCATGTTGGGCACACCGGCCCATGGCCGGGGGCCTGAGGGGGCCGCTCACCTTTCTACAGGTGGGCTCGCTGTGAAAACCCTTAGGGGTGCATGAGCTGATCTGTTCTCACCAAGGTTACAAATCAGAGAGAAGAAATGCCAGCTGGAAGTTTTGCAGTCCCTGTGGACAGGGGACCAGGACTTGCCCTGTGCCTCCTTACTCACTGGTCAAGGTCAGCTGCACCCATGGTACTGGCACCTGGCTGGAGACCCAGGCCCTCCATAGGGCATAGCTCTCGCCTGAGAGCTCAGAGTGTTAGCACTCAGTTTGGGATGGCTTCCTGGTCTGGAACCTTCTAGAACATGTCTGAGCTCTTCCTTTGGGTGGCCTCTCAGAGCCCTGTGTGTGTGGCCTGAGTGCCTGTCGTACCTGAGCCCATGAGGCCACGAGACTGAGGTCCACAGACCCTGGCAGAAGCCCCTGCTGGAGCTGGTTGGTCGCTTCTGCCATTAGGGAGAGCAGGTGGCCACAGGCTGCGTACCAGGCAAGGCCCGCTCCGGCGATGGGCAGCTGCCAAGTGCAGAGAGAGGGTGTCATGTAGGCTTGCAGACAGGCTGCCGCGCCACAGCCCTGGGAGCAGGCAAATGACCAATATCCGTGCTGCCCAGGCACTGGTGTGGCCTTGAGCCTGGGGAGCAGGTGCGCCCGCAGCTTCCCACCACAACTTCCGAGGCTGTGAGCCCATGAAGACAGGACAGAGGGGCCACCTCCAGCCAGTTCCCGGGCCGCCGCCAGTAGCCGAGGACGCCCTTCTCCGCCAGGCCGTGCAGCTGGAGGCACAGGTGGGCCAGGGTGAGTGCCAGGAGGGCCAGCTGTGGGCGCAAGACAACGAGATGCCACAGGTACCGATATGGTTGTGTGAAGGCCTTGACTCCCAGCTGGCACCCGGGGTGGGCCTGGTCCGAGCTGGTTTCGGGCCGTGTGGGGCCTTGGGGTAAAGTGGTCTTCACAGGGCCGGGGTTATCCAAACCTTTGTACCCACCGGCACCCAGAGACCCTCCCACCCCACCCCAAGGGCGACAGGGACACAGGGAGCTTGAGGCGGGCCTGCCTCTATGGAACCCTGCCCCGGTGTGTCTCCTATCCCTACACCAACCCCGTCCGTCCCCACAACACTCAGGAGCTGGGGCCTGTGTGTGTATGGGAGACACCTGACAGGTGCCCTCAGCCTGCAGCCCCCGAGTAGAGGACATTCTTTAAAGCCCTGTGTGCAGTCCTCGCAGCACTGATGAGTTATCTGTCCATCCACACCTCCGCTCGCTCGCTCGCTCACTCATTTGTTCACTCACTCGCTGCGAATGGAAGGAGACGGCAACAGCGAACTGTCCTGTCTGAGGTCATGAGGCCTTGCAGAGCCCCTGGGGACCCTTCCAGTTAACACTTTTACCCTATAAAAGCCTCTTTCGGGACGCTCCTCCCTCCCTCTGGGGATGGGGGAGGGTGCAGCCGCTGTGCACCAGGCGCGGTGGCCCCGCAGCCCAGAAGGTGGACTGGAATGGGGCATCAGTTGGGCAGCATGTCGTGCCCCACACCCTGCATGCTGACCTCTGTTCCCGCCTCGTGCTGGCTGCCAGAGGCCCTGTGTGCCCACCTCCTGCGCCCACCTCCCAGCCCGTGGCCAAGTGCTCCAGGCTGAGATGATCGCCACCCCAGCCCGAACTTGGCCGTGAAGCTGGAGGACCAGGAGCTGGGCCTCCCATGCTCCCGTCTGTGCTGGGGAGTCACGGGCACTGTGTCCCTCGGGGCCGCCTGTGTTTAAGTTTGGTATTTTGGCCACTGGGGAGGTTTTGTGTGAACTCCGACCTTCTGAAACGCTGTACTGGGCATCACTTCTGTTGATGACCGAGGTGTGCACCTCACCTGTGCTGGGCCTCAGTGCTGAGCCCCCACGGGACCTCGGTGCCCCCAATGCTCTGCCTGTGCACCAGCCGCACAGACAAGCTGGCCCCGCCAGGCCATGCCCGTCCTGTGCCCACACCTGGTGGGCTGCCCGCTGTGTAATGGGGTCACGGCAGGGTCTGGGTGCAGGGCAGGTGAGGGGCAGGCCCTAGGCCCGTCTGGTGGGTGTGGCCAGTCCGGTGGCACCCTGGGCTCCGAGAATGGCTGAGTGGCCGGTGAACCCACCTGGGGAAGCAGGAGGCGGAACCTGGGGGTAGAGTCGCTGTGGAAGATGGGGACGGACTCCACCCAGGTGGACAGGGCAAGGCTCCCGGCCGGGTTGAGCTTGGCAATAAGGGACACGCTGGCGAAGAGGCGGGTGGGGGGGTTGTAGAGGGTGAACCGCACTGACACGGTGCTGGTGCTGCGGTTGATCCACTGCCGGGCCCGGAGGCCAGTCAGGGCTGCGAGGGCGGCTGGCCTGCAAAGCATGCACGTGTGTGGGTGGACTCAGTGCAGCGGGGATACGCCCAGCCCAGGTCTTGCTGGTTCCTGACATCATGGCCCACTGTGCCCTCTGACTCCTGTTGTCTCTGCAATCATGTCGCAGGGACACCAGCCTGGCGTTGCCTGGGCTGTGTGTGCACCTTGAGTCGGCCGGGTGTGCCAGAGCAATGGGCGGGCCAGCGGGGATGTGCTGACTCTCAGCACACTGACCTGGTCCTGCCCAGGGTGAGCTCACACCCCTCCCCGCAGGCCTCGGGGGCACTTGGGGCCACTCTCTGGACCTGTACATCGGTCATGGAGAGGGTTTTGGGGTGACACGCAGGCAGTGGGTCTTCAGTGAGTGCTGAGAGTGGCCCAGGAAGCTGCAGAACCAACCAGAACAGAGCAGGAGTCAGATGTGTGTCTCTCAGGCGTCCTAAATGGACCACACAGGGGCTCACACACTGACCCACCACATGGCCCCACGAAGCCCCCTCGCAGCCCCTGGGCTCCTGCTTGAGCTCTAGGACCAGCACCCACCCCCATCCCTGAAAGGCGGCATCTGGGTGACCCCAGTCTGGGACGTCTGGTGCTCCTGTCATGGACAGTCCAGGGGACGTGCCATCTTCATCCACGCCCTCCCATTTGGACAAGGTATGTGCCACTCTAGTTTTGCCCAGAAGTGCCCTGAACGTGTGTGAAGCGCCAGTGCTGGAGGTGCCGGCTCTGGGCCCCCCCTCGTCCCAGCGGAGGGCCTTGGAACGCTCTTGGGTTACTATTTATGAAACGAGACGGCTGGGACAAGGAGGGGCCCAGCTGGCTACTAGAGATGGTGCCACAGCCCACGCCCTCTGCCCGTGGTCACCCAGACTGTTCTCCTTTGATGGGTTGTTAGAAGTAACAAGGGAGAGAGCGTGTTACCTCGCACGGACTCCCAGGAGGAGCCTTGAGCTGTCGGAGTACGGGCGGGCCCAGCAGGTAGCACTTGCCCCCGAGAGCACCGGGCTGCAGGGAGGAGGACGCGGAGTCCGTGACCCTGGGGGCCCAGCACAGTCCACGCCACCCATCAGAGGATCAGAGCCCGACCCTCTGTCCTTCCACAACCCCCTAAGGATCAAATAATGTCTGGAGAAAGACAGAGGCCACCTCCCCAGTCTTCGTGTCAGCCCAGGTGACCCCTTTTCGTCTCCGCTGCTGTTTCTCCCACATCACGCGGCTGCCCCACGACTGACAGCACGAGACCCGCTGTGTCTGAGGCAATGCCAGACGAAGTCGTGTTTTTAAAGGCAGAAAACGAAAGGCAAGGGCTGGGGTCAGTGCACAAGATGTACATTGAGGGGCAACTTTGTCTTCAGAACCGAGACAAGCCTGGGCCTCTTCTGGAGGGTTCTGATGCTCCCATCTCAGCTGTTTGCTCTCTGCTGTCCCCAGAGGCCCATGTCCCTGTGTCACAGCATGTGGGATTCAAAGCCACCGGCCCACAGGCTCTGTGCATGGGCCATGCCCTGTACCCAGCCCCACCCTCCCCCAGCACATGCAGGGATCTGGGGAAGCTGGCAGTGAGGGGGTGGGGAGGGGGCGGAGGGAAGGAAGGGGATGCGCTGTTGATGGTCCCGCCCCACGGCGGGTGGTCAGGAGCAGAGGGAAGCCCACCTGCTTGCCCCGCGTGCCCGTGGCGGCGGGCCTGCTCTCCAGGTACAGGCCATCCAGCAGTGTGCTCAGGCTCCAGGTCCACCAGGCGTCCACACTGCTCAGGCCGCCCACGCCCACGGAGCTTCTGGTGCTTCTTAGCCGAGAACAGAAAGAGCATGTCACTTCCTCTAGGAGGAATTTCAGGCAGTCTGCAGTGTGAGGGCCGACACAGGTGCCACTCCTGGCTCCCGGGAGGCCGGCGGGAGGGCAGAACGGCACATTCAGCCCTCGGGTGCTCCTCTGCCAACGCTCACTGAGCGCACCTGCATGAGCACCACCTGCCCGGATGCAGGCAAGCCAATGAGTGGGCTCGTGCGAACCACACGCAGACAAATGAGCAAAACCTGCTGGCAACAGCAGTTAGGAGAGGAAACGGGGTGGGGACACAGGGTGAGCGGGCAGGTGGAGCCTGAGGCCATGGCTCTGCACAGGCAGCACTCAGCCACGGGAGCAAGCCCAGGGAGATCCGTCCGAGGGCCGGTCGGCGGGACAGAGAGGCAGAGAAGGGAGGCTGTTCCACGTGCTGCTGCTTTGTCGGGGGTTCACGTTGCCACCTGGACTCCACTGAGTTTGGAAAGACTTCAAATGGAAGTAGCTGTGAGAGCTCAGTACAGCGACCCTCTCTTGTTAAAGGGCGGATGCCCAGCAGCCCACAGCCACACTTCTCGGATGAGGGAACTAAGGCCTAGGGTCACCGGTTGAGGGCCGAGTCCAGGGCTGCTCCCCCGTGGACCCCTCCTGGCTCTGCTGCTTCTACTGGGGTGCAGGCAAATGCTGAACCCCAAGAAGCTGCTGGCATGCGGATGAGGCTCTGGGGGTGAGTCTGTGGCGAGGTTGGCATCCTAGGGGCAGCTTCTGAACCCTCCAGGCAGGCCCCTGGCTCTACCCCCATACTCTGCACACACGGCCAGCACACGTGTGCTCCACTGCCACACCGCTGTTGTCGGCACCGAGAGGCACACTCACACAATGGGAGATGAAAGGTAAGCCAGCAAAGCCAGCATTTTTTCGGGTTGCCTCCCTGGTCCAGAGAGAACCACCCACGTGGTGGCTTGGTTGTGCACACAGCGCCCCCTGCTGGCACAAACTGCCCTGCACGGGGTGGGAGCTGACAAGTGGGCTTGCTGGGCAGAGGGCAGGTGGCTGAGTCTCCGGACTGACAGACTGTCACCCTGGTCCTACCTGACAAGGGTCTGAAACCTGCCTGCCTTCTCTCCTGGCTGGCTGTCAATCACCTGCTCTCACAGAAGATCAAAATTAACATCCTTAAATAACAGATCATATTAAATAGATTCGCCGGCCACTACCTGTGCCAAAGGAATCCAACAAAAAAATTTGTATCAAATGGAGTTACTTTGTCCAAGGCCGCCAATTCACAGAAAAGGCGGACCAGCACCTCATCCATCACTTCCTGCCACGACTGTGCGTCACAACAGTGAGAAGGCAGAGCCAGGACCCCCCTCAGCTTCAGACACGCTGCGCGTGGGCAGGAGACACAGCCCGACACGTGGGGGACATGGGAGGGACTTTCTTCCGCTGTCCGTCAGTCCTTCCACGTCCACCCACCACGAGCATCTGCACGCTTAACAGCGGAAGGAAGCACATGAATGCCCGAGAGGCCGTGGGGCTGGCAGCTGATTGGCGTGGTGTCACCTACTTGGAGCCCAACGGCCGGTGACTGAAGGACTTAGCTGTCTACCCCCAAACGGAACTGCGTGCGGCTCCCAGGGCCTTGGAATGCCCTTGGGTCACTATTTACAAAATGGGACGCCACAAATGCGCCTGAAGTCTGGGGACGGAGGCCTCCTGGGAAGAGTGGGGACGAGTGTCCCCTAGGCAACGGCCTCTGTGTACTTCCTTGGAGGAGCGAGGAGAGGAGCCTCCCGGGGTGGGGGTGTCATGACTGGGTGGTCTGGAGCCTCTCTCCTCTCGGTTTGCTCAAAGCAGCAGAGTGCAGTGGCCCGGCCAGCGCCCATGGCCCTGAACACAGCACTCCGGGGCCAGCGAGGCTGGTCCACGAGTCCTACCTGGTGAAGGCATCCCGGATGGCACGGTGGAGAGCGCGTTCCTCCCAGGGGGCCTCCCCGTGGGTCACACACAGATGCAGAAGCAGCATGAGGGTGGACAGGCCGGCGTCTCTGTGAGGACGACGCTGAGAGTGAGCGTTTCCACGGCCCACCTGTGCAGACCCAGCAGCGTGTTTGGGGAAGTGGCTCCGCCTCCCCTGGGCGGAGGTTCCCATATTAGGGGTGGGGTCTGTGTGGAGAGTCATCGGTCTTGTTTTTTTTGCATCCAATTTTTTCTAGCACCATTTCTAAAGTGAATGGCCTCTGTGCTTTTTGCCAAAAAAGCTCAGCCAGGTGTATTTGCATGGGTGTATTTCTGGGCTCACTGTTCTTCTGCATAGTGTGTTTGTGCCGCCAAGCTCGCAGTGTCTCGGTTGCAGGGCTCTGGAGCAGGTCCTGAGGCCAGGTCGGGGCAGTCCTTGGATGCCAATGTCCTTTCCAGAGCTGCCGCAGCAGCCAGTTTAGTTCCTTAGCTCCCCTTGTGCCACACTGGAATGGGTTGGTCGGGACCCAAGAAGCTTGCAGGGTATCAGTGGGCATCACACCAAACCCACAGACCCAGTTGGGGAGGACAGACAGGCAGACGAGACCAGTCTTTTGATTGGAGACTGGTCTTTTGATTGGCGACCAGTCTTTCCCTGTCCCCTAGCTTGCTGATTTCTTTCGCCAACTTTGGGTGGTGTCCGGCATTCACGTTCCCCATGCTTCCTTCAAGGTCACCCACGGGCTGCATTTCCTTGGTGCTGTTTCGATGTCCCGTTCCCGCTGCCTGTACTATGGTGGGAACGCAGCTGGGCCCATGCCAACTGGACCCTGCAGCCCCTAAATTCTCCCGGGAGTCCGGGGGGCCCTCTCCACGGGTCGTCTGGGAGTCTCTGCAGGGGCTCTTCACGTCACCGGCCAACAGGCGGTTTTATTTTTTTCCTTCAAACCTGAGAGCTTGTCACCGACCTGCCTTGCGGATTGCACAGCCAGGGCGGTGAGTGGGAGCTGGTTCTGACCCCAGCAAGTGCCCCCCTTCCCCCAGCAGGGGTGGGCTTCACAGATGCCCTTGATGGGCCTGGGGACGCTCCCTCCTATTCCCAGTTTGCCAAGAAGATTTTTTGTTTTCATGAAGAAACGTCAAACTTTTTCAAATGCTTTTTGTATGTCTCTTGAGATGCTCGTAGGACTTGTCTTGGTCCATTCACATGCTGAGTCACGTTAGTGACCTGCTTCTCCTGTGTCTCTAATGCAGCACCCCTGTCCCTCTGGGTCTGCGCTGCGGTCTCCTGCCGTCCTCCGTCAGGGACCCTCTGGGCGCTGCCACTGGCAGCTGTGAGTGGGCACTGGGGCTTGACCCCGGGAAGACCCGGCTGCGGGGGGCGGGTTACCCCACAGGCAACGCATTTCCCACTCAGAGACACGGGACATCTGGCCCCTCCTCTCTCATTCTTTCTTGTGCTGGTCGTCTCGAGGTTCGGTGTCCAGACGTCCAGATGCCCAGCCCCAGTCCCACTGTTTCCTGCAGTGGCTGGTGCGGCTCCAGAGAGCAGCCCCTTGTCTCCCACCACCGCCCAGGTGTGGTACCCCTGCAGGGAGCTCAGGCTGGCCCTTCTCCACCAGGTGTCAGAGCTGGTCCCCCCAATGGATGACACTCTGGGGACCCATGAGTGGCACACGCAGCAGCACCGCATGGGAAGACATGCCAGGAAGGCCCAAGCCCTGGACACACCCTGGCGGTGTGAGTGAGGCCGGGTAAGGCGCAGAAGAGGAGTCACCTGCCTGGTGCGAGAGGGCCCTGCCAGCTGGTCAGCCCTGGCCCCATGATGGGGTGGGGTGGGTGTCACCCGGAGGAGGGTGAGGCCCCGAGGGGAGGCTCGCTGTGCATGTGGCGGTCCTTGGCCTTCGGTTTTATCGCAGGAAAATCACACCGGTCTCACACTGAGCACCATGGCATGTCTGCACACATTTTAACAGTGAAATGCCTTTAAATATGTCCTGGGGCTCAGTCGGGGTCCCAGGCAGGGGGTCTGCCTTACAGCTCCTGCCCCTCCCCATACCATGTAGAGGGGCAGAGGCCCCAGTGGTGGGCTGGGCAGATTTGGTGGGATAGGGCCTGACGGTGTGCCACCAGCTGCTGCACTGACTGGGGCACCGTGGCCAGGGGCCAAGTTCTTCGTGCTTTTCACTGCTGGTCCTTATAGGACTCAGGTGACTCTTGTTGTTTCATGTTCTGGACACACAGTGGTGGCCTTGAGGCCAGCAGGTGTCCCGCCTTCGCTCCCCCACCAGATGCAGGTGGGGTGCTCTGAAAGGGCAACTGTGCCAGCATGAGGGCCCACCCACCTCAGCACCTCCCAGGCACGTGTCTGCCTCCTCATCCTCTCCCGCGTGACCCTGAGCCGGGCTGCGGGCGGGGGACGCGCCCAGCGCAGGCGGCGCGCTTGCTGGCGTGCAGCCAAGACCTGTGGGGACGAGAGCACCGTGAGCCGGGGTCCACCAGCAAGGGGGCGAGGCCTCAGCAGCCCCACCGGGCCCAGGAGAGCAGGGTCACTGCCTCTGCACTTGGCCTGGGGTTTGAGGACAGAGTTTCTCACTGTGGGTCCCACACTCTAAGGCTGCAGGGCAGCTGGCCTGGGAGACCATTTATCCCTGCGTCCTGTTCCTAGCAGCCTTTCTGGCAGGGACCAGCTGGGCCACCATCCAGCTACAGGGCAGTTCTCTTTGAGACCCTCCAAGTGCAGACGGTCTTAGCAAGAGATGACCTTGGTTTTCCATGGTCACAGCTGCCCACACGAGCACCCAAGACCCATGCAGTATCAGGCCCTGAGGGAGCACCAGGCCTGGGCGCTTCCTCATGGGGCAGCACACCCTCTTCTTCCTTTCTGCCACCCACAGGACGGGAAGGAAGCAGGAAGGAAGTGGGGGTTTCTGTGAGCACGCACCAGTGAGAATGGCCAGGCTCCTCCAAAATCAGAGCCAAGTGTCCCATCTCTCACTTGCTTCAGGGCCTTGCGATAAGCTGGCTTTCTCGGTGGTCTGCTTCCCCCAGCACTGGGGCGAAGCTGAGGGAGCGGACCCGGTGAGCTCACCCTTCACGTGTGTGCAGAGGAACTTGAGACACTAGCATGCCCCCTGGGTCTGCAAAAATGCAACTGGGCTTGGATTCCAAGTGTGATCCCAACACCCGCGCATGGCCCCAGTGGGGCTCCCTGAGCTCAGTGACCGCCGCAGACCCCAGACCCTCCTCACGTTCTCCACAGCTCCTGATCCATGGGGATCGCAGCCACTGGGCATGTGGGGCGCCTGGCGGCGAAAGAGCCCCTCCAGGTCAGCTTCCAGGCCCTTGGTGGCTTCTCGTAAAGACTCGGTGAAAAAATTCTCGTCGCGTCTCCTTTTCCAGGCAAAGCCCAGAGCCACGAGGCCGATCTTGGAGGAGACACAGGACATGGCAGAGTCACTGCCCCCGTCTGTGCCTGGGGACTGGCCCTGCTCCTGGTCAGAGCCCTGAAGCCCAGCTCCCAAGCATGGACACTTGCCCTCAGGCCCTGGCCCATCGGCTCCCTGCATGGCCGTGAGAGAACCACGGGGTGCCCAGGACTGGGTGAGACTGATGGCCCTGCCCCCCGTCTCTCTCAAGCTGTGAACAGCAGCAGCACGTCCCCAGACACAGCCACCAGCCCCCTCCTTGGCCCTGCGGCGGGACTCTCACCATAAGTGGCTGGGTGATGAAGACACAGCAGGTCACAGAGACGGCCAGCAGGCCCAGCCACTGCTCACACCGTGTGGGGCTGAACCTGCCGGGAGACACGCTCAGGCCCTGGGCTGGACCGTCCCGCCCTGCGGCAGGTGACGGGATGGCGGAGGTGGGCGGGGCGGTGGCCATGGCTGTGATGACAACGGACTGCGTGTCTGTGGGCCTGGCAGGCCCAGGCCCATGGCACTGGCTCGCACAGAGGGTGGTGCTTGCTCTGCCCGAAACAGGGGCCCTCACCAGTGCTCCCATCACGGTCAGGACGCTGTGGGCCCTTGGAGCCACACCGAGTGGCCTGGGTTCACTAAGGAGGGACCCGGGCCTGCATGGGGACCAGGCCCAGGCAGGTGTGTGGTGGAACGGCATCCGACCTCTGACACTGCTCGGCCATGCCTGTCACAGGTGTGCGCCTTCTCAGATGCGGGTGACAGGCGATTACGGACATGGCCTTCACCCTCTCAGGAGCTCATTAGCCGGGCCCCCCCTGCCTGGGGTAAGGGTCCTGTGACCTCTCGTGACACTCAGGACCCGTCTGGTCGGGCCTCTGTCCCAGAAGAGCAGGGCCCAGCCTCCCTGGGGATCAGCACAGGACGCCCTGCACCCTGGGCCGTGGGGGAGCCTGTCTGAGCTGCACCTTATGGTCCGCAGGAATGCAACGTCTCCCGGTCAACAGTGGACTTGCCGTGCAAAGACCGGAGAATGTTTGCAAACCGTGACGGCTCACCTGTACCCTAGAAACCCTGTTCCCAAGGCACAGGCCACGGAGACCGCCCCACAGATGGCCCACGCGGCCAAGCCCAGCCATGCTGGTGGCTCCCGGGGCTGCCGGGATGTGGCGAGTCCTTCAAATGCACGGCCGGGGGCTGAGGAGAAGACAGAGCGAGCATGTGAGTGGCCTCGTCATGTCCATCCACGCCCAGGGCGGTCACCAATTGCGTGCATCGCCTTGGCTGGGTCACAAGGTGCGCAGACACTCAGCTGACATTGCCCTGGGGGTATTGGGGGGGTGTCCTGAGGGGGTGTTTCTGGGTGAACACAGGACCCAGTGCACCAAGTGATGCAGGACGCCCTCCCCGAGGTGGGCGGGCCCCGTCCAGTCAGGCGAAGGCCCGACCAGAACAAAGGCAGAGCGTCCCCACTGAGGGAGCGCTCCCTCTGCCTGGTGACCTCTGGACTGAGAGGCTGACTCCTCTAATCTTTGGACATAAACTGAAATCGCATTTCTTCCTTGGGCCATCAGCCCAGGCCTTGCCGGCCACTGTTTGCAGAGCAGTGACCATGGCGAGTGCCCTGGGGCAGTGAGAATGCCACCCTGGGGGCCCATGAGCCCGGCCCTCTGAGCCCCAGCACCCCCAGTGGCCAGTGAGATGTGGCAGGAAGGGGCCACACAGGGCGCACTCCCCAATGTCACCTTGTGAACTGAGAACGCAGTGACCACTCCTTTCCCTCAGAGCCCACTGGCCAAAGTGTGTCCCTTGGGCCTCCAGGTCAGGGGGCAGGTGGCCGGCACCATCATTGCTGGCTGCACTTAGGGCCTCGGTGGCCCTGGAAAGAGCAGCCGATGCATTTTGCTAGAAAAGACAAGGTCAGGATGAGGTCGTGGCCCATGGAACATGGTGCCCTCCACAGTGACACCTTTGTGAGCCCTCAGGAGAAGGGCCCAGCCCGGCCGACCACCTCAGGCCATGGGCTGGGGAGAGGTTCTAGGGGAGGTGCCAAGCAGACCCGGGCCAAAGGGCTATGGGGAGCTTGGGGCCAAGACAGGGCACTAATTACTGGGAACTCCTCACAGCCAGCGTGAGTGTGCACACCTGCATCTGGGCAGCCGCCAGGACCTGCAGAGGGGCTTCCAACTCAGAGTGGTGGGCAGGGCCAGGCCCAGGCCACAGGGCAGGGGGCCAGCCTGGGTGTGGGGGCGAAAGTGGGCCTGGAACACAGGCCTGGGCATTCGAGTCACACTCAGGACGGGGCCTCTGAGCAGGGAGGTGGAGACCAGAGAGCTCGGGAACAGGCGTGCTGGACACGTTTTTGCAGACACACTGAAGTCACAGGGAAGCCCAAGTGTGACTGAGGCCTGGCCTGACGGGCACCCAGCATGGCAGCGTCTCCTGTCCCCTCCTGCCAGCCCTCTGCTACCCGGCATCTCTCCTGCCAGACCTGCCGACCCTGCCCTGGCCCTCAGGCCCAGCTGCTAGAGTGCTCGCCCATCCACATGGAGTGGCTTCCCAACCTCTGTCACTGCCCTTCCGAGGAGACCCCTGCACAGCCCTCTCGTGGCCTTTGTCCCAGGTGGTGGCCTCCTGTGTCTACAGGACCCGCACCGTGGGCTCCCCATCTCTGTCCCACCCTGGGGGCCAGACTGCAGCTGTGACGGGAGCCAGGATTTTAGGGATTAGCCACCGGGCTGCACTCACCTTGAGTGGTGTCCGGGTCTGTGGTGTCCTTTGACCGGAACTGGGGCCTGAGTGGGGGAAGGTCAGCCTTGAGACATCGCAGCGGTGGGGCTCCGGGGAGGGCCCTCTCCTCGGCAAATATTGTCCCTCAGTCATACCACACGGGCCTTCCTGGGGCTCAGGATGTACGGCAAGGACACTGCCACCTGGGTGGGGCCTAGACCTACTTAACTGTCTCATAAACACAGGAGATGAAGCTGAGCATCCCTTGGAACTAACCCAGGGTGCCCAGCTGCAGGAGATCCAGCCACCACCCTGTGGATGGGCCACGGAGGGTTGGTGCACTGGGACAGTGCCTGACCCTCCCGTTCTGACTCAGCTGCTTTCCTGTTGCTGTGATTCCCCAACAGAAAAAGCCCACCTTCTTGGCCCAGGAGGTGCAGGCTCACCTGGAGGTGCTGTGGTTGGTGCTGCTCCTAGGGGTGGGTGTGGCTGTGCTCGGTGGGGCCCGCAGGCTTCCTGTGGGGTGAGGACACGGCTCAGGGCAGGGTCCCACGGTCCTGCCCAGGACAGGGTCGTGCAGGTGGGACCGGGTACCTGGCTGAGCCTGAAGAGCAGGGACAGGAGCTGAGCCCCTGGAGATGCCAGGAGGGTGCACAGGAAGCCTGTCCAGAAGAACCCGAGGGGCACACCAGTGGGGCTGGCTGCTGGCGGAAGCTGTAGCAAGGACAGCAGCAGGCAGGTCACCCCGAAGTCCGTGTGGCCCAGAGCACAATCGTTTGTAAACCACATGTGGTTCATGTGAGTGTGCGAGCTGAGTTCCCTGGGTCCCACATGCCTGCCTCAGGGACAAGAGGGGAAATGGTGGCAGAAATCCTGCTGGTTCAGATCCCTTTAAACTGAAATGTTTGCCGAGCACTTGCTGGACGCCAGGCCTGCTGTGTACAAGGCGGGCTCAATCCCGCTGCAATCTGACAAGGGGCCACAAATGCCCCCAAAGTGTCCCCAGCACACAGAGAAGCAGAGGGAAGATCAGACAACTGTTCGACCTCAGAAGGGAGGCCACCTCAGATTTCGTGACTGTGTCCACTGGTCTTGTCCCAGGAGGACACGGCCATGCCCTTCCGGCTCCTCGAGACTTCAGCATCTTCTCCTGAATCCTGCACACTCGCTCTTTTTAAAGAAGAACCTGCCAACCCACTGCTGTGGTGGCAGGAGCTCTTGACTTGGGACGTCTAGGGGTATACCGTCACGCCCGTGGTGACAAACTGCACCTCGTCCTCAGCCCAGGGCCATCATCAGAAGTCAAGGTGACCACTTCCCCTCCCCCACATTCATGCTGTGACCTGTCCTTCCAGGGGCAGCATCTGTCCCCACTGTGTGGCCTGAGGACCTGTCCTGGCCTCTCGGGGACAGTTGGACTGGTGCCTCCCCCCGCCTCCAGCCAAGTGGGGCCATTGGGATGGTTCTGCTGTTTTTGTCAGTGGGTTTTAAAAGTGAAATTAGTTGCCACCCTTAGAAGAAGTCTGGAGCACCCCTTAGGACACCTTGGGCTATAGCCCCGGCCCCAGGAGAGCCACGCTTCATGGTAGCACCAGGCTCCCACACCACGTCTGTTGGTGGAGGTGCAGCTAACTGCCCCGTGAACCCCCAGCTCCGGAGAGGCCTGCATGACTACAGGCCGGGAGCACACAGGTCCCTCCCATCATGAACTGCCTCTGCGCACTGCGACTCTCCCTAACTCCTGAGTCAAGCTGTCTCCCTGCAGGCCTGGGACTCGGAGGCCACATCAGAGAAGTGTGTCCCACCTGCTTGTGTCCTGCAGCGGTGACCATGGCCGCGAGGCAGGTGTAGGTGCACAGCAGGGCAAAGGCCACACTGAGGCGCGGCGTGTGCAGGAGGCCCCTGCCGGCCGGCCGGCTGTGCACGGAGGCCCACACGTGGAAATCCTCCAGGAGCTCTGTGAACTTGGAGTATAGAAGCTGGAATGGATGATGAGAGACGCTCACTGGTACCAAGAAGCGCGGAATTGGACTGACAACCAGTGGTTTTCTGTGCAGAGGACCGGTTTTGTGCTTCCTCGGCCGCTGCACAGCCCCAGGGCATTGGCCACGCCCAGCCCCACCTCCCTGGAGCCTCAGGGTGCCTGTACCCTGCCTTGCCTGTCTCACCCTTGGGTGTCCCCACACCCTTCTGTCTAGAGCAGGGGTGTCCAACCTGCAGCCTGCAGGCTGTGTACGGCCCAGGAAGGCTATAAATTTGGTCCAACACAAAATCATAAATTTGCTGAAAACATTAAGAGATTTTTGCATGATTACAGGTCACAATGTATTTAATGTGTGGCCCAGAGATGCCAAAAGGTTGGCACTGCTGCCCTAGACCTCTGTTCACAAGCCGTCACCTGGCAGGATGATGGCATCTCTTCCTGGCAACCCCAATGGACTAGAAACCCCTTGTCCTCAGCTCTTCACCCTGCTCAGCTAAACTTCATGGGGCTGTGAGCACCCCGAGAGCTGCGAGGGGCCTCTGCAGTGGGCGCCACACCGCAGGCAGGGAGCCAAGAAATCCAACCCAGAGAAGAGCTGGTACCCCACATCCCTCTTGCAGATAGAGTGGCAAACGCATGCCCGGGTCTCACAGGCTGGGAATGAGCAGTATCTGAGAGGGGCGGGCCCAGGCACTGCCACGCACAGGAACTGGGAAAGCCAGGCACTGCGTCCTGCCCGTGACTCTCAGGGCAAGGTGCCGCCTACCTTCCGGAAGCCGAGGCCCCCGCGCAGGCAGGCCAGCTCCCGCTCCACGAGGCCATCCTGCCGGCAAGCGGCCAGCCAGCACTCGGCGGGGAAGAACCAGCTGCGTCCAAGCCCCCATCCTGCACGCAGCTCCTGTACCATCACGTGGCTGACGTACCAGGCGGGAGAAGCCCCTCGGCTGTTGTGCCACAGGCGGACCTTCCGGAGCGGGCCCAGTGGAGCCGGGGTGCTGAGGACACATGTGTGCCATCACCCATGGGAGCCGGTGGGGCCCATCGGCAGACGGAGTGACACATGAGGCCCCAGGGGGACGTGGGAGTTGGGCAGTGAATTCCACAGGCCCCTCGAGTCACAGGACACAGGTGCCCTGCTGCCCAGAGCCACGGCCCTGGAGCACCTCACAACCCAGGCCCTCTACGCTCGCTGAGGTCCATCTGGTAGGGACTACCCACAGTCCCAGTCTGTCTTAACGAGGAGCTAATACCTAATAGCAAACTTCTCCAGGAGAACACAGCTGTCTCGCCTTTTCTGCCAACACAAGTACGCTTTTGCCTGGTGGCAGCCCCCATCTCTGTGCCACCTGGTACCTTGCTCACTCCACGTGTGGGCAGAACTAACCCCTTTAAGCGGTGCTGCTGTGAGCATGAATCCACTGGCATGTAAAGAACTCCCTCCATTGACCCCTCCTCCCTCTGTCCACCCCTCATGAGACACTTTCTGAGACTGACTGTGTGGGGTTGTGGTCCCTGCCAGAGTCTGTGGGAGCTGTTAGGCCCCCCGACCCCTTCCGGGCCCATTTCCCCAACTGCGCAGGCAGAAAGCGTCCGATACCTGAGGACGAAGGTGTGCCTGGAATTGCGTTCGAACAGGGGCTTCCCCGGGCAGTACAGTTCTCTGGGCTCCGAGAGTCCGTCGTCGCCACATAAGACAATGTAAACCTCGACACAAAGACACGGGGGTGAGAGTTCAAGCACCGAACCCCGGACCCTGCCTGGTGCTGGGCAGGGTCCTGGCGCCCTGCTCCCTGCCCTGCCCGCCCCTCCACCTGGAAGCCAGCGCCCCCGTGGGCTCTCGTTCACCAGTCTCTCATTTAAGAAAACTCCTTGTTTCTGTTCCTTTAAATCTTTCCCCATTGCGGAATGTGTATTTTCTGTAATTTCTAAGTGGTTTTCTTCTTTCAATCTCCAGGCTTCAGCAGCTCATTTTTGGACACCATGTGCAGTAGAGATTTAATGTCACTGGTCTCCACCCAGAAAGCCATGGCACCCCTCCCCCCACCTCTCTCGTGCCTGTGTCCCTCCGTCTCCCGACCACGCGATGCTGTCTCCGCCACTCCGGTGTCAACGTGCCTGCTGTCCCCCGGCAGCCCCTGCCCCGCTCTTCCCTCCAGTGGGCATGCCCGCACCTACGACTCTCCAACACGCTTGCACTTCTCCCCACACATTTCACAATCAGTTTTTCAAGTTCCACGAAACACTTTCTGAGGTTTGGGGTGGATTTCGCAGACTTTAACCTCCATGTCTTGAGTGGGCATCTGAATAGCACTTTTTCCAAACAGTGTTTTGAGGTTTGGGGAGAAGTGAAAAACAATAAAGACACAGTCAAGTCCGAGCTCGCATGAGCTGGTGCCGCTTGTTTTGCAGGTGACCTGGGAGAAATGGCAGGGAAACCAGCTTTCTGCCTGGGCACGAGCCCCGCACCCATTTTCTCCCGACAGCCCCTGGCGCCAGCCTTCTGTGGCCCTGACAAGGGCCATGCTGGCCTCGGCCATGTGGGCGGAGGGGCCCCTACCACTGTGAGGACACACTTTTTCTGAACCGACACCCAGCGGTCCGGCTGCATTTCCATATCAACTGAGTCAGCTGACTGAAGCTCCGCCTCCGTGTTCTGTGTCCGCATCCCACTGATTGCAGGAGACTGACTTCCCTCCTTCCAACCCTGGATTCCTGTTTGGGTCTTGTCCTGGCTGTCCCCCAAGTGTCCAGGGCAGCGACGGGCGCAGGGACGAGGGCAGACACCCTGAGGTGCCGCCCTGTCTCGTGTCTGGTGTGCAGTGTGCTGTGGGGGGACGGGAGGCTCCTCTGTGAGCAGTGTCCTCCGAGGGGTGTGTCTGAAGGGCCAGGGCTCCAGCAGGGAAGGCGACAGGCACCAGGCTCCCCTCTGTCCCCCACCCTCGGCACCCTTCCCCCCTCGCCCACCCCCTCCTCCAGCCCAGGCCCTGCTTGTTTTTCCTATGGGGCTGGGGAGCAGCCCTGGCGACTTGAGAACTGAAGTGAGTTCCAAACACAAGGAGAGCCTGCCCTCCTGGGGGACTGGGCAGGCCCGTGGCACCCATGGCACAGCTGGGATGGGCTCTGGGCGCTGCCCGCAACCTCAGCTCTGCAGTGTCGCCTGCATGGCGCCTCCACGTGGCCATGGTCCATCTCCCACTGCTACACAGCACCCTGTCCATGCCCCCTCGCCATCATCCATCAGGAACTCTGGGAAAATCACCATCACCCAAACTGCCTGCCAGCCACACCCAAGTTGGTGTGGCTGTTCTCGGACTGTCTCCCGAGGCCTCCCTCTGGGTGGCAGGTGCTGGGTCCACACTAACCAGACCAGCACAGCCTGGTTCTCAAAGTCTCAGGAGCCCGTGAGCTGTCTGCAGCAGAGGCAGAAAGTGGCGGCTGAGGGAGGGTCTCTCTCCTACCCCAGGGGAGGGGCAGACACACCCACTCAGGAGCAAGGTGGGGCTGCGGTGCTGGGGACAGACAGACTGCTGAACTGCCAAGTTGTGCACCCAAGCCCCACCTGTCTCCCAGGACACCCGGTTACCTTTGCAGTAAAGTGGGCCGGAGCCCGGAAGCCTGTGTCCACGACAACCGCATACAGCTGGTGCCCGGGCAGGACGTGTTCTGGGAGGATGCAGCCAGTCCTCCTCCTCTCATGGTGGTCCATGCGCTTGCCCTTCATGACCAGGAGTGCGTAGAGAAACGCACAAACCGCCACCACGGTGCCGGGAAGCGGGTTTGCCGGGTGCCTGAGAATGAAGGAGCAGGATCGAGGGTGTCGGTCATGACATAGAGGTGTGGCCAGAGGCCGACCCATGCTCCCCACACTGGCTAACACGCCTGCACGTGCATGCATACGGGCTAACACAGGTGCTCACATATGCACACTGGCTAACACAGGCACACACCTAGAGGAGGGGCTCCCCCCAGCCAGGGGGTCCAAAAGCCCAGCTGCACCTGCCATTCTGAGCCCCAGTCACCAGGCCCCTGGTGGCCCCCACACAGCAGCCTCAGGGGTGTCACTAACTGATCACTACCTATTGGGTCCACCTACTGGGCTATGAGGAACCAACCCCTGACGACTGATTAGTAATCAAGGTGGTGTCCCTATGACACAGCTGTCAGGGAGGAACCATCACTGCCCACACGCCACGAAATGAAGACCCCCCACCCATGTGCCATGGGCAGCTGGGCATCGCCTATGGCTTCTGGACAGACAGAGGGACGAGGTGGACAGGCGCCCACTCTGGCCACCTTTCAGACCTGCTACACCTGGTCTACCCACACGGCGGCTGCAGAGGAGGGCACTCTCAATTTGTCACCTGAAAGAGGGCACTTCTGGGGACAAGGAGGGGAAGCAGGCCATGCAGACTGGGCAGTGGCATTACTCAGACGCTGACCCAATGGTCACAGCCGACCACACTCCCCACTGACCTCGGCTGAACCTCAGCGACTTCGCGTGGTCAGCCACCCACTGCCGGGGGTGAGAATATAGACAGATGGGGATGGCTGATGTGGTGACACTGGGTGACAACCACCAACCAGCACATGCATTGGAAAGGCAGAGGTCACACAGACTAGGGACCACCCAGTGGCCGGGCGGCCTGAGCACCCGGGCGGGGGGCAGGTGACATGCATGCTGACAGGGAAGCGGGACTCACCCCCGCAGCTCCGACACGGCGCTTGTCTCGAAGGTGGCATTCAGGTCCCTCCTTGCCATGGAGAAGGCAGTGGCGGGGTGGTCGTAGCTGTGGGAGAGGGGGAGGGGGGGTGAAGGCTACACGTATCTGTGGAGAAGGCACCCTGCGCTAGGCGAGGGGAGGGGGGAGGCAGGCCCAGCGGGACAGGGTGACTCAGACCCACTTAACATGCTCACTGAGCGGGTGGGACTCGGGGCTGGCGACAGCGTGGCCGGCGCCCACTCCTGAGTCTGAGGCACAGCCTCTGCCGTGGTGTCAGCTTTTACCTGGCAAGGAGGCTTCTCACTGAGCAACATGGCTGATGGACCCGGAAATGCCCGTGCGGCCTCCCAGTCGGTGCAGGGCCGTGCCATGAAGTTCACCCTCGCCCCCCACTGCCGGGGTGGGGTGCACGGGTCACAGGGTGGCAGGGAGGCGGGAGCAGAGGCCTGTGCCCGACCACCAGGAATAAGCTGATCCACGCTGAGCTCTACCCTTCAATGTCCACTCATTTGTCCAGCCCACGCATGCGGAGTGCTGCCCCAGTGCTGCCCCACATGTCATCGGGGGTGGGGGGCAGAGGGACGTGCATCTCCAGACCCTGCTCCCCTGGAGGCTGTCCCACGGTGGGGACAGATGCACGACCGGGGGTGCACACACGCGGCCCCATGTGTGCAGGGGCCCAGGCCAGCAAGGCCCGGGAGGAAACGCTGTCACAGAGACGCCCAGCCCTCCCACAGGCCCCTGTCCGCACCTGCAGCTCACTTTTCCCGGAGAAGCACCTGGTTGTGGGGGGAGACTCGCGGGCGCCCACCGCCCTGCATCCCAGCGCAGGCAGCGGACGCCCTGGACCCGCAGGGTGTAGCTCACGGCCTTGGCCAGGTGCTTGTCCGCAGGGTCCCTGTCGTAGTCCGCATCCAGCAAGGACAGGTACCCCTGGGCGGGGCCTGGAAGAGGATGAGCAAATCCAGAGTCACAGCCTGAAGATTGCAGAACAGCATAGCCCAGACCCGAGGTAGAGGGAATGGCGACGGCAGGACAGGGCTGAGGGTGGCAAAGCAGAGGACGCGCACACATGTCACCACGGGGCTTTGTCAGAAGCTGAGGGCAAGGGAGGCTTGTCCACCGACCCTGCAGCGATGTGGCCGGCACAGAAATGTGCGCCGTGAGCCCCTCCCAGGAGTATGTCTGTTTCACCAGGAAGCGGGACGGCGTCGGCTTCTCCAAGAACCTAGGGAAGGACAGGAAGCCACGGCGTCCAGCCCGGTCCCTCCCGACAGGGAGGCGGTGGGATGGAACACCCTTGTCCCCCACCAGCCTATCATTCGCTCCGTGTGGCCCTCACTTGCTTCATTAAAGAACAAACATGGAGCTCGGGCCCCAAGAGGACCAGGACCGCCAGCCTTTAGCAATGATGCTCCGGGCTCCCACGGGGCAGGCTTGCGCTCACTTCCCCGTGCAGTGACTGTTAGCAGTCAGGCAGCGCCGGCCTCGGGGCAGCAAGCACAGCATGGTGATGGGGAGGCACTGCTCAGAACTTGTCACCTTTTCTGAGTGTGACAAAGATTAAGCAAAATCACAAGCTCTTTCGGCCAAGAGGCAGGTGTCCGAGCCCTGACAGCTTAGCTCGCAGGGCACACGAGCCCATGGGACGCTGCCTGTGTGACACTCCCCACACCATGAAGTGGTCAATTTCTTTACACAGCCAGCCCCATGCTTTGTCAGAAGTGCAAGTTCACTCATGAGACCTCTCTCATGGTCCAGCCCATCTCGCGCTCCAGCCCCGTCCTGGCCTGAGCGCCGGCCCCACGCACCTCACCAGCAGCATGACCGGGAAGGCCCTGGCAGCTGGCTGCCAGAACTCGACCCGGATCTGCAGGGACTCTGGGGGGTCTGCGGAGAGCCCCACCAGGCGGTGGACATTCACTCTGTCCTGAAGCAGCACGAATGCTGTCTCGTTTCCGTCGCTGCCCTGTCAGCACACGGAAAAGGAGCAAGATTGGCGGACAGGGCGCAGAGGATGCCCTTGGAAAGTAGAAACGCCACAGGTTGCTGGCGCAGCCACAGTGCAGCTGAGGGGTGCTGGCAGGGCTGTCCTTACTGGGCTGTCTTCCTCCCCGAACTCCACGGTCACGGGCGTCCTCAGCTGCTGTGTGCGGAGGGGCCTCCTGCTGGAGCAGCGGTGCAGGGACAGGGCGAGCACCACACCCACCTGGGGACCCAAGTGCACCTCAGGTGGTGACGCCAGCCCCTCTGCGGCTACAACCCACTGTGGAGCTGGTGAGGGGCATGGGGGGTAGGGGCAGCACTCAGGCAAACACAAGTTCATCAGCGACACCGGCTGAACCCGGGTGGTGGTGGGGTAGAGGACAGGCAGGGCTTCATTTGTGTTGTTCTCGCGTAAATCAATCATCCCTGGAGTTTCTGAAAGCATCGTACAAAAGCCACACCTGCCGAGTGAGGGTGGTGGAGGGGGCCCCAGAGGGCTGGCAGGTGGTGGGCAGGGAGCCGGGCCAGGAGCTGGGCTGGGAGTAGAGCCGGGAGCCGAGCCGAGAGCTCTGCTGCAGTTGTGAGGTACGCTCCCCTGGGTGTTGGGGACATGCTACGCAGACAATAAATGCTTTTTGTGTGTGTGAAATCTTTCAAGGTCACTAGGACCCCTGACCGACCCCATTTAACTGGCTGTGTTAGGGTTCTCCAAACTCCTTAAAACCCCAATTGGACTTAAATCTCTGCTGGACGTTCAAGTCCATTTCTATTGGGGCTATGGTAACTGATGTTGTTTTGAGTAAATGGGTCCAACATCTTGCTTTGAAGAAAGCTTTTCTCCCATCTCCTGGGGGGAGGGGCGGGGGGAGACTCCTCACCGAGTGGCCACGGGGTCGGGGCTTCAGGACAAGTGCTCTCACCGCCCAGAGGCCCTGCTCCTCCACAGAGGCCGGTCTCTGTGCAATCGCCCTTTCTAACTTCAGTTTGTTTCTTTTTTGCTTGCTAGTTGGGGTTATTTTGGGGGCTGCTGAGCTACGTCTGTTTCTCTCGAAGGAGGGGGTGCGGATGCTTTTGAGCAGATTGATGAGTTTGCCATTCGTCTGCCTACTCCTCCATCACACATCATGGGTGGGGCACAGAAACTGCAGAACCGCTGGTGCTCCACCCCCCACCCTGCTCCGAGACTGGGGTCACTCCCACGGCCTCTGGTGTGGAAGCAGAAGGGAAGCCCGTGGCCGCAGAACCATGAAATGCTGGCACCACCCTCCCGACACACCCACTGCCACAGGCCCGCTGACTCTGGTCCCCGCTTCTGTCCAACCCCTGGGGACCCTGTGGTCAGCCTTGCAGGGACACATGCTCAGATCCGCACCAGCCTCTGGGTCTGACAGCAGGACAGTGAGGCCCAGCAGGATACCCCGAGGGGCCCCGTGTCCTGGGTACAGGGACCCCTGGATTAGCCGAGGTTCTCTCGCAAGATAATATGGACAGCGGCTTGAAACTGACCACCAGGGGCACACGTATCACCCTGTCTCTGTCTCCTTCGCCCATGCAAGGTCACCGCATGTGGAGGACTGTACCTGACCAGGTGCGCGTCTCCATGGGGTGGGGCTCCCCCTGAAGAGCGTGAGCTGGCTGATGTAGCAGGGGCTCTGTGTCTCCTGCGTGGCCAGGTCCATGGGCAGCTGCACCTGGACTGGGCCCAGGCCCAGCGTGGAGCTCTCTGCGTGGCGATGGAGCTGCGAGTGGAACTCCATCTGCCCGGCGCTGACGTGAAGCTGGTGCTCGCAGCCAGCTGACAGGCAGCCCTAGAACCACATGGGAAGACGCTGACAGAGGGGCAGGCTATCCAGAGGGGACCAGCTTTCCAGGGGGACCGGGCGGGGCGGAAAGGACGGGAATGGGTTCCTGTGCCCAAGCCAAGACTTTGGTCCAAACAAGGACGCTCGGCCGAAGGACAGTGACACAAGTTGTTTGCTTCTGTTTGGCTGCACCTTCCTGTGACATCTGTTACTCTGTGACAAGTGTCACTCTTTCCGGGTCTGAACTCCAGGGGATGGATGACATGCTCTCACAGGGCCTGATGGGCCCGGAGTGGGGGTGCCCAGAGTGCAGCTCCTGTGCCTGAACGTGTCGGCCGCAGTCCCGGCCGAGATGGTGGGGCCGGGCCGAGTGCTCGTTTACTTTGATTTCCCGGCACCGCACCCAGCATCGTGAGAAAACAGGCAGGTCTGGGCAGGAGGAGACATGGAAGGAACCCAATGCTCCCCCGAGACAATTTGTCAAGGTCACGGCCATGGAGACCCCTGCTGTGTCAGCAGAGCCACCTTTTGCGCCAGCAGGTGGGGCCTCCGTCTGCGAGAGTCTCTGCACTCCCAGGGGACAAGGAGGCCCAGCAGAGCCCAGGGGACAGGCAGCAGCCATGGTCACCAGGATGCTCCCGTGAAACCCAGCAAGTGAAAACCTCCCAACGTCCTGCTGCCGCCCAGCACCCCACACCCCATGCCTCAGGGACCCACTGCACTTGGGGTTTCCAGAGAATCAGTCACTGAACAAGGACCCTGCCGGGGAGGGGAGGAAAGGGGAGGGGAGGGCGTGTCAGGGAGGAGAGAGAGGGTGACGTACCAGCAGTGCGTCTGAGATGACCCGCACACCTTCCTCGAGCAGACGGGCTGGGCCCCGTGAGGGCTTGTGGTCCATGCCCTGCAGGACCCCCGCCACCAGAAGGACAAGCTCCCGCACCTGCCCTGCATCTGCCAGGAAGCTGGTGAGGGGCTGCCTGGGAGCCAGCAGCGAGCGCACATATCTGAGGATGTGATCGGCACTGGCGATGCTCAGCTGCGTGGAGACAGAGAACAAAGCACTGCTGCCACCTCGCCTGGTGTCACCGTGAAGTGACACTCCCACACCAGGGCTATGGGGCCCGGGTTCAAGCCCCGTTTGCCCTGACTTCATAAGCGGTGGTCTGCTCCTGAGGGCCAGCATCCTGACCCACAAAGTGAGAAAGAAGTGACAAAAGAGGAACTGGCCAAGGTCCTGGTCATGACGCAGAAAAGCAGGGAGACACTGGGAAAGGAGGGCTCACCTTGTTGGGGAAGTGGAGGAGGTCCCCCAGCACCAGGACCCAGTCGGCCATTTCCTCCTAGGCAGGACAAGGAGACAGAGGCGAGCAGAGGTCAGCCCTTGCGGTCCACGGTGGCGTGGCCCCGCTCACTCAGGCAGAGACGGGAAGCCCCCCCCTTCTGGGCTCAGGGAGCTAGGGAAGTTCCTAGTGTCCAGAGAGACTGCCTGCCAGTCCCCTGTTTTCCTACTGGTTAGGACCCCCTCTCCTGACCGCTGACCAGCTCCCAGCCCCATGAACGAGTGACAGGCAGGAGCAGAGACCAGGAGGCCAGCACACAGTGCACCCCGGCAAGGGTGAGGACATGGCAGAGAGGGGAGCAGTATTAGTGCCTGTGCCGCGGTGACAGTGGACTCGGGTGCTCATGAACATCACTGCTCTCTGGTAAAGGGACCTCAAATGCGCAGTGTGCAAGGCCATGGCTGGGAAGCTGCACCTGCCATAACCCGAACTGCTGCACCTTGTTCCCAAGGAGAAACTGGGCTGTGTTCATCTAGTTTCCTCTTACGGCGACGTGGGCCTGTCTGCATGGATGGTGGCTCAGGTCACGCTCTCTTTAGGAAACCAGCCACGCCAGTTTGTGAGACGCAGGCAGGAGCAGGCAGGAGGCCACGGCCACATGTCAGACCACGCGAGTGCCCCCCCCAGGTTGGCACCCAGTGGGTCTGTCTCCCAGGTGTGACCGCCTGCTCATGACCCAGGCAGGCTGAGCCCCTGCCGAGCAGGCCCGGGCAGCACCTGGTCTCGAGAAGCTGAGGTGCACGCTGCAGAAATGAGTGCGTCCTGAATGCGTGGCCACAGGCCACAGGAGGGGCTCCCGCCCTTCGCCCAGCGACTCAGCATGCTGGTGGTCACAGAGATGTAGTTGCGGACCCCCGCGGGGCTCCCCATCAGCCGGAGGGTGGACAGGTCCTTCAGGCTGGAATTGTACCTGCAGGAAACAGACGCATCTGCCTGCTCGCCAGAGGGGACTGCCTCCGTCACAGAGATGCTTCCCGCCTGGGGAGGGGCAGGCAGACAGGGCTCGGAGAAGAGCTGGTCTGGGCAGAGGGAGCTGCAGAAGGACACGGCGAGGTGTGATGCCAGTGTCTGTAAACGCTGCAGCAGAACGGAACAGGCACGAGACGCCAGCGGAGGGTTGTGGGAGCAAGGCCGCAGAGGGGGATGGTGCAAAGCTGCACAGGAGCCCCGCGTGCACCAGGAAGCAGAGTGGTGGGCAGCACCCAAGCCCGAAGCCCCACTGAGTTGGCTGGGCTGGGCCGGGCCTGGCCAGGGCAGGGTTAGGGGCGAGGGTGGGGGTCGGGCAGGGGCAGATGAAGCTCACTCACACGTCCTCCCCGGGGCAGAGGTCCTTGTGGTGATGGGGCAGCACTGTCACGGCTGTGGCGCACGGCTGCGCCTCAGAGCCTTTGCCATCGGTGATCAGAGTGGACACCAGGACTGGAAGGGACACAGCAGCAGAGGGTCAGTGGGGCCATCCCCAGCTGCTTCCACGAGGGTCAGCGGCCACGGAAGGACAGAGCTGCTGGCCTGTCCCAGACTCTGCTGGCCCATCTCCATGCCCAGGTGGTAACCACACTCCCCATGAGACAGGGCAGCATGGAGGGTGAGTGCCAGAGCCAGAGGGCAGCAGCGTCCCCCTGGAAGGCAGGTGACCACCATGTGGAGGGCCAGGGAATGGGTCCTCCGCTTACATGTGCCCACTTGTCCCTGGCCCTGCACCGTGTGCCTGTGCAGTGAGATGCCCCCGGTGACCCCTGCCTGCTCGGGGGTCCGTCATGTTAGAAATGGTTGAACCAGGGCTGGGAGGCCCGGAGGGGGAGATGCAGACTGAGAGGCTGTGCCCAGGGCCGTGGTTCCACTAGAGGCAGACTCGGGGGAGGCTGGGCCCGAAGGGGCGCCGGTGAACTGCTCAGATGTCAGGCAGAAAGAATCTCAGCAGCCACATGGAGGAAGCCACTAGATCAGAGACTCAGCCTCCCTCCACACCAGAACCATCCAGAAGCTTATAAGACGCTGTTGCCCTGAGATCCTTCACGGCTCTGGGCCCTGCGGGATGGCGCACTTTGCCCAGTGGCTGTGTGTCCGGCACACTCAGGGGAGCAGGTCCCAGGGGGTCAGGGCTGGAGGGGGAAGGGCTCCAAGGCCCTGCCCCAGTGCAGCATCCTGTCCCCCTGCCCCCCGGCCCCCCTCCAGCAGGAGACAGGGGTGCAGCTCCCTCTGCAAATGCTGGATTCACCAGGACCATGCCCATCCTGAGTAAACTAGGGCAGCCGGGTCTCAAATGCTTAGTTCCCAGATGCAGAATGTCCCTGGCGTTTTCTCGCCGACATTCTGTTTCAGATTTCAAAATGTATTTACGTGACCCATTCCGTCTGCACTCAAAAGTGGGCAACTGGGGCTTTGCTGTTAGTGGCGCAGCTGTTCCAACCGGATAGACATCATATATTGAGAAGAAAGAACATCAAGAGCTAAATGTTCAATGTAAACCTGTAGTTGCTGCTCAGAAAGTAACATGCAGACCCACAGTTAGTGGTTTATCATTTTTCAAGCAAGAGCAATGAACTAAAGGAGAGAAGAAAGCTGTATTGATCAGTGACTCTGGTGAAGACTTAGAGAGTTGAAATGAATTTGCTGATGACACACAACTTGTAAGTAAATAAAATCTTTAAAAATAAAACAAGGAACTTCCAGCCAAGATGGAGCCATAGGTGGAAACATTGTGCCTCCTCGCACAACCAAGTTTAAAGTCAGCAAAGTTTTAGTAACAAAATCGCAACCAAAACACAGAAAATTGAACTAAACGGAAGTCCAACAACAAGGAACCTTTCAGCCAGACCAGTAAGAGGGGCGGAGCCAGTGGCGGAGCGGGGTCAGGCAGAAAAGATTCGCCAGACCTACCCAGGCACACAGGCAGCCATGGGCAGATTCCAGGTGTGGGGTAGCAACAGGCAAACCCAGTGAGAGCGCAAGGTGGCAGGCTGACCATGGCCACACTTTCGCATGCAGAAAAACCAGGCTAAGGAGTGAGCAGTGAGACAGACCATGCAGGCCCCAGCGGTGGGAAGCAGCAGAGGGGACTGCTATTGCCCCTCTTTTACCCCACCCCCACATACAGCTTCACAACCCAGTGACCTGGGTGGCCCCGCCCTGGTGAACACCTAGAGCTCTGCCCCTCATACATAACAGGTGTGAACAGACCAAAATATCATGGCTCAAGAAGAACAGCTCAAAGCTCCAGAACCAATAGTTCTAAGTGACCAAGAGATAGCCAACCTATCAGATGCACAGTTCAAAACGCTGGTGATCAGGATGCTCACAGAACTGGTTGATTTTAGTCACAAATTAGAGGAACAAATGAAGGCTAAACTAATTGAAATGAAGGGAAATGCACAGGAAACCAATAGTGATGGAAAGGAAACTGGGACTTTAATCAAGGGAGTGGACCAGAAGGAAGAAAAAAATGACCAAACAGAAAAGTATGAAGAAACAAGAATTCAGAAAAATGAAGAGAGGTTTAGGAACCTCCAGGACATCTTTAAACATTCCAACATCTGAATTATAGGGGTACCAGAGGGGGAAGAGGAAGATCAACAAGTGGAAAACTTATTTGAATATATAATAAAGGAGAATTTCCCCAATCTGGCAAAGGAAATAGACTTCCAGAAAATCCAGGAAGCTCAGAGAGTCCCAAAGAAGTTAGACCCAAGAAGGAACACACCAAGGCACATCATCATTACATTAACCAAGATTAAAATGAAGGAGAGAATCCTAGAAGCAGCAAGAGCTAAGGGGACAATCACCTACAAAGGAGTTCCCATCAGACTGTCAGCTGATTTCTCAGGAGAGACCTTGTAGGCAAGAAGGGGCTGGAAAGAAGTATTCCAAGTCATGAAAGGCAAGGACCTCCATCCAAGATTGCTCTATCCAGCAAAGCTTTCATTTAGAATGGAAGGGCAGATAAAGTGCTTCTCGGATAAGATCAAGTTCAAGGAGTTCATCATCACCAAGCCCTTATAATATGAAATGTTAAAGGGACTTATCTAAAAAAAACATAAAAAAGATGAACAGTGAAAGGACAGCAAAATCAGTTATTAACAACCGCACCTAAAACAAAAGCAAACTAAGAGGACAGCTAGATCAGGAGTGAACCATAGAAATGAAGATCATGTGGAGGGTTAGCAACAGGGGAGTGGGAGGAGGGGAAGGGGGAGAAGGTACAGAGAATGGGTAGCATGGACAGTAGGTGGAAAATAGGGGGGAGGGCGAGAATAGTATGGGAAACATAGAATCTAAAGAACTTAAGACATGTGGACATAAACTAAAGGGGGGGAATGGTGGGGGAGGGGGTGTGCAGGGTGGAGGGGAATGAAGGAGGGAATAGGACAACCGTAATGGCATAATCAATAAAATGTATTTTTTAAAAAGTGGGCAACTGACCAACACTAAGGAGCATTCGACTTCTTCAGGTGAGTAGATAAGAACTTCATCTTTCCAGTTTGGGGGACCCGGGACTGTGTGCAAGCACAGCCTGTGCCCTGATGGCCCGGTGACTCACCCTGGTGACCGTCCCCGGGCGCCCCCGCAGGCAGCGTGAAGTAGTACTGGGCGTCGGTCCCACGGTACAGGGCGCGCTTGGCTGCGTTCCCAGCCAGGTAGCTGAACTCATAGCGGAAGTCCTGCAATCCGTCCAGCGGAGAGCAGAGAAAGGGCCAATGAACAGACTGACAACACCCCTCACCGTATCCACCCCACAGAGGCTCGGCTGGTGTGACAAGTGTCCCCAGAGCACAAGCAGGAGTGACTTTCTGCCTCTAGGGTCCCTTGTCCATGGTGCCCGGGGGACACCACACATGTTGCGCCTGTCACTCGGGGGAGTGGGCCCTCCTGGGCTGGGGCCTCCTGACAGCCACAGATGCAGGGAGCTCAGGGCTCCTTGGGGTGAAGGGGACGAGGCTGCCCCTCTACTTCCCACTGTGTGGGGGACATGGAAGACGGGGGATGGGGCCCTTGTGGGGCGACATTCTCAGCCTCAGAGCTCAGAGCAGGGTGTCCAGGTGGGGCCTGCAGGGGGAGACCAGGGTGGGGTCTCCTGAAGATGTTCACAGGGTGTGGGGTTCTGGAGGGGCCAGTGGACATGGGATGGGCCTGGCACCCAGCCCTGGGGGTGCTTTGTGTCCCACGGCCCCTCAGAGAGCCAGCTGTGAGCTCCACCCACCCTCAGAACAGGTGAGGGGCCGCGGTGCTCACCGGTCTGCCGGACGTGCAGAAGACACTGAAGACGGTGTGGGCCTCCAGGCCACGGGGTGGCTGCACCTGGCAGGCCACGTTCCGAGGGGCTGGGTTGATGGTCAAGTATAGCTGAGCCTTCCCTAGGAAGCTGAGCCCCGAAGCTGCGGGGGAGAAGAGATGGGGTGACACCTGTGCTGGAGAAGGGTGGCGGACGCCCCTGTGCGGCCGCAGACCTGTGGCATCAGTGTCCCTGTGGACTTGCTGCACTAGGACTCCTGGGCCACCCAGACCTGCTGGGTCAGGATCGGGGGCCCAGCCACCTACATTAGCCAGCATGTCCTCCGGGGGGCTCCCAGGGGCCAAGGGCCCCACCCTGCAGCGCCCACATACGTAACCCTCTTTACCGGGTGCTGGGTTGGTGGGGCAGCCACACCTGAGGCCCCAGGGGACCGGGTGGATGAGACAGGCTGGGTCCCTACCTGGGGGCCAGACACCAGCCGTGCTGGCAGGACACACCCGGAGCACAGCAGCCCTCTGTGTGTGGCGTGGTGCCGAGCCTCGTAAGGAGCATGCACACCTGCACGGGCTTGACTCTAGAGCCCCAGCCCGGCCCCACACTCGGCTTTTATTGGCCGCACTAGTGTTGTGTGCATCTCCTGCGACGCCACAGAGTATGCAGCATCTGTGTTGCAAGTGAGTTCTCCCAGTGACTCAACATCCTGTTTCCACTCTGCTGTTGCCAATCGTCCCATAACTGTTCTCACACATGAGGCTGTTTTCCAGTGTCTCTTTCTTGAAATGAACTACAGGTGTGAGTCACACGCACCGAGCTGTTTAAGTGTGGACAATGCTGACCCTCACACTGACAGCAGACACTGCGGCTTGTCCCCCCACCCTGGAGAGAGACGCCGCAGCGCAGGCTGGATCAGGGCCTGGTGACAGCCCCTGTCAAGCCACCTGCGCATCCTCCCAGGGACAGCTGAGCTCGGGAGCTGCCCTGGGGGAGGATGGGCACCGCTGAGGCAGCCGCAGGGGAGACGGAGCCATGGGCATGGGGACTGACCCGTGTCCCCCAAGTTCCAAATGCAGCCCCGCTGAGGGTGGGCTTCCTGGGACTGGGAGCTCAGCTTCTGATCGTGTCGTGGGTGGGGCAGGAGGACAGTTACAAAGACGTCAGAGAAAGTGGTGAGAGTCCAAACGCTTCCTGGGGACCGGCCAGGCCACCCCCGGGGTCAGATACAAGCCGATCTTTCTCACTGGAGTGAGCCGCCGGCAAACAAGACGTGGAAATGGAGACACCTGACGGGCCTTGGCCCCTCCGAGAGGCAGGCACGGAGCCAACCTCCGCCCTGTAGACTGCCGCCCCCTGTGCACTTGTGCCAGGGAACTGAGCACCCTGGACAGAGGGGAAGAGTCTAGAAAGCCCCAAAAAGGAAGACGTCCCCCCGAGTCACGGAAATGCCAGAGGAACGTGGGCCAGCTCATGGCACAGGCGCATGGAACCCACTGACCCTGCACCCCCAGAAACGGTGCTGCTGGCCTTCCAGCAGACACAGATATTGCCCCCCATCTCGCCAGGGGGGTCGAGCTGCCATCTCAGGCTCCCTGACCTGCACACATCCCATCCTGCAGGGGCAGCGGCTGCACACGCACGGCCCTCGCTCCCTGGCCGCTGACGCAGGGAGCACCAATGAGCAGGGAGGTGACAGTGGCCAAGGAGGGGATGCTGGGCCCCTGGTACATGTGGCTGCAACTTGCAGGAAAAACCGTGATTGGAACCGAACCCCTCTCCCTGCCTGCAGCAGGCCCAGCCAGGTCACCTACCCACAGTGGCCTGCAGGACATAGGTCGCTCCAGGGCTCAGCGAGTATGGCTTTACTGTCACTGTCTGTCCTGTGGCCCCTGCAGGAAAGAAGGGCGGCAGGGACCCACTCACTGGGGACTCTGCAGGACAGCAGGGCTGACGCACCCCCAAGGGGATGGCGACACAGGCACCAGGTCGCACCGCTGGGCCCCGCCTGGAGTTGCCAGCAGCTGGTCATTTTCCCCTTGTCGAGGAGCTGGAAGCTCCCGCTCGGCCTCCCACCCAACAGGCAGCCTGAGCTCGGCAGTGACCAGGCCAGAGAGGACCCTGTTGTCCCAGAGAACTCGGGGGAAAGCTGAGTCCTTGCATTTACGAGTGGGTCCCTCAGAACCAGCAGAACTGGCAGGTCCAGGCGGGACTTGGCAGCCACCCACTGCTCCTCTGAGGTGGTGGCTTGAGCTATGTCTGCGGATCGGCACGTGCACACCTGGGGAGCACGTGCGCACGGGGGGCCCGCACGGCAGCCTCTTCCCCTTCCTCTGAAAATGGGGCCCCCGGCCTGCGGGCCCCAGAGGGACGGTCACCCCTGCAGGGCAAAGGCAGGGGCTGGCGTCCCGTCTTGAACCAGCCGACATGCCCAAACAAAGGGGTGCTCATACCAGACTCCGTGTAGCTGTGGAAGACAGCCCGGCTCACAGGGGACTTGGGCCAGTCGACCAGGAGTGCAGGCCCTGTGCCCCGGGTGGGGAGGGAGGGGCCCAGCAGGTTGTCCCCGTCCCTGTGGCTCTCGTCGGCACCCACACTCGGTCCTGGCCCTGGAAGGTGGAGGTCGGTCCCTAGGAAGACACGTGGAGCCAGGAGGGTTAAGGAAGGGGTGGTCATGACCTTCTGAGAGCATCAGCGGTTCATGGTCACAAACAGCCCCAGCTGTGCCATTTCTGGACTCTGCTTATCTAAAGCCTCCACCCACCACAAGTGGTCAAGGGCAATGCCGTCGCCACGTGATGCGTGGGCCGTGGCGTTCACTCAGTACAGGTGTGCTCGGCGGAGATGCCCAGGTGCGGCTACTGGAAAGAGCCGCCACACAGAGCGAGGCTTTCTCTGTTCAAGGCCGTGGCAGGCGTCCAGGTGAGCACACAGGAAGGCGCACGAGGAGGCCCTCCCAGAGGCCCTCGCCAGTGTGCAGCCGGTGGTGGAGGCACCCAGAGAGGACAGTGCAGGGCACAGAGAGAGGGGACTGGAGGGGCAGGACTGTGGGAGGTTCAGGACAGAGGGGGGTGAGTGTGAGTGCTTTGACGAAGATGCTCGGGTGGCCAGGCTGAGGCTGGAGGGAGCAGGCTGGCTGTGCTCAGGGAGGGCTGACCTCAGGCTTCACACCCAGGCCAGCAAACACGGGGAAATGGGAAAATGGATGCGTGTTGGGCATTACAAGGGGCTCAGCCTCCAGGAAGAACAATCCGTGAGCACGGTGCCTTTCCTCACTCACTGTGATCTGTTACGTACCTACTGTGTGTGAGGCAGCGAGCCCCATGTGTCAAATGTCTAATCATTATGTCACACACCTGGAATTAATACGTCAGCTGAGATTAAAAAGTAAAACATAAAAAAAGGAACTTCCCTTGCAGAGCTCAGAGCGACAGACGCAGGAAGAGCCCAGGAGCACAGCCAGGTGGGAGATAAAGACCCTGGGCTGGGGCGCGGGGGAGACGAGAAGGGGCTTCCCAGAGGGAACTCAGTCCCCACGGGCAAGGAGGGAGGATGTGGAGGAGGCGCTTTTGGCCGGTGACAGCCCACGGACCAGGGATGAGGGAGAGATAGTGCCCCTGGGCCTGGGCTCCTCTGGGTGTCTGGAGCTGGGGGACCCTCTGTACAGCAGGGGAGCTGAAAACAGGGCCAGACTGTGCCCCCCAAAGGAGCAATGCCTGCCTCTTGGCCTCAGGGTGTAGGAGGCTGTATGGACCCAGGCTTCGGGAGGCGTTGAAAGGTGATGGGGTGAGGACAGGACTTGGGCAGGGGACGGAGGGACCAAGTACAGACTCACAGTCAGCCGGCCACCTTCCTTCCGCTGGCACTGCTTCCTGGAGGTCACTGTAATGGGCTTCAAAGTCTGTGGGACAGGACAACACGGGGACGTGTTGTGGGGACCAGGCCCCCTGAAATTCACATGGCTCTCCAGGGGGCACACAGCACCCTGGTCTGTGTCAGGCCCTGCCCCGCAGATGTGAACCTGTCAGGGCAGCTGGAGGCCGTGTCATGGTCCCCGCCCCCTGGGGTGGGCAGGGCTCCGCGTGGTCACCTGCAGGGTAGATGACGAGGCCTGGGGACAGCCTGGCTCTCATCTCTTACAGGGGAAGCCGGCATGAACACCCAGCCGCCACTTCACCTTTCTGTCCCCAGGGTGCTGCCCTCCCCGAGTCTGAGGGATTTGTGGGGGCCCGCCCACCAGCTACCCCAAAGCTGGGACTCTGGGATGCAGCAGCCTTGGCCAGGGCACGGGGCGCGGCACCGTCACCCGATTGTGACTGAGAGCAGCCAAGGGGGACGGTGGCAGGGTGAGGGACAGATGCACGGACAAAGGCGGAGCTTCCCTGAGCTGCAGAGAGCAGAACCCGCCTGAAACCCGCACTGCAGGAAGTCCGAGGTCTGGAGTGGGGGAGGGGCGAGGGGGGTGATGGGCACAGCTCTTGGGCTGCAGCTGGAAAGACAGCCCCTGTCCCAGGGAAGGGTGGGGGTGAGCAGGCTCGGTGAGCAGCAGGGATGTGACCCCATTTTACCTCAGGGGCGGCACATACCAGGCAGGGGAGGGGTCGAGTTCACTGGGGTCCACACATCCCAGGGACCCCTGTCTGAGGCCACAGCATCCCCTGCAGCAGGGGCAGGGTGCACAGGGTCTGTGAACTCTGCGGAGGCTCTGTCCAGGGCTGAGAAGTCCCGCTGGCCAGGGGTCTGTGGCCACAGCTCCCGCAAGGAGGGCACAGGTGTGACATGCAGCTCTGCCCTACTTGGCCCCAGGGATGGTGGGTAGGACTCTGATGACTTCAGTCTGGCCCCCAGACCTGAGGAGCCCAGCAGTCCCGCGGTTCTGCAAAAGGGAACTTAAATGGAGATGCCACAGGGTTAAAGATTTGGACCGGAATCAGTCCCTAAGCACTTACAGATTTCACACGTGTGCTCTGTTTTAAACAAGCCCAGTGTCAGCATGAAGACGGCGCATAGGAGACCGGGTGTGGGCAGACCAGCTGCCAGGATGGGTGGGTGGCAGTGCGCTAGCTGCCCCGCCCGGCACCCCAGGGTGCCCCTCCCTCTGGCCCCGGGCCACTGAGAGGGGCCTGCCAAACGCTCTGCACCCCACCCGGCTGGTCGCAAGTGTTCTAGAAACTATCTGGGCACGTGGAGCTTCTAGCCCTTACCTGTCAGTCAGTGTCTCGGGCAACAGCCCGGAACCGGCTGTCAGGCTCCCAGAAGAGGATCAACAACAAAGAAACACTCGGCAGGGTCATGAGGACAGAGTCCACGTGGGTGTTGGCTCTCACCGGCCGCCAGTGAGGCGACTCCAGGAGGACAGGCTGGGCTGCCCCCGTGAAGGGATGCGCACTCTCCCAGAGGGACGTGTGACCACTGCTGGGACCCCCACAGCCCAGGACACGGAGCGCCAGCTTTGCTCCCCACCCCGCATTCACCGGCCAGACACGCCCCCTCAGCACGGAGGCTGCTCCCCGCGCGGAAGCCTCGTTTGGTCGTGAAGGGAAGGAGGAGAAGCATGTGGGGCAGGGCGGGGGCACAGGCTGCACCCTGTGGCCAGCTCAGGGTGACGCCCCTCTGCGGTCAGGCCAGAGAGGCCCTGGCACAGTGTCACCCAGGAGGATGCCACTGCCACAGGCCCCACCCGGGACCCCGCCACCTGTAGGCCATGCTCACCACTGGGGCTTCGTGTCACCCACACGGCTGCCCTGGACTTCCCCTCCCTGCAGAGCCTCAGGACCCCCATTTCCCCCATGAAACCTGAGTCTCAGAGCGGCTCCCAGGCACTGCTGTGGGGGGCGTGAGGACCCCCCTCTGCCCGCTCCTCCACTGAGCCCCCAGCCACGTGGGCACCGAGAACATCAGGGCCCGGAGGGGTGAGGCCCCAGGATGGTGGCTGTGCCATGTGTCATTTCACAGGTGCGTGCATTTCTGAACCAGGAACCCTGACCTAGCGGTACAGGGTGCAGCCTGCAGGCAGCTGCCCAGGCTGAGGTGCAGCCTTTGGGCCTTGTCCCCTCTGCTGTCACCACCGTCCACCTGATGTGACATCAGGAGGGACAGAGACATGATGACTCGTGGCCAAGACCAGATACACCTGGGCAAATGAATTAGATTTCCCAAGTTTGTAGCAATCTCCAAACAACTGTTTGCTCAGTCGGTGAAAGGTGCCACCGCAGCCTGTACCTTCCTCTCTGTCCCTCCCCGTTGCGTTGACCCGGAAGAGGTCCCAGGAGTAAGAGAGCGTGGTGGCCTCGCTGCAGTCTTCACAGGCTGCGTGCAGCGAGAGCTCCTCATTCCAGTTCACGGGGACGCCACGGAAGGTGACCCAGGAGATGGACACCAGTCTGCAACGTGCAAATCGAGCTTGGAGTGCAGGGAACAGCATGAGCCTCCCTGGCCGGCCTTCCTGGCTCATATCTGTTTAAATCGCCCTCCTCTGGGCCTTCACTATGAGGGTCACAACAGAAACCCAATCCATATGACAAGGTGGTCCAGCCTGCTCCAATTCTACCCAGCAAGAGCTCACGTGACACCGCCAGGTCCCAGGGATGGAGGCACCACCACACCCCCCGGAGCACAGAGGGGCTTGTGCAGCCTCCTCCAGGAAGCCCTCCGGAGCTTACCCAGCCCAGGATGCTGTCACACAAGACAGCGGTAGCTGCCTGGAACCCTTGCCAGGGTCCATGATGGAGGCGGCCCTGCCTGCCTGGGTGGGCCCAGCATCCTCTCACCCCCACCCGCTGGGAGGCCAGAGCGCCTGGATGAACCAGCCTGCACTCAGGGCCTGGGAGGGGTGGGGCCTCCGTGCTGGGGGCCTTGGTGTGTGGTCGTGGCAGTTCTGTGCCCCTGGCCCCACGCAGTCATGACCTTACACTCCGCTGGTGTGTGCCGCCCCCATGGGGCTGTGCTGCCCAGCGGTGCCTGGAGGCCTCAGCCTCCCCCTGGCCTCGGGGTGCCTCCCCCCTGGAAGCCCCACTGTCAGCACAGCACGTGGGTGTCAGGACCCCGTCCCGTGTGCACGGCATGGGGCCCCAGGACAACCCCAGACGGGCGCCGTGGGGGTGGCAGGGCAGGCAGCACCTGAGCCCTGAGTCAGCGAGCGTGGACAGGAACACCTGCGCCGCCGACGAGCTCCGGCCGTGGCTGGACACCGTCAGCGTCACGAGGAACTGGTCGTAGCTGCTGCTGAGAGAGCCTGCCTCGAAGGGCAGGGCGGGCGCCCCGGTGTCCAGGCTGTGGGCAGCAGGCCCGGAGAAGCAGGGGCGCTCGGGGGTGCTGGCTGGCGAGCACGTCCAGTGGTACCTGCGGAGAAGGTTGGAGGGGCTGCACACCTGCTTGGGTGGGTCAGTAACCACGGTGTCACTAGGGGCCTCCAGGAAGCCTGTGGACGGTGCCCATGGATGCATGTTCCCCGTTACTGGTGTGGGCAGTGACCACGGAGGGTCCATGTTTGAGGTGGACAGAGTGGACGCTGGGTCAGGCCACCAGGGAGGGGACTCAGAGTTGTCTGAATCGTGGACCAGCGCCCCCAGAGCCCGGTCTGGGGAGGGCGGCAGCTGAGAGGCTGGGATGAGGAGCGGTGGCCGCACGCCCCAGCGTGCTCACCTGAGGGCAGCCCCAGGCCAGTCCGGGTCATAGGACAGGGATCCCCGGAGGACGACGGTGGACGAGGGGGTCCTGGGGACGAACAGGTGTGTGCCCTCAGAGATCACACTGACGGGCGCCCGGGATCGCACCTCCACCTCCACGCAGTAGTTACTGTGCACGGTGCTGCCTTCCACCTGCACCTGGAACGCGACCACCGGGGGGCGTCAGCGGAACAGGCAGTGTGCTCAGAGGGGGACCCCCCTCCCCGTCTTATTTGTTAGCAGGAAACTGGGGGGTCTAAGTGTGTTATCAGCTCCAACCGAGGCTTCACTAAGGTGCTGCCCAGAAAGACTTAGTTCTTTTCCTCCTCCAGCTGGTCCCCACTGTGGAAGTAAGCACCCTACTGTGTGCCCAGCCCCCTAGAGATGGGGATGCAGTGAATGAGGGCAGGTACGTTTTCCTTCCCGAGTCTGAGCACACAGCTGGGGGCGGGGGGACTCTAGGCCTGTGGACATAGTGACGCCCCCAACAGTCCACGGGTTATAACCTGCTCTGTCGGCTAAATTATTCCCTAGTCGTGAATTTTGTTCAGCTCCTGTCGAAGCTCCCTTTCTAAACCCCAAAGGCACGAGGGACTTAGAGAAATGTCAGTGGAATTGAAAACAAAACGAAACCCTTCCAGGGACAGAGCAGGTCTGGAGGGACAGGTGCCTCAAGGGCCACCTCCTGGGGTGGTGTGGGCAGTGGCGGCCGGCACACCTTGGCCAGTGCAGTGTAGTTCCCGGGCTCCAGAGAGTAGCTGGGCACGGTGAGGGTCCGCCCGTGGGTGTGGACTGCAGGCGGCAGGGGCACCCGCCACCCGGTAGAGTTCGTGAAGGTCCAAGTATAGGAGAGGCCCTGGGCGATGTCGCAGAGCACAGCGGTTTCAAAGGTGACCCCCAGCGTCACAGGCTGAGACCTCCACACCTGACCATGAAGAGAGAGGCATCTCACTAGGCAGGGCGTCCGTCTGTGCCAGAGCAAGTGACCAAAAACGAACACGTGAGTTCGCGTGCGCGCCGGGTGGGGGTCCTGGAGCCGGGCCCGAGGCACCGAGCCACACAGGGCTTCCGAGTCACAGAGAACAGCACCGAGTCAGAACACAAAGCCAACGGGAACCGCGACAACTCGTACTTACACACTCACAATGAGAAAAACTCTCCTAAGCGCAAAGTTCATGGGAAAATATCAAAGGGAAGGTTAACAGACTGGATTACATCAACATTTTCAACTTCTGAATATCCAAAATATAACTTTAAAAAGCAACTAGAGGAAAAGCAAAATCATTTGCCAAATATATATTAAAATACACTTTAATATCATTTAAAGTCAAGAAAATTTTCAGCCTCCAATAGATAATTGAGCAAAGATATGAATAAGTATATAAATTCTTACCTTATTGTACAGTTTTGACTCTGAAATCACGCAAATGTTTTATATAGTCAAAATTTAAATTGAAGCAAAAAGAAAAAAATTCTGATCATTGGAAAGAATGTAACCTTGTTTCAAACAAGCAACAGAATAAAGATGCACTTCAAGTGACCTTCACATACAGCGTCCTGAGGATCTATTCTGAGGACAGCCGGAACTTCAGGTAAATCTGAAGGCTCATGAAGTTTTATTTCTGGTGGTAATGTTTGCATTGTTACTCTGAAAGTATTTCACGTATTTATTAGAAAAATGCTGAAAAATGCTTGCAGAGCTGAAGCAGTGGTCTGCTGGGAGGGAGGGAAGCTTTCTGAGACCAGGGCTGGGCAGTGCTACCAAAGCAGCCCCGGAGCCCCACGGGGCGCTTGCAGAATTTTAAGACAAAGGTTACAGCCTCTGAAACAATGTAACAAAATCTTGAGGCCCATTAGTCCCTCTAGTGGAAGGCAGGCACAGAGGTTGCGGGTGACCACAGGTGCATGGCGCCCCCTGGAGGACTTCTGATGATCTCCTGTAAAAGTTGCAGAGCTTCTGGGCACAGGCTCTGCATGGATGTTCCTGCAGGTGGACCGAGCGGGGCCTCAGGGCGGCAGAGGCAAAGGCAGGGTGGACTCGGAGGCCAGAGATGGTGTGGCCCTCCTCAGGTGGCTGGCTCTGGGCCCTGGACCCCAACAGGCACCCTCATGAAGGATGCAGGGGGTCGCCTGGATGCCGCGTCCCCACGCGAGCTCCACCCGGAGGAGGGCTGCCGCCTGGGTCGGGGGCCGGAGCCTCACCTGCACCTTCCCTGGCACCGGGCTGTGCACTGGTGGTGGCTGGCAGGGCTGGCGCACGACGAAAAGGCGCTTCGTGAGGGAGGAGGCGCTGACAGCGTTGAAGGCCAGGACCCGGACCGCAACCTCTCCTTCCCTGGGAGAGGACAAGGCACAGACACGGGGACGCCCATGGTTGGTGGCCCCTTTGCGGCCACGCCGTCCAGTCCATGCAATCACAGCCTCGAGGCCTGGCCCCCAGAGCCCACGGCGGCCCACCCAGCCCAGGTCGGGATGGGCACCGAGGCCCCAGATGGATGTCACCTACTGTGGGAGAAATGGGCACCCTCATGTGGACCCGCCGCTTCCCTCCTCGGAGGCCTCCCCACGGCCCTGGCCTGGCCCTCTGTCCAGGAGGCACAGGAGAGACCCCTGGCCCGCTGGTGCGCCCAGCCCAGGGAGGGCAGAGGGGTGTAGCCTGGGGAGATGCAAGACTGGGACCCACAGGGCAGGCAGCTCCTGGCCGGGCGGGTCGGGTTTGCTGGGGAAGTGCATGTTTGCTCTGCAGATGATGCAAAGGACTGCCCAGCAAGACCTCTGGACTTGGGACAGGGCAGCCCATTGGAGGGCCATGGTGTGACTTCGTCCTGGAGTGTGAGAAGGCAGGAACCTCACCTGCTATAGACGTGACTGGCAGAGCTGTTCCCCAGGCCACCGGTGCCGTCCCCAAAGTCCCAGCGGTAAGACACATTGGTGCCGAAGCTGAGTCTGCACTCAAAGGCCACAACGTCACCCACCAGAGCCCAGGAGGCAGACACCAGCCTGTTGGCGATGACTCTCCTCTGTGCCCGGACATGGTGGGGCTCCGAGGCCACACTGCTCAGCCCATTGGAAGCCTGGACCACCACACGGTACCTGTGGGGGAGGCCGGGTCACAGGAAGGACAGATGATGATGAGGGCGGGGCCACAGAGTGAGAGAGCAGCTCCACATGACTTCAGAGAGAGGCGGGAGCTGACATTCATTTGTAGGATTATCAGAGCACCCAGTGACTTCTGCCTGCTGGGGACAGAGGCATGACACTGCCCCTCTTCATGACGTGATGCACCTTTCACGGTCACGTGTGAGCACCGTCACCTTCCTTAGGAGTTCACTTCTGCTGTGAGGGTGGCGGAATGGCCCCTGAACCCGGGGCTGCCTGGTTCCCAGGCCCTGCCCCTCTACTGCCTAGGTCCCCCTCACAGACCCCCTCACAGAAGTGCCGGGGGCACTGGTGTGAACGGGTCCCTAAGTCATTTCAGGGGCAGCCCGGCGTCTCCAGACGGCACTGAGCCCACACCACAAGCAGCACCGTGGTGACGAGGATGCACGCACCCCCGGGGGACGCCGAGCCTCCTGCTGATGCTCCTGCGGGTCGTCCTCACTGGCGCAGCGTCTCCAAAGAGCCACGTGAACTCCAGCGGCGTCGTTTCCTCGGTAACAGCCACAAAAGTGACATCAGCGTCCGTGGCAAACACAGTTCCGTTCGTGTAGATGGAGACAGCTGCGGCAGAGGGAAGGGCTGGGATGGCCCAGGGACCGTGGGGCCCACCCTCCCTTGCGGCACGGCCGCGAGTGGGCAGGGGCCTGTGGGTCTGAGTGCCAGCTGTGCCCGGGGTGGCGCAGGCCGCGTGGGGGCCGGGTCCCTGCTCATCGAGTGGCTGGGCACCTCCTCTGCCTGTGTGGACCCACCTGCGCACGCCTTCCAACAGAAGCCATTGGGTCCATGGCTTCTAGGAGAGTCCCAGAGCCCCACTCATTCGAGGGCAAGCGGGGCCTCGGCAGGGCCAACCATGGACCCCAGGGCTGCCCCGTGCCTTTGACCTCAACCGGCGCGAGTCTGAATGGAAACGTACACTGCATCTGGTACCGGACGGCCACGTGGGCCCAGACCGGCCCGCCGCCCCCGAAAGCCTGAGAGCTGAAGGACACGCCGCAGGAGGACGTGGGGGACAGTCGATGCCTGACAACGGAACCTGAGAGAATGAGAGGCGGGCAGAGGGCGGTTTCAGTGCGAAGCGCCCCCTCTCACGTGGTTGTGTTTCCCATGCTCTCACTCGCCCTCCTGCAGCCCCAACAAGGGTCCAACCCTGAAGCCCACGCTGCGGAGTCAGACAGGCCCGGGAAACAGACTTTGTCAGGACATTTCTCACTAAAACGTCTGTGTTTCCTCCCTCGTGTGTGCACGTGAGGGTACCATCAGCTCTGTCGGAAGGGGCTTAGCTTTCGCGTGAGGAAGACCCATACATGCGCCGTGCTGCCTGCGGAGCTGCCATGGCCGGGGCACCCTCTGCACCCCGCCTCCCCCCCGTGCACAGCTTACTTCTCAGACCCTCAGGGGAGCTGCTGAAGGCAAGGACTTGGCCCCGGTGGACGCTGCTGGCGTTCATGGTCACGGCTGCACCTTCAGGGCCCATTGCCAGGAAGTAAGGCCCGAGCCGCAGGGCAGCTCCAGGGGACTCGGTGTAAACAGCCGCTTCCATCGCGTAGGCGCCTCCTGCACCGGGAAGGGGGACGCCGCCGTGAGCTAGGACACGCAGGTACTGCGGCTGCGCTCTCAGGCCCCCTGGGGGCGACTGACGTGGGAACAACTGTTGGAGTTGCCTCCTGTTTTCTCATGTGGGAGCGGGGCCATTGTGGGGGCTGGCACTCAGCGAGCACGGTCTGTGGCTCACACCACTGTCTCGAATCTTATAGACGAGGGGCGGCGTGCTCACTGGCCCTGGACCCTGCATGAGGGCTGTGTGGCTAACTCTGTGTACTGGGAAGTCACGGGAGCAGCTGGGCGAACCACAATCAAGTGCCTGCCCAGTGGACGCATGTGGGAGCCCGACAATGGCAGGTGGCAGAAATGGCCCCGATTCCTCCTGTCTTCACCCCCCAGGGCATAGCCACGTGGGACTTGGCAGGTCACCCTGTCCAGTGGCCCAGCTGGTGGGTGGGGACTGGTGCCTATGAGCTGGGATGGTTCTTACCCACCTGTTCCCGTGTGAGGAGCCAGCTAGCCCGCTGGGTGACGCCAGGTGCATGACTGACACCCCGTTGTCCTGGCCTACAGCCACCTCTGGGCCAAGCAGCCCTGCTGACTGGAGCCCCTCCCGGGCTTCACCACAGGACCTGGGCTGTGCCCCACCTCTAGCCCTCATGGCCTAGTCCCTGAACCGCCGCACAACCACTGAGGTGCAGAGTGGACGTCCACCAAATCCACCAAGGTGAGCAGCATGAACAACCGAAGCCCACGGGTCTCAGCAAATGGCTTCCAACCTGCTCCCCCTTCCCAGGCAGGACGCCAGGCCAGCGTGTCTGCCCAGGGGCCTCGGACAAACCCCGCCCTCTGGCCTCCTCTACCTTGCACACGAGGCCACACTGTCTCCCTGGGGCTGGGAGGGGGTGTTAGGGGGATGAGATGTGGGAGGTGCAGGCGGAGCGCAGTCCGGAGCCTGTGTCATCAGGAGGCGGGAGGTCCTACCCTCCAGGGTCTCCTTGGCCCCAGTGTCCCTATGCATCACCGGGTCTTACCCTCGTCTGCTCCTGACACTGAGTCTGAGCGAGTACCTGTCCTGTACTGGTGGTAGGCGGTGACAGCCACTTCCCCAGGTGTGCGGTGGACCCTCATCTGAACCCCTGAGCCGTCCCCGAAATCCATCACTAGACAGAGAGCTGCTTCGGGCGCCGTTTGAATCCGGATCCCCAGACTCAGCGGAGCCTGTGGTACGTGGTGGATGACAGGACTGGCCATGCCCTCGGGGTCTGGGGCCAGCAAGGGTCCGGGGTGACACTGAGCACAGGGCTGGAGCTGCTTGTCCCCAGGATGGGAGGTGACGGGGTCACGGGTGTGGAGCGGTCTCAGAGGAGGGCTGTGGGGGCTGTGGGAAGAGGGGCAGGAGCTTCAACTCTCACGACAGCCTGACACTCAGGGGGCACATCACCAGCATGGCCCAGGGACAGAAGCACCTCCCAGCAGGCGGGGGACCCTCATGGCCGAGGGTCACACTGAGTCACCTCTGACGTGAGGTCCCCGGCTTCTGGGCATGGCCCTGAATGAGGACATCCCCAGGGGGACCCTGGCCTCACACCACCCTCACCGTACCTTCTGGGCAAGATGGTCAACTGTGACATTGGAGTGCTGGTCTGAGCATGCATGGCCATCGTGATAGGGGTCCCCGTGGGGACAGTGGCTGAGGTGACATCCATTCTTGGAAGCCACTCAGGGGCCTCGTCCCCTGCAGAGAGTGGCGGTACCACAGCACAGGAGGGGGCCGCCAGCTTCAGGCTGCAGGGGCCCGTAGGACAGGAGTGCTGGAATTCACAGAGGCACCAGTGAGGGTCAGGACATGCTGGTGGCTTCAGTGCCGGTACGGTCCTCAGTCAGACAGCCCTCACAGTCAGGGCCTCGTGCGGCCCTGCCCCCAGCTGAGGTGGGTTCCCCCACTGGCACGGGGGAGGAGGGTGTTGAAGGGGGGCATCCCTTCCCTCCAGGTGGCCCAGAGAGCGCCCCGCACCCACTGTGGCCCCGAGGCCCTCTCAGCAGGAACTGGGGACAGTGCCGGTCGGAAGCCCAGGCCCGGGCTGCCAGCAAAAAGTGCTTAAATGTCAGCCATGGATCCCAGCCGACAGCTGAGATGTAGTGCTCAGAAAGGTGGCCCTATGTCCTCCCTGATCACAGAGACAGATTCAGGCTGCGCTTCCAAATGGCCCCCCAGCGTCCAAAGGACTGGAAGTTCGAAACATGGTTCCCAACTGGCCCAAGGGCCACCTGTGCCCCCCACACCCACCTGGGTGGTGCCATCCGCTTCCCCAACCACACACGTCAGGTGACAATGGGGACCAGGGCCACCACTGCTCCAACAGCTGGTGATTTCAAAGGGAGCTTCCTGGGGGTTCCTGGAAACGAGGGAAAGAGAGGAGAGCCGTCCACCTTCACCGCCCCCCCTGGTGGCGCACTGACCACTGCTCGCTGCGGCGGTGCCGTCTGTTCCACCTGCAGCCGTTAGTGCCGTAAGTCAGGGGGACTCTCTGGGACTCGTGACAGGTGTCACATGGGGAGACAGCGCAGGCGCTGCAGCGAGTGCCCTGGTGGGCGTGCCACCAGGCACAGGGCGCGCCACCAGGCACAGGGCGCATTTACAGATTTACTGAAACCATAGCCACCGTCTGTCTCTGCCGCCACGTTCTCACCACACACCTTCCCAGCGGCCAGACACCGGGCGTCTCAGCTGTCCCCCGAGGAACAGCCATCAACAGCTAGCTGGAGGGACACGTGGCAGGAAGGGGCAGCCCGGAGGCCGCTGTCAGGACCGGCTCCTCTCTGAGGACCTGGGGACCCACGGCCAGTGCGGACAGTGAGCCACACACACAGGGAGAGCCAGGGCACACGGTGGGGGCAGGCGGTGGCACCAGGCTGAGCTGCAGCCCTGAGGACGGTCTCTGGGCAGAGGGTCTGCCCTGAGCCACACTGGTCTCCCACAGGCCAGAACGTGAGAACACGGGAGACTAGGTGGGGACACCCTGGGCCACACATATCATCCAGCAAAACCTCAGGGACTTTCTGTGAAGATCTGGGACATGTGAACCCAAGGACAGGCCAACCTCACCGTGCCCTTGGAGAGTGATCACCTACCTCGGGGACCCGAGCCCGCACAGCCTGTCGGGGTGATGCCCAGAACACTCCTCCCACCCGGGCGGCCCCTAACACCACGCCCTGCGCTACGCCCGTCTCAGCCCTGCCCAAGGGCAGGCAGACAGCTGTGTGTCTAGCGTCCATTCTGCTACAGCCCAGGCTGGCATGCAGACCAGGTCACAGGACTCTCGTCACTGTGTCATGGCTGCAGCTGGGTGGCAGCACAGTTCTGGGTACGGCTCCTTAATCCCAGCAACTCCTTGAAGAATCACTTTTTTCCTCCGCTGATGGAAAGAAGGTGGGTTACCCCTTCTGAAAGGGAAACTGCTGAAGGACATGAACTTGGAAGTCAGCCCACGTGTCCCGGGAACAGGCAGCTCACCTTTCCTGGTGGCCAGGAAGGCCCCTGGCTGGCTCCCGGGCCCTCAGGGTTGAGGTCGAGGTCTTCCCTGGGGTCAGCAGGTTACAGCGGTGACAGCTGGCTGGCCAGCTTCCTCTGAGACCGCCTGGAAGACAGGGATGCCCAATAGCCCTGGCTGTCGACTTCTGCCCCGTGAGTGCCACGGGTCGGGATGCTCGTCCCACCTGGGCAACAAGGGGACACCGTGCTGGATACCCCTCATCAGCAACGGTGGTCCCCTCACTCCTCTCAGAAAGCCCCTCTTGTCCCACATGCTGGGCATATAGCCAGTTTTCAGTCCGAGAGGCACCCACCCAGGGAGCCCGCGGGGACCCTGAGGAAGGCCAACCAGGGAGGACCCTGGCACTGTGGCCCAGGCCACTCTGGGCTTTTCACAGCAGCAGTGGGCAGCCTGCTGCCCCCCCCCCCCCCAGCCCTCCGTTCCACCTGGTGCTGTACTGCGGCCAGCCTCTGGGCTCCGGCGCGGGGTGAACTAGAAGAGAGGGACTCCACGACAGCCGGAGGGGTGGGGTGGGAGACGGTGAGAGGGAGGGGGGGTGTGTGGCTTAGGCTGGCTCCTGGGGGAGGGCCTGGGGTGCTTGGAAGGTTTGGAGAGGTTGCTGAGGAGCCCGCAGGGCACCTGGGTCTCAGGGAGGTGCGTGTGGCCTGTTTCCCAGGCGTCACCGTCTTTCGGGACAGTGCCTCGCCAGAGCCTGAGCCCCAGGGGGTTTAACATGGGCTGTTGGGTCTGAGCTTTGGCCCCTGCTGCTACCTGGCCCCTCACAGCCACCCCACCCCCTAGTTCCCTCCCTGCTGCGTCTGCTGGGGGTGAACCCCAGCAACTCCAGGGAATGTGTGCTTTTGTTTCACTGGTGATGGCTCTTAAACATCCCCGTGCTTACAGGAAGGACCCGCTGCAAACAGCGCCCCCAGAGGCGGTGGTGTCCTCCCAGCAGGAGGACCGGCCACCCTCCTGTTGAGTAGGAAGCCTGGCTCACAGCCACCTGCTCAAGCTACCCCGGCCCACAGGTCAGAGGGGGGATGACTGCCTACTCCACCTTCTCCCTCCCGGTGGCACTGGACATAAGGTACCCAACACCACCACCCTGCACTGAAGTGTGCGAAGGCCACACATGCCAGCAGACAAGGAGCAAGGAAGGGATGTGACTGAGAACTGTTTCCACGTGGTCCCATGAGCTGGCCATGGCCACAGGGGGCTACCCGTGTTTAAACCTACATAAAGGTTAGGGGTCAGGGGCAGTTTCTCATGGCATCAGCGCTGTGCCGAGGGCTCTGGGTGTGGACCCAGGATGCCCATCACCGTGGAATGTTCTGGAGGCCAGCGCTGGGCGGGAAGCTGAGGGCCTGTGGGTACCCTGAGCTCAGCTCTGGGTGATGGAGAGGCTGAGGCACATCTTCCTGAGGTGGGGACCCCAGGACCGCTGCCCCCCACTGGGACCACCCTCCTGGTGCTGCAGGGGTACTGGGTGATGCCAGTTTTGGGTGGTGGGAGGCGGTCACACCTGAAGCTCAGACAGGTACGCACGGAGCAGGGCAGCTTGACAGCTCCTTCTCATGAAAGACGGGCCCTGGGCTCAGCCCTCGGGGCAGGGCCAAGTTCCTACTCCTCCACAGGGAGCTCACCTGGGGACACACCTGGCAGGTGTACCCCAAACCCCCAATCCCGACCTCAGTGCATAAGCAGCTGTACTTGGGGTTCTCATGAAGCAAAGGTGGCAGCTGCTTACAGGCCCCCCGCCCTGCAGGGCCCTGCGCTCTGCCTGCCACCCCCTCCTGCTCCAAACTACCCCAGTGCACTGCTGGGCCATTTGGGGCGTGGGGCTCGGGCACATCTCTGCCACCTATCTCACTGAGGCAGAGACCGAAGGAAACCACCAGATCCTGGTGGAAGACACTTACCTCCGTCTGAGCAGCTCCTGGGGGTGGACGGCAGCAAGGTCAACAGGGCCAGGGCAGAGGCCAGCAGCCCGCAGCCCATGGCTCCACTCGCCCAGATCCCAGCCCCGCAAAGCCTCACAGGCTCCCTCTGCCAGTATGCATCTGGGGACAGCTGGCCAACCACACAGAGCCCCTGGAAACACTCCTCCCCAGAGCTGGGGTCCCACCCACACCGTGGGGCTTCTTCCCTCAGATCAAAGTGTCCTGAAGGGTGTCAATGAGAGTTGGCTGGGGGGCCACCGAGCAGCTGCACTAAGTCAACCTGGTGACAATGATACACAGCTGGGGCCCTGCCCCTCACAGGCCACCTGCGGCTGATCTCCAAGGTGGAGAGAAAACAAACCTCCTGCACCTGGGACTGAAGGAGTCGCCGTCTAGACAAGTTGTGACTGTTAACAAGTCAGGTGCTCTGACCCTGCCCTCCGCCCCACTGGCTTGAGTCCAACAGAACATCAGAGCTCGGCACCCCCCCACACAGGCTGTCTCGGAAGGCGTTTGTTCCTTCAGTCGCTGGGAGTGCAGCGAGGTGTCAGCTCCTGGTTGCTCTCTCTGTCCCCTCCCCCCTGTGCAGACACTTGCAGCAGGTCCCCTGGAGGGACACAGTGACCCTCATGGTGTCAACCACGCTTCAGCGTGAAGTGTTTGAGCTCAGTCATTTCTCTTCAAAGCACATTAAGAAAAGGAAGTCAGCGTGACCACCTCCAGGCCAAGCCCACCAAGAACATGAACGCTGTGCACCCATCACCGCCTGTGTGGAGCCAGGGCCCCAGCCAGGATCCCCGAGCAGCGTCCCTGCAGGGAGGGTGACCAGCTACTTGCATGCCAGTCCTGGGCAGCTGGCGTGGGCCCCGGGTGGCCCCAGGGAGCGTGGGCCTGAGAACGACCCCCAGGACAGTCCCGCCCACTCACGGCAGATTGTGGCCCAGCCATGGTCCGCAATGGCGTGTCCACCACCTACAGGTTGCTGTGCCAGGGCTCTGCCCTCTGTGGGCTGGTCGGGAACGTGCTCTTTCCTGAGCTGTGAAAGGTGGCCTCGGGGTGTTGTCAGTAAAGCAGGGCTGGGGGTCTCCCTGAGTCCAATGGGGAGGGAGGAGCCGCCCCCCCCCGCCCTGTGCTCAAGGCTCCTGAGAGGCCCAGGCAGAGGCCCCACAAACGCGGAGCTGCCAGTCCCGCTGAGATGCAGCAGCAGCAGCGCCGTCCCGACTCCCAGGGTTGCCCCCTGGCCACATGGCACAGAAGAACCTCGAGCCACCCACAGGGCCACACGATCAGCACTGTCCGCACCCACAGGGCCAAGGGAGGTGCCTGGCTCAGGCACCATGAACACCGCTTTGCCGCGGTGCATTAGAGGCTAAGCTGCTCCTTTCAGGTCTGTGGAGCGGGGGGTGGCTGTTCACTCTGAAATGTATCCGTCATTATCCTGGCCACTGAGCCACAGCGCAGGAAAGGGTCACACTCAGTGTCCGAGTCTTGGGGTCTCACTTGTCCTTGCCGCCAGCTGTGTGGGTTGGGGCAGGTCCCCGAGGTGGGCCTGCCCAACGAGCAGCTGTGGGGCGCACCCTGGGGGGCTGAGCTGTCTGGCCGGGGCGGGCCTGCCGTGTCCCTCAGCAAGGCTGCAATGCACAGCTGGAAACACGTGTTAAATCCCTGAGGACACTGAGTGCACTCTGTTAACATGGGCAAGGAGATGCTCTCTCAGGAGTAACCTGCACTAAGAAGCAGCGCCCTCTTTAGACACCAAGCAGCATCATTCCAACACTCAGAGATCACCGAGTTCCAACCACAGACGCACCTTCTGTGATAGCAATCGGGCCCCGCCACACACTGGGACCCCAAAGACTCAGCGCTGTAGCTGGGGCTCTGAGGCAGGCCGGAGGAAGGGGAGAGGCTACGCAGCAGGGCCAATGAGGCCCTGACTCTAAACTGTTAGTGTGACAGGACATCACAGCCCGCTTGAAACAATGTCAGGAAGCCCCTGAAGTCACTTGAACATAGGAGCCACAGAGGACCTTTTCGTCCTGCTCCCGCCCCACCCCTTCCTCTAAGTGGCCGCCTCATTCCTTTGTTTGCAGAGGTGCCGAGAGACCGTGCGGTGCACATCCCTGTGCGCAGGTATGAGCCAGCCACACCAGGAGAAATGACGCTGTGCCCCAGGGCTAGCAGGCAGCAGGTCCCCCAGAGCCGAACACCACGATGCAGACAGACACTAAGGAGTCTTGCTTGTTCCTCATCTGGACACACAGGTGTTCCTTCCAGAACAGGTCCCATGCCCTGGGAAAGAACGGTCACCTAGGACCCACACTGGCCTGAGGGGACCCAGGGAGGTGGGCAGCCCAGAGCTTCACGATGTCACAAGGCCCCACGCTGCAGCTAGATCCCGAGCCACTCTGACCAACCCAGGGGCAGAGCCGGACAGGTGAGCCCAGGGCACCAGAAGTGGTCCAGGTCGGAATGCAGGAGGGTCTTCACCACTTCAGTAAAAAGTCCTCCTCAGAGTCCGGGAAGATTCTCTTCGCAACGTCTTAGGAGCAAAACAAAACAGACACCAGAACAAGAAAATAAGAAAGTAACATGTTTATCCAACTGCATTTCATTAACTCAATTCTTAGCTGAGAGGCTATGAGGGAAAACAAGGGGACTGCATAGGACTGTGCTGCTGGAGGACCACCAGGCTACCAGATGCGTCCAGCAGCCTGTCGGGTCCCAGTGGAGGCGCCCGGCAGTTGGTGGCACTACGACAAGGCCGGGATGAAGTACTGCAGGGCCACATCCTCGTGAAGCAAGTCGAAGTGGACCATCTTGTGACTAACGACATCTGGAGGCAGAAGACACTGTTACCATGGAGCCTCCGGCACACCCATCCCCGAATCCTGGATGCCCCCCGACCCAGGTGCTGTCTAATCCAGGAGCACCGGCCCCCACAGGCATGGTGGACGAAGCTGAGGTCAGACACCGCCTGGAGAAAGGCAAACTCCACACAGAGGCTCTGCCCCAGGGGGAATGCCAGGAGGAAAAGTGGCTGCCGAGTGGGACAGCCAGGTGGCCAGGACCCAGGACCACTGGGCATGGAGCAGGGCTGCTCAAAGGAAACTGATGAGGCTGGAGGGAGGCAGGCAGTGGGGACACACAGTGCAGAGCGCTCTGGCAGAAGCACCCCCGACCCTCAGCTGGCCAGGGGACATGCCAGAGCTTAGGCCACAGCCCCTCCAGAGAGGCACAGGCGGCCCCTGGCAACCCCTTCTCTCTCACTCCTGTGCTGTCACCCACACGGGGCCTTCCTGCTGCACCCGGCCTACCCCTCCTGCGGTCTCTCCTCCAGAATCCCATTCTAAAGACATCTAGAATGTTCCACTCCTTCTCTACACAGTGTGGACCACTAGGCACACCCCAGGCCTTCTCTCCTCTTTCTCAGCTCTGCCCCCTGGTGGCTCAGTGTCAGGGACTGTGAGCGGGGCAGCGAGGAGACAAGCCAGCCCCTCGAGGGTGTGGCTGATGTGCACCGGTGCCAGGCAGGTGTGCAGCCCAGGGAGCCAGGCCACAGGAAAGAGACAGAGGTGTCATGGTGGACTCTAAATCCACACCAGACCATGTCAGGGCTCCGCAGACAGCAGGCCAGGCTGACAGGACGGTCAGCATGCACTCCTGCGGCGCCACTCTCACTGTGCCTCTCCCGGTACAGACCACAGGTGAGGCTAATCTCCCCCACCTCCCGGCCACACACGTCCTGAAACCAGAGGCCAAACCTGGCCGCCACGTGTGGACGAGACATACAGAGCCCAAGAGACCACAGCTGACTCAGGAGCTGACACATGAGAACGAGCCTGGGGCACACTCACTGCAGACGGCCTTGGTTGGGTTCACTTGCTGTCCAGCAAGAAACTGCAGGAACTTCCTGATGTCCACGCGCACTTCTGCCATCTCCTCCGGGTCTCTGTCCTGAGAGGCGGCTTCGGAGGCTGAAACGACAGGAGCACGCGCAGATGTACCAGGGCCTGGGGACGGTGCTATGGCTGTGCTGAAACAGACGGGCCATGCCGCCCCGGCATCAGGGTGTGGAGAAATGTCTCGAGGTGGAGGCGTCACAACTCCTCACATGAGCACTGCTGGGTCCTGACTCTAAAGTCCTGCGTCAGGGAAACTGTCCTTCCGAAGAGCTGACACATGACCCACGTGCCCCCTTCAGGTCCAAGAGGGCGGTGTCCCTCAGCATCCTTACGTGCAGCCAGGGCAGGGCCTGGGACTCCAGAGGGAGAGAAGATGCCCTTTTGACCCGGGACAGGCATCAGTAAGATCCTGTTTTCTGTTCATTAAAACAAGACGAGGGAATAAGCCTTCCCTCAGCTCTTACCTGCACCGTGCCCCCTGCACACACCCAATGTGTGGCCCAAACGCCTGCAGCAGCCCTGAGACGCGCATGTGCAACCCTGCAGTGAGCTGGGTCGATTCTGAAAGAGGCAGGGCCTCTGTTCAGGGCATGTGCATGACTGGAAGGGTTTCCATGGCACAAGCCGTCACTTTCCCTAGTCCTGCCTGCTCCTCCCTGCCTGCCCCACCTCACCCCCCTCACTCCACGTCAGTCAGCCCCTTGTCCACACCTACAGCACCGATTCTGTGGTCCCTCATTACCTTGTGTGAGACAATCTGATTCGTGAGAAAAAACTGCATTTGCTAACCTGATTTTCTGTTAAAGAGACCCACACAGGAGAAAAAAGAATGTCCTTACCTTTCCAACTGCACCCCAGGTGGGAACTTGCCAACTTTCACGGCAGACACGGGGGTTTCAGAGTTGGCAGGGCCCTTGGTTCCCAGACCCCGAGCCCCTCTGCCAGGAGCCCGCCCATCCACGCCCCCATCTGCTGCAGTGGTGGGCAAGCCCACCTCTTGCCCGATCTCTCCCCAGGCACATGGCAGGCACCAAAATTGCACCTCTTCCCGGTTAGAGGCCTCAGTAAGGTGTGAAACAACCAACTTTTCAGAAGCAAAACCCAACCCACTGGAAAACTTACCTAATGGAGGATTTCCAAGATCTTTAAAATGAGTGGTAACACACACTAATTCAGATTCTATTTTCAAGTTCAAATCTCCATTCAGGTTCGCTTCAATAATCTGCAAATAGAATATTTTAGTCTTCAAAAAAGCAACAGCTCCGTAAGACATCAGCTCCCACCACAGCAGGCGACAGGTCGCCCCACAAATCCCAGGCCATCCACATGGCACTGAGGCCCACACAGCACCAGCGAGAGGACACAGCCAAGAACCAGGACCCCCCAGGAGAGGGGCCCTCAGAGTGGAGAGCTTGGCAGGGATGCCTGGGGGCAGGTGGAAGTGGCAGGCAGGTAGGAGGCCTGGCTCCCTCAGCAGGAGCCCTGGGCAGGAGGACAGCATCCTGGGCCCACACCTCTCACAGTGGTGGCTGCAGGCCCTTCCTCCCCCGCACAGGAAGAATGGACCCAAGGGGCCTCTGGTGAGCTGCCCTGCCCTTCTCTCCTAGGCTCTGAAGCTCTGCAGGTCCCCGGGTGTCCCCAGAGGGGCCCTCAGTCTGACAACCAGCCCATACTGTGGCACCCACAGGAGCACCGTGTGGCGCGCTCCCACTGTGTCATGGGAAGGCAACTGTAGGTCAAAATGAACTCTGAGGTGAAGCCGGGAAGGACAGCTACTCTAAGGGGGGCACAGCTGGAGATGCGGAATGGCCCCCACACTCTCTGTAGGCTTGGAAAACCTCTGCAGCCCCGAGAGCTCTGCCAGCCACATTCCGTCCCAGGCCCACCAGCAGTGCTCAGTTACAGCCCTTGGAATGCCAGTCCCACGGAGGGCTGAGGGGCAGGGACACAAAGATGGCTGAGACAGCGCTGCCCCATCCAAGGAGTGGGCAGGGCATAGGGGGGTCCAAGACACTAGCGGGCAGTTCATCACGCAGCCCAGGCAGTGGGAGGAGGGCTGAGGGTTGGAGCACACCGTGGAAAGGCTAAGCCCCTCCCAGTAGATGGTGAGATAGCGCTGGGAAAAGGTGGCATTGTGGGAAGGATGGGCACCAAGGGTGGCCCTGCAGGGGGGGCAGGGCAGTGCTCTGGCTGGGGAAGGGAAGAGCTCAGGAGAAGCCCAGCTGTGAATGAGGTCACCCCCCCAGTGCCTGATGCTGTTCCGTGCTGTGGCATTTTGTGACGTTGCTGTGGACCACCGGAAAATCAAATGGAAGAGTGGCATGCCACCTGCCTGGCGTGCGCATGCTTAGAGGGGGTGGTGGCCTGGAGGGCTGTGTCCTGGGATCATTGCCGCCGCCAGGGCCTCACGAAAACACACACATCAGCAGGTAGGGTGTGTGGTCCGCACCAGTGCGAGAACAGGGAGCCAGGGCGGGCACCGCTAGCGCCTGTGAGTGTTGCCACAGAGCATGCAGGTAAGTGCGACAGCTCTCCCCTGGGGGGCACTGGAGGGCACCCCCACCCCCACAGGCTCCCAGCCTGAAGCAGACCCTCAGAGCTCTTGTCTAAAGGGGTGGTAACTTACAAGGTGATTGCTGATGTTTTTCATCTTCTCCACCACGCTCTTCATGGTCTTCAAGACCGGCAAATAAATACTAACCTGCAGACCCAGGGGGAGAACCAGTGTGACTCACCGGCACAGGCCAGAGCCCATAGGATGTGCTTGCTCCCAGGGCTGGGTGGGTCCCTGGGCTTCAAAGCTCTGGAATCCTGGGTTTTAATTGGTCTGAACAAAGTTCTTCTTAAAACACAGCAAGAAAAACAATGAGACAGTTTCGCTCCCTCACACCTGCCTCTGGTCAGTCACCTCAGCAACCAGGTCCCTGGGGGCACTGCTGGCTCCAGGACAGTCCAGCTGGCCCTAAAGCTTAAGACCTCCATGTGCCCAGGGAGATGCGTCTCTAATGGACGCACCCAAGACCCAGGCCTTTCTGCCTGGGAAAGAAGCTTGAGGACGCCCCTCGCACCGGTGTCAGACGAGCTCCCACTGGTGCTTGACACACTGCTGCTTCCCAGGCGTGCCACCGGCCCCCCTGGAATCCATTCCACGTTCGCCACCACTCCTCCACCAAGTTGTGGCTGAGAGGCAAGGGATCCTCCAGCACCACCTTTGCTTCCCATCGCCCTGGGCTCCCGCCAGCAGTCCTGGAGCAGCTTCTCCCTCCGGGCTGTCCCTCACGGTTTGAGGAGTGGCCACCTTCTGTGACCCCCAAACTGGTACCCGAGGCCCCCTCTGCCGACGGCAGTGTGGTCCCGCAAGGGCCTTCCACACGGGCGCCACTCACGTCAGAGTCGGGGACCATCGGCTCTTGCAAGTTCTTCCACAGCTTCCTAGGAATGACCTTGATAGGGATGTCGTGGGTCACCATACGGCTGCTGTTGGATGCAGACGACTGCCAAGGGGAGAGTCCAAAAGTGTTTCTGTTCGTCTCTTGCCATGACAACACCAGCCACCTTCCCAGTGTCTCACAGCCCACCCGTGGCCCTCGGCTGTACGGGATGTCTGAGGTGCTTGCTGCTCACCACGCACCAGCTCAACCGACACTGTCAGGCAGGGAAAGTGCTTGTTCGTCAGTTTGACTTTCAGGGAGCGGGCGTTCTGGGCCGTTTTCAAGGCCCGAAAGAGATTCTCCGATGTGAGCTCCACATAGATCTCATTGTTCTCCTCGGAGACCCCTTCCATCTGGAACTCACTGAAGAAGTTCTCCTGAGAGAGGTCACGGGGTCACCGGGTGCAGCCGTGCCCCCTCCAGCCTGCAGTATGGGCTGCAGGGCCGGCTCACCTGTGGCAGCTCGCACCACATGCTGACCCCACCGCCAGCTGCTGTGTCGGCCAGGATGAAGTTGAGTTTCTGCGGGCGGATGCGTAGGGTGCAGGTGCGGGCCAGCTTGGCCACCATGCAGCTGACGCCTGCAGAAGTGAGCACGGGGTTACCGCACAGGATGGCGGCACCCACAAGGCCCACACTGGGGCCCTAGGGGTCTGGCCGGCCTCTCAGCACCTGGCGCACGGGCTCTGAGTGCGGGCACTGAAGCGGAGTAAGCCTTCTCTTACTCCTGGGCTGGCATGGCCAGGCACACTGGCCCTGGGAAGGCCTGTACCCAGGAAACCACCTCCCCCGGGTTAGGGAAGTGACTGAACCAGAATCGGGTGTTTGTCTCCATCCTGGGCACGTGCACCACTGTACTTAGTCCCTGTCCCATTGCCCTTGATCCCCATCCCACTGTCCTTGGTCCCAGTTTCATTGTCCTCAGTCACTGTCCCATTGCCCTTGATCCCTGTCCTGTTGTCCTCGGTCCCTGGTCCATTGTCCTGGGTCCCTGTCCTGCTGCCCTCCGTCCCCATCCCACTGCCTTGGGTCCCCATTCCATTGCCCTTGGTCCCTGTGCCATTGTCCTCAGTACCTCTGCTCACTGTGCCATTGCCCTCGGTCCTCTGCTCACTGCCCTGGGTCCCTGTCCCATTGCCCTCGGTCCCCATCCCACTGTCCTGGGTCCACATCCCATTGTCCTCAGTCCCAGTTTCATTGTCCTCTGTCCCTATCCCATTGCCCTTGGTCCTTGTCCCTGTCCCATTGTCCTCGGAACCTGTCCCATTGCCTCTGGTCCCCATCCCACTGCCCTGGGTTCCTGTGCCTGTCCCATTGTCCTCAGCCCCTGTCCTGCTGTCCTGGGTCCCTGTCCCACTGCCCTGGGTCCCTGTCCCGTTGCCCTCAGTCCCCATCCAACTGCCCTTGGTCCCCATTCCACTGCCTTGGGTCCCTGTCCTGTTGCCTTTGGTCTCCATCCCACTGCCCTGGGTCTCTGTCCTATTGTCCTCAGTCCCCATCCCAGTACCCTGGGTCCCCATCCCTGTCCCATTGTCCTCAGTACCCATCCCACTGCCCTGGGTCTCTGTTCCTGTCCCATTGCCCTCAGTCTCCATCCCATTGCCCTGGGTCCCTGTCCCCTTGTCCTCCATCCCTGTCCCATTGTCCTTGGTGCCTGTCCCACCTCCTTGGGTCCCCATCCCACTGCTCTGGGTCCCTGTCCCACTGCCCTGGGTCTCTGTTCCTGTCCCATTGCCCCCAGTCTCCATCCCACTTCCTTGGATCCCTGTCCCATTGTCCTTGGTGCCTGTCCCAACTCCTTGGGTCCCCATCCCACTGCTCTGGGTCCCTGTCCCATTGTCCTCAGTACCCATCCCACTGCCCTGGGTCTCTGTTCCTGTCCCATTGCCCTCAGTCTCCATCCCATTGCCCTGGGTCCCTGTCCCCTTGTCCTCCATCCCTGTCCCATTGTCCTTGGTGCCTGTCCCACCTCCTTGGGTCCCCATCCCACTGCTCTGGGTCCCTGTCCCACTGCCCTGGGTCTCTGTTCCTGTCCCATTGCCCCCAGTCTCCATCCCACTTCCTTGGATCCCTGTCCCATTGTCCTTGGTGCCTGTCCCACCTCCTTGGGTCCCCATCCCACTGCTCTGGGTCCCTGTCCCATTGTCCTCAGTACCCATCCCACTGCCCTGGGTCTCTGTTCCTGTCCCATTGCCCTCAGTCTCCATCCCATTACCCTGGGTCCCTGTCCCCTTCCTCCATCCCTGTCCCATTGTCCTTGGTGCCTGTCCCACCTCCTTGGGTCCCCATCCCACTGCTCTGGGTCCCTGTCCCACTGCCCTGGGTCTCTGTTCCTGTCCCATTGCCCTCAGTCTCCATCCCACTTCCTTGGATCCCTGTCCCATTGCCCTTGGTCCCTGTCCCACTGCTCTGGGTCCCTGTCCCATTGTCCTCAGTACCCATCCCACTGCCCTGGGTCCCTGTCCCATTGCCCTGGGTCCCTGTCCCCTTGTCCTCCATCCCTGTCCCGTTGCCCTTGGTGCCTGTTCCTGTCCCATTGTCCTTGGAACCTGTCCCATTGTCCGCAGCCCCTGTCCTGTTGTCCTGGGTCCCCATCCCACTGCCCTCGGTCCCCATTCCATTGCCTTGGGTCCCCATCCCATTGCCCTTGGTCCCTATCCCATTGTCCTTGGTACCTGTCCTGTTGCCCTCGGTCCCCATCTCACTGCCCTGGGTCCTTGTCCTGTTGCCCTCAGTCCCCACCCCACTGCCCTCGGTCCACATCCCATTGTCCTCGGTCCCGGTTTCATTGTCCTCAGTCCCTGTCCTGTTGCCCTCAGTCCCCATCCCATTGCCCTGGGTCCCCGTCCCAGTCCTATTGTCTTTGGTCCCTGTCCTGCTGTCCTGGGTCCCCATCCCGTTGTCCTCAGTTTCTGTCCCACCGCCCTGGGTCTCCGTTCCTGTCCCATTTCCCTCAGTCTCCATCCCACTGCTTTGTATCCCTGTCCCATTGCCCTTGGTCCCTGTTTCATTGTCCTCAGTACCCATCCCACTGCCTTGGGTCTCTGTTACTGTCCCATTGCCCTTGGTCCCTGTTCCACTGCCATGGGTCCCTGTCCCATTGCCCTCGGTCCCCATCCCACTGCCCTGGGTCCCCGTTCTGTTGCCCTGGGTCCCCATCCTGCTACCCAGGGATCTCATACCCGTCCGTTGCCCTCAGTCCCCTTCCTGCTGCCCACGGTCCCTGTCTGGCTATCCTGGGTCCCCGTCCCACTGCCCTGGGTCTCTGTCCGCTGCTGTCGGTTCCGGTCCCACTACCCACGGTGCCCGCGCCCCTCACGTCCGCACGGCGCCTTCAGGCGCGCCTATCACCCCCGTGAGAAGCCCGCCCCGCGCCATCCGCTTCCAGGCCCGCTCTCCTCCGTCCCTCTCCACAGCCCCGCGCGGCCACGACCCGCTCACGCGTGAAGTGGTTCAGACAGGCCGTATCCACAATCTTGGCGCGAAACTTCATGGTGGGGCGCGGCGCGCGCAGACCGCTGCAAGCGGCGGACTGGAGCCCCGCCCTCAGCGTCCCGCCGGAAACGCGGCCGGGCGCCCGTAGGTTCCGCCCCGGCCGGCGTCCCCAGCCTTTGGGATTGCGGAATCCTCAACGTCCAGGTGCGAGAATTGGTTCTGAGTATTCCCAGGTTGAAAGAACGCTGTGACACCTTTTCCCAATTCTGTTGAAACGTTAAAAATCAACTCCTTGGTTCACTGGTAAAGGATTAAATAAAAGGGTACTTACACGCATACCTCTTAAGAAAACCGTAGGGCCGTTTAAGAACCGCGGCAGCACCGAGCTGGATTGTAGATTTAAAGTTTTAAAGTTAAAGTTTTAAAGGGTGGTGAACACAGGATTTTAAAGAATGATGATGTTAGGTGATAACTCTGCAATTTTGTCTCATGATGAATTTATTTCACCAGATTTTGTTAAAATTCTTACAGTGTAAATAATGGAAACTATGTAGACTTCAAAGAACCAAAGTGAAAATAGGACAAAAATGGCACCCAACTTGGTTTTTCAAAGACAAAATTATCCATGTTAACCATGTTATTTTTAACTGTGCTTTGCAAATGGAGTCTGCCATTTTGTTTTTAACTTGCTATAGAATCTAGATATAAAAATAACTCAGATTATTAAAGTGCAAAATGTAAAAACTAGTTTTTCCTGTTGTAAGACTGTAACATGAAGCTGAATTCGTCTATGTTGTTACAGACAAGTGTTTGCCAAACCAAACACGATATAACGTCACGTTTAATTTTTTTGTTAACATGCTTCATTACTTTGTAAATTAAATGTTAAAGTGAGATAAATTATTAAATGATTTTGTTGCTATGGAGATCATAAATGATTTTAAAATGTAACAAATAAGCCTTGTAAGCAGTGTTTCATAGTAAACTGAACTTTAAATTGTTTAATTTTATTTTATAAATAAAACTGTTTAAAAACTTCCTAAGACTTGTGTGATTATGCATTCTGTGCAGACAAAAGACCTAAATAATACAAGAAATTTTGTACCAATTGATAAAAAAAACTGTACTCATTCTTTCTTGAAAGACAAAAGGAATCTTATGCACTCTTTGCAGTTTTTTTAATTTAAATTTTAAATTTACCAATTAATGATTCGATATTTCAGAATTGATAATATATTGACATTACTTCCCCACATTTTTTCAAATGCCCGAGTTGAGGACGGAGACCACCAGGGATGGGCAGGAGCCTGCTCACACGGCTGTGGACTCCCTTATGACTTAAAACGGCCAGACCTCAGGGGTTAGCAGTTCAGCCCCAGGACGACCCGGGGAACTGTGCGGATGCTCATATTTGTTTACTGTGCAGGAGGGCCCTCATCCTGGCCTGCAAAACCAGAGTCAGGATGTGGAGCTGGAAAGAGGGTCCTCACGCCCTAGAAGCTACCATGGGGAAGTTCTGTTTGCTGAAGACTTCTTCGAGGTGTGCACTGTGTGAGAGTGTCTACAAACGGGTAGTTTCAGTTCTTCTTTTACCTGGTTCTTGAAAATCTCTGTTGTGGCTTTTGTAAGTTAAATCCTCCAACTGATGGATGCACTGGCGCTTGATGTTACGAGTGATCATTTTGTAACCACGAACTCACTGTAGTTTTTCCTCATTTTTAACACATTTTTAAATAGACTTTATTGCGTTTCAAGGAATTCTTCAAATCATCTGCAAATACTCATGTCTCAGACTTCTTCACCCATGTTAACTCCCCATTTCTTTGGCTTCTCTAATTGTTTCGACTGGTGCCTCCTAATCAGCGTTCAACAACAGTGGGTGCCCACACCTGGTATGAACAGGCAGATGAAGGCTAGATGCTGTTATGAGAAAGACTGTGGAATGATGCATCTTGTTCTAGACACAGGTTCTTCTCTCAATGGTCCTACAACACTGGTTATCCTCAAAAAGTAAAGTAACACAAGGAGATTGGAACCACACTCGCAGTTTTTATTAGTAAAATCCATTCACTTCTGACCAGCAAGTACAAACCAGATATTCAGCTCCTACAAGAGCTGTAAGTCTAGGGATGAGAACACCAGCGTTCTGGACCCGAGGTCGTGACCATCGGCACCAGGTCCTCTAGCTGGGGTCCCCCGGGCTGCCGTGGACCCGGAATCTGTATAAACATGTGTACTTCGGGTGTCCCCAGTTGCTGAGGATTTTAAGTTTCACGCAGAATAAGGGTTCAGAAACTTCATGCTGGAAATAAAGAAAAGATACCATGAATGGCTTATCAAGAAATCCACGCCAGAGAATCCTAAGGAATGCTGATGTGCGGGGACTCTTTCCCACCTTCATAAGTGGAATCAAACCCGCTCTAATGGAGGAGAAGGGAGCCCCAGGAAGGAGCAAGGTCCTAAGAGGATAAATGCAAGGTGAGGAAGATGACATGGTGGCCTGGACCCCTCCTGCTCCATGGCCACCGTCACACCCTGCAGGGCTGTCTGTTGGCCACCATGGGGTGGGAGGCAGAGACAAGGGTAGTCAGTCAGACACAAGTGTCCACAGGCACGTTTGTGTCTCACACAGTGTTTTCTCCCCATTGGCCAAGCCGAGTCCTAACCCCCCTGCTTTCATGGGGTACAAGGTGCCTTCTACCTCCCGTTACTTCCCGTGGCTGATGAGAAACAATGACAGTTCGTTTCACACGCCTCAGTGCCCTTCAGGAGGGTCACATGTGAGTGCTGGGTACTTTTCCCCATTGTGTTAGGGTGGGAGGTTTACCTGTCTTATCTGGTGTTAAATATTTATTTGCTCTTTCTCTGAGTTCCTCTGTGCCTCTAACCACGTCACACAAACTGTCACCCACCCCCTTATGAGGAAGGTGAGACAGCGACTGTGGACCCTGATAGCATTGAGGGAACCCAACAGGTAAGATGAGGACCGAGAAGGTGGACATACAGGTCCGGCCCCAATGACGCCCCTGCAGTGTGACAAAAGCATGAGCATGTGATTCTGGAACATAACGGTATCACACTCCAGCACAGCACATGACATGTTAGGTGACATGTTCAAATGAAAACCATAAATCATTACACCCATTTTATTACCCAACCAACCGCACTGAAGGAGGCCTTATTTCTGCTGGATCCTGTATCTACATATATTTTAAAGTGATAGCAAATGTGGAAGAATGAGGCTTAGAAACTGCTTTTTTATTTGCCTGACTTTTGTCTTCACATGCAGGTAGGCACTCAGAGCTAAGAACGGAGGTTCAGGTTGGCCTTGCCTCCCTCATTTTTGTCACCACTGAGCAGCCTGCGGCCCCAGCACAGCCCTCTCGGGGACAGAGCCACGCCCACCCTCACCAGGGCTCTCCTTACCTGCAGCTCAAACGTTTGCACAGTGGCTCTGGTTTTGTTGTACACAAACCGACCTAGGAAAACCTCTTCTCCTTCACACTGTGTCAAGATGCCCTGCGGAGGAAGTAGCAGGTGAGGAGGGTGTGAGGAGTGTGTTCTCCAGTAGAAGAACTGGAGGCAGGTGTGTGTTCAGGTAGCAACAGTTCTCTAGGCATCTTGGGGTCCCACCAGGGCACAGCGCTGTGCTAGGTGCCAGCATCCCTCGAAACCCCAAGGTGTCACGCTTGGGATCCACAGCCATTTCGGGAAACAGGCAGGCCGAGCTCCCATGGTTAACAGTGTAACCAAAGCTGAGAGTGAGGTGGGCCGCGTAGCCTCGCCCTGAACCTGCGGCCCATGGACCCAGCACTTCCCTCCCAGGGGCAGGTCCGAGGGAAGTGAAGGCCAGCATCTGCTCTGTGACTTGTGTGGACATGCGCGGCAGCTTTGTGCATATCAGCCAGCAACGTGGAAACAACTCGAGGTCCATCAAAGGGTGAACAGATGGATAAAATGTGGTATATCCACACAATGAAGTATTTTCAGCCATTTAAAAAAACAAAACATTGACACATATCATATAACATGAATGAACCTTGAAAACACGATGCCAAGTTAAAGAAGCCATTCACAAAGGACCACACATGCGATTGCATTCACAGGAAGCTTCCAGAAGGCCAGTCTATAGAGACTCAGAGTACTGGTGGCTGCCTGGGGCTGGGGGAGGATGAATGAGAGGTGGCAGCTAACAGGTGCAGGGTTTCTTTGAGGAGTGATAAAATATGCTGAAATTGAGTCGGTGGCGATGGACACGCAGCTCTGTGAGTATACTAGGAGCCACAAAAGCGCACATTTTAAATGGGTGAGTCACGTGACGTGTGAATTATGTGCCAGTGACAACATCAGACCCAAACACACTAGAGGACAGGAAAACCGTGAAGGGGAGCTCATCCCCATTCTGCCTCCCGAGACTGTCGGTAGACAGGAGCCAAAACTGAGAAGTTAAGAAAATAATAAAAGCAACATGAAGGCAAAAACCCAAATAATTATTTTCAGCTAAACCTGTGGCAAGTGGAAATTTCCGGAGTCAAAACCAGAGGCTGAAGAGGTGGGACGAGCAACAACCGTGTTTCATCATGTGTGGAAATGTCCAATGTTTTCATGGTGCGTGAATGACGCTGATTAAAGTAAACTTAAGTAGTAGGAACCATCTGACCCCACCCTCTCACTTTGCAGATGACAACGCAGAGTCCCGGAAATAAGTGACTTCCTCACAGATGAGACCCCAGCTCCGAACTCTGGTCAACTCCCTTCTCCCACAATCCACTCTGAACAGATATCAGAGAGCTTCTTACATGGACAGAAAACTCCTTGGGGGCACTGGAGATGCTACCCGAGGGGGACACCTTCTCGGAGATGTGTTCCATGGTGACAGCAGTTGGGATGATGTCCCCGGCGAGCTTGATTAGGACATGACCCTGGGATCCTGGGAAGGCCCAGCACTTTCCGGGGTGGACATCTGGCTGCAAGGACAGCAGAGTTTACGTCTTATCTGACTGTACAAATCCACCCCCACAACACTGGCCAGCTGATCACCACTGACCCCAGGTCTCCCGTATGCCCACAATACGAGCCCTGAGCAGGGTGTGGACCAAACAGGGGACCTCAGACACCACACGTGTAGTGTTGGTTGTCCCCCCAGCTCACGCTGTGTGGTGTCTCTTAAAGCCCTCTGTCATGTGAGTATCTTTTCTTTCATTGTTCCCACGAGGCTCCCGGGAGACAGTTAGTTGGTGTAAATAGTGATGTGGTGCTGGTGGTGCTCACTGTGACAGTGATGGAGGTGGTGGTAGTGGTGATGATGGTGGTGGTGGTGATGGTGGTGACAGTGGTGGTGACGGTGGTAATGATGGTGGTGGTGATAGAGGTGGTGGAAGTGGTGGTGACGATGGTGGTGTTGGTGCTGGTGCTGGTGTTAAGGGGGAGATATGATATACCATTTTCTAGATCCGGACTAGTCTCTGGACTGAAGTTTGCTGGTCTCCCCCAAAGGTGTTGCTAAATTACAAACGGGCTCAGGTGTGCAGGCTCTGGTAAGAGCAGCTCCACCACCTGTGGATGCCTAGTACCTACTGGGTGGCAGTGAAACATTCGTGGAAACCTTGTTTGGAAAACGTCTCCTGTTATTAGCGACTGTCTAGGCGCATGCTGGCCGCAACAGCATGTAGCTCAGCATGGGCACTTGGGGGCATGACCCTTCCACAAGCAAGTTTGGGGGGACTGAACTCGTGGGCGGAAGGGAGGGTGTGGACTGTACATGTCTTATCAGAGAAGTGAATGCTCTAGTTTACTGACCCTAAAACAATACATTAATGATTAAGTAATCAGAGTTTACCGGCCAGAGATTTAGAAATAATTCCTGTCGTCTGATGACTGATGTCCGAGGAGGCAGGTCGAGGCTCTGTGACGAGTTCAGAGGTGCCTCCACATTGGACATTAGCATGTTCGTGGTGAAAAACCATGTACAAAACCCTGACATTAGGAAGGCGGCTCCCGCCCGGCCTTCACCTGGAGGACGACGTCCGGAGGCATCTGGTAGTTGAGGAGCCCGACGCCGCGCCAGGACAGCTTGGCCTTATCGCTCTTGTAACTCTCTGAGGTCCCGGCTTCAACGATGGAGGCTCCTAAAATGACAGTTTTAAAATAAAAAGCTCCAGAACCCTAGATGCCTCATTTCGATGTCAGCAGTGTTGTTGGAAAACAACGGGGCAAACTATAAACAAGGTAATGCTCATGCTCAGGAGTTGGTAGACAGAGTTGAATTTCCGGCCCTTCGCCGTGAGGTCCGCCCCTTTGAGAAAGCCTGGTGTCCTCTATGCGGTTTGGCGACCTCTCTGAAGCTGCCGTGACAAGCAGACGCTGCCTTCGGAAGCCCCGACCCCGAGGTGGCAGTGCAATGCGGGCTGTGTTTGGTGCCCAGAGACCCATTTGAACAGCTCATGGGACCGAGGGCACTTTGGGTCGGGCCGGGCCAGCTCACGCAAAAACAACAGTGTCCCAAAGGCACTAACAAGTCATGTTCGTAAGAGCGGTTCTGCCGACTCATGGGCTTCGACTGTAATCGGAGACAGAAAACACACCCATCAAATAGCATCCTCTCTGGTTACTTCACCGTAGAAACAGTACAGAGAAACTAAAATAGGAAGAAGAGCAAGAATATATAAACACAGACAACTAAGGCAGGGGAGGGGGAATGCGGGAAAAAGTAAAGAAAAAAAAATAAACTACATAATCAATAAAATACTAAAAAAAAAAAAGAAACAGACTGTGTTTGTACATACGAAGTAGAGCAAGTGCACGTCGTTTCCTCCAATTTTGTCCGGGCGCCGCTGCACAGCGTGAGCACTGCACGTGCCTGGCCCTGATAGGCTTTCTGAGACAGCCCAGTTCAAACAGTGACGGCGCCCAGGGCTGCCAGCTGGGCTGGTGAAAATTCCAGTCAGTGAAATTTAAACTTCGGACAGTGATTTTTCAGTACTAGTGTGTCTCATGCAATATATGGAATATATTTACACGAAAAAAGTTATACGCTGTTTGTCTGAAATTCAAAGAGATGGGGGTCCTGCATCCTCTCTGGCTACTGGGTGTGCCTTGTTTTTCGGGGGGGGTGGTGGTGGTGGTGCACTGTCTTCTGCTCAGCCCGTCATCGCCGTTCCCACCCAGCCGGGGGCCAGACAGGCTTGAAGCTCCTCACTTAGGTCTCTGGCCCGTTCAGAGTCTGTTCCTGTGACGTGTGAGTCATGAGTCGGATTGGCTTTCGCACTTGAGTGTCGGACTCCTCCAGCCCCATGGACCTGGCTCGCCTCCTTTGTCAACAGCTCGCTCCCTCCCAGCAGGGCTGCTGCCCCTCTCTCCGGGCTTCCAGTCCCGTCCCTTCGACCTCACCAGCGCCGCGCCGTCCTTGTTCCTGTCGTATCACAGGAGGCCCCAACATCGGGCTGTGCTGCTCCAGCTTCGCTCTTTCCTTGCCAACCTGCTCGGCTGCTCTACTTCCTCTGCCGTCCCACGTCACATACACTTTAGATACGGGGGTGTCCGGCCTTTCGGCGTCTCTGGGCCACACTGGAAGAAGGCGAGTTGTCTCGGGCCACACGTTAAATACCTTGGGACATGTAATCACACACGCAAAAAATCACATAATGTTTTAAGTAAGTGTAGGATTTGGTGTTGGGCCGCACTCACAGCCATGGGTCGGACACCCCCGCAGCAGCCTGGAGACTCCTGAGAGCAGCCCTGCTGGGACTCTGCGTGGACTGGGAGGGGCCAGTAGGCCAGCGAGAGAGTCCGTCCCAGACCCTGCGCAGCCCTGAGCTCGCTGCATCTGCACCCTCGCCACCGTCTTCCTTCCTTCCCTCACTGCTGTCTGTTCCAAGCACGCGGGCCCGGCGAGATGCACGTCGGGTTTGTGACTGAGCACTCCATTCCCACCGCTGTTGTGAATAGTGCCATTTCTAAATTTTCTTTTTCTAGTGTTTTATTACTAGTATCTAAAAACCATACATTTAACTTATTAACCTCGCAGATTAGTTCTAGTGGATTTTTGGGTGATTTTCTGGTAAATCACCGTGTTGTCTATGAACAGAGGGCTTTTGGTTTCTTCTTTCCAACACGCTCGTTTCTTTCCTCTCCTCTTGACAGCCTCAGGGGGGCAGTAGAGGTCTCGGGTTTGAGACCCATCTACCTGTCCAGTGTTTGTGGCTACAAATTCCACTGTAAGAGCAGCTGCATGCCGTAAATTTCAACATTTTATGTTTTCATGTTCATTTACTTTTAAAATATTTTCTCCCTTCTGTTTTAACTTCTTTGACCCACCTGTAATTTAGAAGTGTATCGCTTAATTTCCAATGACTTGGGGACTTTCCAGATATGTTTGTTATTGATTTCTAGTTTATATTTCCATTCCCCTCAGAGACATCTTTTGTGTGATTGCAGTTGTCTTAAAGTTACTCTTGCTTCATGGCCTGGAATGTGATGTCCTCACAAAGGTCCCGAGGGCACTTACCAAAAGGTGTCTGCTGAGGAGCGCGCTATTCTATGAATGCCCATTACACCGAACCTCTGCCAGCATTGTTTAGATCTCCCATATGCCAGCTGATTTTCTGTCATTTTTGTTAGTCATCATCAGTCACTGTGGTGTATAAAATATGCAGGATTATGGTGTTTCCGATGACGAGCTAATTGCAGCCTCCTGATATTGCTGGGGAGGCAGTTCCCAGCTTTCTCCGCAGCCCCATCTGAAGCATCCATGAAGTGGCTTGTACCAACCCAGACAATTGACTACAACTGTTTTATTCTCCTTTGCTGCCTAGAGAAGTTCACTTTCCTCCATCTCAAATGACCAGAGAAATTGGCTTCCCAAACAGAGGCACTGAGGAATGCACAGGACAGAGAGACCCCCCGGAGGCATTTCTCTACTCACCTGCCGACTTAAGCGCATAGTCAGCCATCTGCACTTGGTCTTCTCTCAGCTTCTTAAGTACATAATTTACCAAGTTTGACATTTCCTGTGCAAATTTAAAAAAGAGCTTTCTGTTAGCAGTCCCCACCCACTGCTGAGGTTCCCATCATTCACACCGTGGATCTGGGCCTCCAGCTCCCCGACCTGCAAACCAGGAGGAAGGAGGTCTACCCGGTAGTACTCGGAGCACAGGTCGGCCCTGTGAGGGCAGCTGGGCCGGGTCCCCTCACTCCCCCAAAGTCACAGAGCAAGGCCCGACCTCAAGCCCTAATGACCAGCTGCTGTGGTCAGTACTCAGTGAGATGGTCAAATGGATACTTTGACACTCAATGACACTTTGGTGTGACCTGCTGGGTCCCCCCTCTTCCCTGGTGTCTCTGCTTGCTAATGAAGACTAGAATGGTCAATGGCCGCTTGGGAATTGAGGCAGTTCACGTGAAGTACGTGATTGCTGGTGTTAGGCAGCCATTCCTTTGAATTAATACTGGTTTGTGAAGGATGCTCTGATGCTACAAAAGCAGGTATCCTGCAGGTCACACCAGGGACACCGTGGGACCCGAGGGTGGGAGGGGGCCAGGCTCAGAGCCCTGTGCCTTTAACTCTTTGTGCGTAGCCCTTCAGAGAATGCCACTCCCGAGTGACCTGTGGCTGGTTTGTTTACTGGAGAATGAACCAGAGTTATCGATTTATTTGGGTGGGAGTCAGTCATGTTGCCATACAGCCTTCTCAGGACCAAGCCTCGAGGGCCCAGGGACAAGCTCTAGGGGAGGGAAGCCCCAACGGCGTGGACGTGCAGAGGCAGGGGTGCGGTCAGCCCTCGACTCCTCTGCTCAGGGAAGAGGTGGGACCTGTCACCGAGGGGAACTCCCACCAGGCCCCGGCCCCGCTTTACCTTGTCCAGATCCTCCGAGTGGCCCTGGGCCCTGGGGGCGTCTCCCTCGGCTGCCCAGCTGTAATTGTGCAGACCAGCCTGCGTGTCTCTAAGCAACACCGTCAGCACATCTATTTTTTCTGTTAAGAGTAGAATTTCACGCAGGTTGTTTTCCAAAGCCTGGCTTTCCTTCCTATGAATAGAAAGCCCAAGTGTGAAGGGAGGAAGAGGCAGGTTTCTGGCATCTGCCCTCACAGGGCTTGGGAGGCTGCAAGGAGGAGAAGGAAGCCCAAGCGTGAGGGGAGCCCAGGACAGGCCAGTGGGTCGGGCATGGTTTTTCAGCACAGGCACAAAGCAGGGACATCCCAGGGCCTCTGTCCCTAGGGGTCTAAGGGCTTGGGTGGGGTGTGCTCCAAGCAGATGAGTGGGGCTCAGCTGGGGCCCCTGGGAGCTCCGCCGCCCCGAGCAGAGGCTGGGTGATTGCCCACTCTCGCCCCTTCTGGTCGGCGCACCTTGTGTTGAATTCGGAAGAAGCCAATTTTCAGTCTGAGCCTCCAGGGCCTGTGGACCAGCCCTGGGGAGGGGTGGTGGAGGGCGCGGCCTCAGGGAGGGGAGACCGGACTGCAGGGGAATGGGCTCCACTCCCCCTGCCATCTGACAACAGCTGGGGTGGCAAACCACAGGTGCGTTCGCACGTTTGGAAGGGGTGAGATGAGGGCTCCCCTAGTGCATTTTCAACTTATAAAACAACAGGTTCCCAGGGTGAAAAGGACAGAAACTTTGGGGAAACAAACACACTTCAGGTGTGTCTGACCACTTGCGTTCTACGAATAGTGGCAACACGGACACCGTGCATGTGACTTTGTGACCCTGTGCTGCTGGACTGGGACACGCACTTTGGGAAGGTGCGGGTGGCTGCACCCTCCTCCAGGGCAGGGGCGAGCTCGGAGGAGTCACCTGCTGGCCCGTCTTCCTTGTCTAGGTTGTTTCCGTTGTTTGGGTCATAAATGATACAGAAACCACCTCCCGTTGCGTGTTTTCCCAGACAGCTTCCATAGGGAAGCAGAGAGGACTCCGTTTTCCAGTTTTGCACAGACCTTTCAGGACTTGGGACCATGACCGAAGGACCCATGGTCAGAGACCCCCCGCTCACCTGAGCCGTTCCAGGTGCTCCCTTGGCATCCGGAGTCGGGCCTGGAAGAAAGCACCGCTGTGAACCCTGCTTATTCCCAGGAGACTCGTTTCTCTCAGACATCCTCGTTCCCCCTGGACAGGCCTGATGGGGGCACGCACGGGGTCCTCTGAGACACCTGCCTCAGTGGTCACACAGCCACTGAGGCAGTGCACCCCATGACAGTAAACCTGGGTGCTCAGCAATGAGCAGCGAGCGGCTCGGGCAGGCGGGCCGGGCTCCGCAAAGCTTGGGTGCGCATTGCAGGCCACACGGCGTCCCTGATCGGTGCTGGTCCAGCCCTTCACCTACAAAGGCAGCCAGTGCCCCTGTCAAAGGCACCTCTGAGGGTGAGAGGAAAGGCGTGTTTGGCTTGCTCGCTATCACCTCCGGTCAGGGCTGGCACACCCGGGGTCCGGGGCAGAGGTAAGCAGTTTCACGTCACTAAGAGTCTGCATAAAAGGACCACCTGAAAATGAACTATTCTCTCTTTATCCCTTTTGGAGATTATCCTAAGTGAAAAATCAAGGATAGGTAAAAAGATTTAGCAACAAGGATGCTTATGTTTACAACATTGACAAATTGCAAACAACTCCATGCTGTGGAAGTATTTCTTGAATATATTATTTATCACATTATCAGTCAGCCACAAAATGCTGTCATAAAATACTATCTGAAGACAAGGGGACATGTTTAAAACCACTGTTAGTCGACTGAAAACCAGCCCCAAGCAGCTCACTACATGGAGCTCGGCACCCGAGAAGAGGCCCGTGGAGCAAGTGTCTCGGGGGCTGCCCATGGGCTCTGCTCAACGGCACAGTCAGTGGGCCTGCCAGACAGTGGGCTGCCCGGAGCAGATCCCAATGCTCACGGAGAGGCCTGGCTGCGGACTCTGGCCCCAACATCATTCGGGTCAGATCTCTGTGTGCATGACACACAGGACATTCCTGGCAGACATGCCTGGTCGCACGTGATGTTTAAAATGAGCGACGCGGGAAATGATGGCACGGGGCGTCACCTGGTAGCCGTGGAGCCTGGAGACTCGCTCTGCAATCCCCTTGAAAAACCCTCGGGGTTTCCGAGAAAGTTCTCTGTCTTTAAGCCACGCGCGGTGTGCAAATCCTGTCAGAGGAAAGATCACCTCTGATTAGAGAGAAGAGGAAGCGTTACAAGACAGTTATGTGCATTAACAGGGACTTCCCCAAGCACAGAGGACGGGGGACCCTTAGACAGATGCGAGACCCTCGGCTGGCAGCGTCGGGTGCTCAGAAACTGAGCCCTCCCCTGAAATACCCACCAGCTACCAAAGGGACAGGGTCTACCTCTCGGAGATTCAGAGTCTCCAGCACCTGGAGGCCTGAGAGGAAGGGCCGACTCTCTTTGGTAAGAGGGCAATGCACCCGCCTGCGCCCTGCCATCCCCCAGCCTGATGGCGGCAGCGGCTGTGGGGACGGTGGTCTGCACCCCTGGGGCATTTGCTGGTGCCCGCGGCTCCTAGAGCTTGTCCTCCAACTGCGACTGCAAGTCAGAGCCGGTGCAGAGGCCAACCTTGCTTTATCCTACTCCCTGGGCTGGAAGGGCTTTTCGGGAGGCCATGACATCTGTTGAAAGGTTTGTCATAAACTGGCTATGACCACCTGGGCAAGGGACAGTGACTGGGACACATGGCAGACAGACACAGAGGTGTGGAGGGAGAGGGCAGAGCAGACGGTCTCCCGTGGGAGTGAGGATGGGAAAGATCCCAGAGCGCCCCGGGCGAGCCCAGTGGGCAGAGCCGGAGCCCTGTGCCACTGGGCGCAGGTTTAGGCTGCGTGGTGCCCAGCAGCCTAGACTGGGAGAGTGGTGTCTCTCTCTCTGTCTCTCTCTCCATCATTGGTTGAAAAGACTGTCCACCCCCATTGAATGGTCTTGGCACCTGTGCCCTGCACGCCATCCTCTGTAGAGACGCAAAGCAGATGGGTGGGTGCGGGGGCCGGGGATAGGGGAGCTGGGGAGTGAGGGCAGGTGGCGAAATTGTTTCGAATTGGAGGTGCCGGCTGCACCGTGCTGCAAACTCTCTAAATGCCACTGGGTGTTCGGTTGTTTCATTCACGGCGGTTGATTTCTGATCATGCAGATTTTGCCTCAATAAAGACAAAGGGACGGGAGTGTCGTGTGTCTCCCCTAAAAGCAATTCCACGCCTGTGTGTCTCAAGGGGACCCGGCACACTTGTGGGCCAGGTGCCAAGTTCATAGCGGGGACAGTCTGCCTGCATTCGGGAATTGGGCTCCAGTCTTAGGAGATGTTTGAGGGATACAAGGTGGAGGCCCAGATGGGGGTTCTGAGCACGGGTGGGTGGATCTGCTCCCTCCGAGCCCCTGTCCCCATGCCAAGGGAGGTGGGGACAGGGCAGAGGGGGCTGGGACCACGTCATCAGTCTGGAGAACCCCCTGGGAAACCGGTTACAGAGCAGTTCTGAGATGGGGGCAGAGCAGCGAAGTGGGGTGGCCAGCAGAGGGCAATGGCCAAGGTCATCAGAGGTGGGGACAAGCCATTGGAAGCAGCAAAGCCACGGGGCAAAATGTGCAGCTGTCAGCAGAAACTGGTGGAAGGAGGACGGAGCCCGGCAGGTGTGGCCCAGGGTCCAGGTGTGGCCCAGGGTCCAGGAGTCCGGGGGCAGTCACAGCGAGCAGCACCTGGGTGCCTCCGAACTATCAAGTGGCACTTCCTGGCAGTACCAGGTCGAAACCTGCATTTCCATGGGCAGTCTCTCCTCACAATGTCTGTACGTCACAGACCAGTTCTCCATGTCGAGGGTGGGGTGGGGTGGGGGGGACGTGTGTTACCAGTGCACAGCATATTCACGGCCACTTTGTCCAGAAACCTGTGATGAGTGAGTCATGGGTTGTCAAAACCCCCAAGTTCAGTCACCCACACCCAGAAGAGGCCAGTCCTCTGTGTTTGCAATACAACTTTGTCTTAGCTTCAGAACAACTTCTGTGTCTTTAAACTCTGACTCTGAGAGGGGAAACCGTGCTCGATACAGTGTCAATTCAGAAGCTCGTGTTACTGTTACAACCAGAAATAAAAGACGGAGGAAAGAAGCTTTGGGATCATGCAGCCCATTGGCAAATGCGACGTTGTGGTGGCCTGGTGCCCTCTCCTCACTGCGGAGAGGTCAGGGAGGGGCTGTCAGGGTCATTCCTGAGGATGACTTACCTGTCAGCAGAATCGTCAGCACAAACACACCGAGAACAACCCTCCAAGACAGGGCCACCCTGGGGGGAGGGAAGACAAGGAAGGAATTTGGCATCATGTCAACCTCTCCTGTGAACCATCCCAAGCAAGTCAGCACAGGTGCTCACTGGGGCTGGCTCTGTCTACTAACTGGGCTCCGCCCCCGCCATCTTCGACCTGGAGGGAGGGTGCTGCAGCCCTGGCAGCCCAGGAGCCTGCTCCTGATGGGCCAAGAAAGCCTTCCCATTGGCCCAGGGCCAGGCTGTGTTCTGCAAAACCCCACCCACCCAGGCCCACCCTGGGGGGGTTCCGTCTCCTGGGGAGCTGGTTTGCTGCCTGTGGGTGGCGACTTGCCCCATATGCTACTGTGGGGGACACTCTCCTCGGACAGTAACTTTGTGGTACCCCTTTTATTCTCCGGGCAGCTTCTGGCAGGCGCTTCCCTGCACCCCGTGGATTGGTTATTTTGTTCTTTGCAGCATTTGCTTTCTTAGAAGGCAGCAGGGGGGCAGGCACAGGGGCTGGAGTGGTGGGTCCTCAGGCTGCCCAGGGGCACAGGGCCTCCTGCTGCCTCCTCCCAGGTGATGCCACACCTGTGCTACTGAGATGAGCCACAGTTGTTGGCTCCGGCTGTGTCCCCTCAGCCCTGTGTGGTCAAGTCCCACCCAGGGACGTGGGAAAGGCCAGCGTGCACTTGGAGCTTTTCGTGGTGCCCCCCCATCCCACGCACACTGCGGCCCATGGAGACCCGCACTGGTGGTGAGAAGGCAGTGCCTGTGAGCTGCGGGTTCCAGCGGTCCCCTCACAGCCGCCAAGGGTCAGGCTTTCATTCTTAAACTCATTTTTCAAGGACAGTTGACATTCTGTGTTATTCTGTATTAGTTTCAGACACAGGGCAAAGTGCTCAGGAAACCACGCTCTTCACAGTGCGGTCCCCCACGGCTTCACACACCCACCCAGCCCCATGCCAGTGACCTCCACGCTGGGCACTGTACCCCCTGCGCTGGGACCCACGTCTGTGTGGCTGTTCTGTGACTGTGTCACCTCCTCCACTGGCCCCGCCCCCTCCCCCGCAGATAGCCGTCAGCCCGAGTCTGTGTCTGTGTCTGCGAGGTCCCTTTACCCTGGTCATTGGGCCCCATGTGGAAGTGGGGTCGTGGGGCTTGTCTTGGTGGTGGGCCAAGTGGAACAAGCCCACCAGAGAAAGACAAGAGGGCACTCATTCAAACGGTGGCCTCTCCTCCCAGTCCCTGTCCCAGCCCCAGTGGTGGGTTCGAGCCACTCTGACATGGGAAGATGGTGGCCACAGAGTTTTGTGACCAAGGGAAGCCTCCAGAGCAAATGCCCGGAAATGGTCTCTGAGAAGGAGAGACGTTCTGACCAGGCTGCTCCGTCGGGTTTGACCAGGTCGGGCGGAGCACATGCTGCGAAGTCTCACACCTGCTGGCGACCGGGTTCTCTCGCCCCCAGAGCAGAGCTGGGACACTCGAGCTCCTGCCAGGTTCCCCCGTCGGGCCCCGGACACACGGGGCGCCCTGCCGCGGCTCTGGCCTTCCACTCATGCCCTGGCGACAGACGGTGACAGGTGGCTGAGAGGAGGGACCGTCCCGCTGGTCCTCTGTCTTTACCTCATGGGAACACGTCGTGGGACGGGCTGGTTCTTTGCCTTCTGGCCTCTTGGTGCCTCTTCATCGAGGGGATGCGGGAGTCAGCCAGTCCCCAGGCGCGTGGTTCCTCTGTGGCATCGACCTCCTGTGTCACATCACCCCTCTGTGATGCGTTACCCCTCTGTGACGTGTCGCAGTGGCCGTGTCAAGGGTGTGCTGGCCACCTCTGCACCCAGGGTTCCCGTCCGGGCCACATCACCGGAGGTGTCAGCGCTACATAACACCTCCCAAACGTGCCCGACCCCTCTGCGTACAGAGCAGTCCCCATGTGGGTCTTTTAAAAAATAAAATGTCACAGACACAATGGGAGGCCCCAAAAGAGCAGTCCCCAAGCCCAGCTCCTCGCCTTTCCTTCCCACCCACAGCTACAACCTGAAAATTGTCATCACCATTTATTTTTGACATTTTACCGAATGATCCATGTCTGTAAGTGATGCCACATGGGGTTTGTGTTTAAACTTGTCTGTCTGGGGACGTGTGGACGCCAGCCCATTTGCTCGGCCTGTGCGAGGTGTCCTGTGATGCAGATGTGACTGTCACTGCCTGTCCACACGCAGGTGCACCCCGGGTGGGCCTGGGTTCCCGCGGCACCGGCGGGGCAGCGCCTGTCCCTGTACACGTCCGGTACACACCGGGCATGAGGCGTGGACCGAGCTCAAGCGTGCTCACTTCAGGGGGAAGTGCCCGTGGGACAGTCACTTCTCTCACGGCCCCAACTATACAGGTGGGCGAAAGTAGGCTTACAGAAGTTTGCACAGAAAATAATGCCGTGATTCACAAACAACAATACAAAAATGAACTGGGCTGTTGCATGTGCTCACAACTGTGCGCCGGCTTGCGCTCCACCCTGTACACTTGTCTATTTATGTAAAATATGTTTATGTACATTTATCTGTACATGTGCCTGTATTCACCTCTTTACATTGTTTAAAGTAAAGCGCACCTTACTATGAATCATGTTCTGCATCGTGTTTTTTCCCTTTAAAAATATGTCTTGGGCCCTGGCCAGGCGGCTCAGCGGGTTGGAGGAGTGTGGTCCCGTACACCAGAAGGCTGCGGGTTCAGTCCCTGCTCAGGGCGTGTATGAGAGGCACCTGTGTCATTTCTCTTTTGCTTGAAGATTTCTTTTCTTCAAATAATGTTATTTAAAAATGTATTTATGTGTTGTGCACTTATTTTAAAGCTTTTTAAAACTACTTGTTGAACAATAAAACCCGTCTGGAGATTTATTGTTAATAAAATCAGGCATTTTCTTACCATCGAAAGCAGGCATTTCCTGGCGAGTCACGGTCTTCTGCGTGTGTCCTGGCCTCCCCGTGGCCTAGCGTTTCAGATGGCAGGGCTGATTCTGTGGGGAACAGGGGGCTTCCCGCGCCCATGCCCACCCCTGCCCCTTCGTAAGGCCTGGCTCCCCATGGCTCCAGGCTTCTCAAGGTGTCTGCAGAAGGTGCTGATGCGGCCCTAAGGAAATCCTGGTCCCCCTGCCCCTACAGAGGTGGAATCTTATTTCCCCGATGATGCTGAACACCCAAACTGCCACCTAATTATTGAAACGCATCAGTGTTTGTCAAAAGGTTGGAGTGTGGCCTTCAGTCGTTTTAGATGAGCGTCAAACAGAAACCACCACATTTGGAAGGAAGACCCTCGGGTTTGTGGAAGCCTGGTCTGCAGAGTATGGTGGACAATCAAGAGGGGAGCAGGGGGCCCCTGGGTGGGGGGCAGCCCCTTAGCGGTGGGGGCTGGAATGCACAAAAGGGGAGCAAAGCAGCACGTGAGGTGTTTCCTGGGGTGACGTGAACCAGTCAGCAACAGGGTAAAGTAGAGAGACCAGGCTGGCAGGAAGGGCGAGGGCTTTGAAAACTCAAAATTTACTCACGTACATGTTTTTCTTTTCTCAAAATAGTCATGAACAGGAGATGGTTACATAATATATAAGATACCTATAAAATATCTATGTATAGCCCTGGCTGATGTGGCTCAGTGGACTGAGTGCCTGCCTGCGAACCAAAGGGTTTCTGGTTTGATACCCAGTCAGGGCACATGCCTGGGTCGTGGGCCAGGTCTCCAGCAGGGGGCGCATGACAGGCAACCACACAATAATGCTTCTCTTTCTCTCTCCCTCCCTTTCCATTCTAAAAATAAATAAATTCTTTGAAGAAGAAAAAGGTATCCATGTACAATAATAAGTTATGCATGAATTATATATAAATATTTCTATATTACATAGGAATATAAGATATTTCTATTTATAAGGTATATATTTTATCCAAACACCTACAAATAAAAATGAAAAAAATGTGGAGTGTGAGATCACCCATGAGGAGGCGTAGGACACTCCTGAGCCCTGAGAGCCTGATGCGACACAAAGTACAGAAAATAAGGACATTGAACTATTGTCACTCTAAATAGATGGCCCAGATATTTACATCTCAAATTTACATCTGCAAACACTTGTAGTTTCAATCACACCCCAAGAGTCAAAATTTTCTTCTAAGAAAAGTTCACTCTCCATTATTACTCAAATCTTGGCTTTGATGAATGAGGGGAGTCACCACCGTGGGCAAGTTCCGGGCTCTTCCACTGAACCAGTTCTTCAGAAACAGAAAAAGATGCTCTCTAGTCATGTGGCTCTAGTGGCTGTGATCAGCTACTTTCAAAGACAACCTTTTCTTGGTGGCACACCAATCCCCCACCCCCCCATCCTGGTGGACAGTGCTGTGGGTTATGCAAAAGAAAGCTCTGTCACTCTGGGTGATGGTGGCCAAAGTAGCTCTGCCTGCAGCAGGACAAACAGCTGACGTTGCCATGTGATGTCTTGACTGCCTGCACGAGGGGCGAGTCAGAGATCCTGAAGACCATCTCAATTCTCCTGGAGAGCTGAATAGACCCCAGAGCGAGGGCTAGTCCACCCCCCAGGGGCCAACTTGCTTCTGCATGTTGCCTGTTTTCCGAAAGACCTCCAAGGCCTCCCTTCTGTTGCCCAACGACCACCATTGCAATGTGTTGATTTAAAAGCATGTTTTTTCAACAAGAAAAGACCAAAGCTCCTTCCAGTTGCCCCAGTCCCTGGACCGGGATCTCTCCAATGCCTCTGTGCCGTGACTCACCTTGTCTGGCCCTCACCAGGTCAGCGCTGGGTCCTCGCTCAGTGGCCAGGGAGGCATGGAGCTCCCTGAGTGACAGAACTGACCAGGCTGTTGCATCCGGGTGGCATCAAGCAGCACTGGGCAGAGACGACGTCCAATTTGGGGAGCAGGTTCCATGCCACAAACCCCTAGCCGCAGAGACTCCAGATACAGCCTGGCCAAAAGTCTGCACCGAAGCCCAGGTGGGGACCCTGAGCACTGATCTGGAGAAACGGGGCCACAGGCTTTTTTCTAAAGTGTATGTTTTTTTAAATCCTCACCCCAGGATATATTTATTGCTTTTAGAGAGAGAGGACCAGAGAAAGACGGGGAAACATTGATTGGTTGTCTCCCTTTCACACCTGGACAGGATGGAAGCTACAACCCAGGGATGCACCCTGAGGGAGGGGGATTGAATCCGCCACCTTTTGTTGTACCTGGCGACACTCCAACTGAGCCACCTGGCCATGGGACAAAGGCTTTTTACAAGTGTCTCAACTCACTTACTAGAAATAATCTTGAAAAAGCAAGATGCCAGAAGGAACATTTATAAGCTAATTTTACCAGTGAGAGACACGCGGCAGAAATGTCTGTTTGCTGAGTTTTCCCAGGTACTCATTTATGCTTCCTTTTTTTAAAATACATTAAATAAACGGGAGTTTTTCCAGACTGCTTTGGAGAAATTCGAGGTGGCGGGACAGATGGGGGACACCAAGACTCCACCAGGTCGCGGGCAGTTGACTAGTAGAGCCCGCGCTCCGCCCCTGGCTCCGATTGGTCTGCTGCGACCCCACAGGCTTCCCTGATTGGCTGCTGCGCTCTAGCCGCGCCCGCCGGTTGGCCACCCGGCGGTTGCCCAGGCGACGAAAGTTGTTGTGGTTCGGCGCTGCGCTGGGAGTTCCGGATTGGCCCCGGAGCCCACAGGTGCAGACTTTGGCCTCTGGCGCAGCGGGAGGCACCCAAGGAGACCTTCGCCGGCGAGCCGGTGAGTGGGACCGGCGGCCAGGGGGTGTGGGCGAGGAGGGGGCCACCTGTCACCCGGGATGAGGGACCTCAGGACCAGTTATCCTCCGCGGTGTACCCGCGAGGCCCGGTCCATCTGTGTTTCCAGGGCGGTCGTGGCCGTGCTTGTAAACACCGTGTATTGTGCACCTGCTGTATACCCCCATCAGTGTGTGTCCCGGCTGTAAACCGGTTTGGACGTGCCTGCCCTTCCTCAGTGATGACACGCCTGACTGACTCCCTGTCAGGTGGAGGCAGAACGACGGACAGAGCAGTGGCGCCAACGACTTGGTCCCTGCAGCTCAGCCCCGGCGTGCTTCCCTGCTTACCCGGCTCGCTGTGACCCCGGCCCAGCGCGTCTCCAGCATGAGGAACCCTAGCAAGGAGCTACAGGGCACTGCCAGCCGCCATGCTCCCTGCGGTGAGTGACTGGCCAGAGCAGCAGCCAGCTCCTGCTGTTGGACAGCTCTGCACCCTTCATCCCGGGTGCCAGGGGAAAGAACTCGTGGCACTCCCTCAAAGAGAGGGGCCCCAGTGTCAAAGCAAGGCTTAAAGGGAAATATGGGGGCTGGGGCCGGTTAGTGTCTTTTCCCTTCTCTCTATTTTAGAAAATGAAAACCAAGCTACTACAGCTGCCTCAGTTGTTGGGGGCCATGGCATCTGAAAGTTTCCCTGTTGCAGCCTCACTCCATGGCTGTCACAGCTCCTTCCCTAAATGGTGACTGTGTTCTCCCTTCTTCAGATGCATGTGGTGTCTGTCACTGATTGATTGCCTCCTCCTGCTCCCACCAGGTGCACTAGGCCCCCACTGTAAGTGCCTGGACACGGAGACCAGGTTCTGCGTAGGTTGCTGTGGCTTCTCACTCAGCAGGATTTGAGGCTGGGCAGCAGGGTGGGAGGAAGGCCTGGGGCCGTGGGCTGTTCTTGTCTCTGTTTCGGCCGCACCCATTCTGGGATGGGCTGGTGAAAGGAGGCAGAGGCGGGATCCGGGAGCTGGTGGGGAGAGATGAGGTGGGGCTGGCAGGCCCTCTGTGGCCCTTGGGCAGTCTCTCCAAAGTGGAGGGCAGTGTAGTCCTCACGGGATCTAAAGTGCGTCCGGCCTGGAGCTCTGTCAGCACTGTTGGGGACATGGTGGGGAGGTAGGGGGACAGGAAGTGTGGCAGTTTCCCCTTCTCTGCTGTGAGTTCTCAGCCTGTGTGTGACCCCTCCACACTCAGTGAGCAGCCTCCTCTGTAGGGTGGAGCGCTGTCCTAAGCACTGTTATACATGAACATTCAACCTCCAAACGGCGCGGCAAGGTACCATGAACCTGGTTTACAGATGAGGAAACCGAGGCACAGAGTTGGAGGACGAGGCCAGAGGTGGCACCCCTCGCAAGGCTCCTCTGCCCAGGCTGTAACCCCTAGTCATTGAGAGAGGGCTGGCTGGGGTCCTGGGGGCCCCTGTGGTGTGTGGCCTGCCCAGGCTGCTCTGCGCTTAGAGACCAGGGAGCTGCCAGGGGCGGGGCCTCAGGCTGTCCTCTCAGCTGTCCCCTGATTGCTACAGAGTCCGTGATCTGGGCCATGCAAGTGCTAATACTCTTTGAGCGACAGAAACTACAAGACAGTTCTTATCCCCTTTGACTCTGTGTGTGTGTGTGGGGGGGGTGGTGACAGTGGCTCCTACCAATTGGGGCCCTGGCCCTCTGAAGTCCTCTGCATGTGGATACAAATGGCAGATCAGAGGTTCCCAGTGATGAAAGGGAAGAAGACACACAGCATTCTCTGTGGATTAATTAGTCACCAAAACACAGAGAGGAAAACAGGGCTGGGAGGGAAAGCCTTCCCTCTAAGGGAGAGGCTGTTTGCTGAATATGAGCACAGTGTGAAGCTGCTGAACTCTTCCTTCTTAATGGGATTCTCTGTGAGCTTCCACACAATTCCTCACCCTCTTTCTGGTGGGCTTCCCCCACTTCCTTTTCAAAATGATACTGTTGGTTCAGCTAATGACTGTCCTTCAGACACTTAAGAGATTGGCTGTGTTAAACATTCACTTGTAGGCAGTGGACCCAGCTTTAGTTCGAAGTGGAAGTTGGATGTCTACACTTTGGGTTTAGGGGACGATTGCTTCATGTTCGTGGGGTCCCTGTGCGCTTGTGTAAATCGATCGACATGGTGTGATTTTTCTGTGTGCCTCTGTATCAGGCAGGGTTCTGTCGAGCAACAGAATCAACAGGCGGTGGGGGTACATGGGGGGGGAGAGAGGCTGGTTCTAAGGAGCGGGTTCACACAGTAGTGAAGCAGGCAGGGCCCAAACCCATAGGGTGGACCAGCAGCCTGGGCCCAGGGCAGAGCTGGTGCTATAACCCTGGGTCTGGGGCTGGCCTGGGGGAGCCCCGTCTTTTCTCCTAAGTCCGCCACATTGTGGGGGGTGAGCTGCTTTGCTCCCAGGCCCATGACTCAAGGGTCCACATCATCTACAGAGCACCTTAGGCATGGGTGTCCTGGGCGGTGTCTCCTGTCCCGCGTCCCCTGGACAATGAGGCTCTCTGGCATAGGCATCTTCCAGGCCCTGGACTAAACCAACCTGAACTTCACTATAAAAACTTGACCTGGGCCCCTCCCTTCCTAGACTGGTATTACCACCTGCCCGTGCGGCGGTCTGAGAAGGCTGTGGACGCCCCTCCTATGTCCCAGATTCCTGGTCTCAGTGCATTTCGGGAGCCACCCAGCGGGCACATGCTGGGGATGCGGAGGTACTGGGTCAAAGAGACGGACTCGGAGTACGTGAAGCTGGCCAAGCAAGGTGGCCGACCTGGTAAGTGCCCCGGTGCCCAGGGTCTCTGTGGGGACGGCGACAGGGCCCTTTGTCCTGTGAAAGTATCAGTGTAGAAAGTGGGGTTTTCTCCCAGGGCCCTGGAAAGGAGGTCCGTGGACGCGCTGGGTGTGTGCGCCTCTCAGGAGTGCGCACCGTTTGTGAGCAGTTGGGCTGCACAGGCTGAATCCACAGAACCGTCCCCAGAGGGCTGCTCTCCCCAGTGACGCTGTTGCTGGGACTCACCCTGAGTGAGTCGAGTTCCAGTGGCAGACTCTTGGGAAGCCGCTCACGGGCAGGGTCCGTTGCTGTGGTTCCGTGGCCCCACTGGCCAGCCTGTGTGGCGTGGAGCCCCGGGGTTCTCTCTCATTGCCCTGGTCCCACGAGTTCCCGGGTTTTACATGACATGCACTGTAGGAGAGCTTCAGCAGCAATGCTGATGAGCTTTGCCTGTGGTGAGACAGTACTGCCTGGTTTCGTGCATTGAAATTGCTGATTAGGTCAGGCCCGTCCAAAATATCCCCCCCACTGGCCCTAGTCTCAGGTGGCACTGAGAGATGCTAACCCCATTTTTTCTGGCTGCATCAACCCCGAGATGGCTGTCATGGGAATGAGAGTCAGAATGAGACCATGAGGGCTGCAGTGCTAGTGCATCCGGACAGACCGTGGGACCCAGCCCCCGCCCAGTCTGAGAGCTCGCCTCCCTGCTCCGGCTGGCAGTGAAAGGACCACAAGGGGGCAGCTGGCAAATGGGATGAAGATCTGAGATTAGACCCAGGAATGTGTCAGTGCTGATTCCCAGCAATGACAGCGACAATGCTAATGGGGGACAGACCTGAGACAGGGAGGGCGGTAGAGAGAGAGGGAGGTGGAGGTGGAGACAGTGGGGTCAGGGACAGCCCCGCGGTGGCAGAGTAGCACAGGCAGACTGGCCCAGGTGGCAAGGGTGGCAGGGGGGCAGCTGAGAGGGCGGGCAGCCTGGAGCAGTGAACCAGAATGTGGGTGGGTGCTGGCCTGCACAGATGGCAGCTCAGGACCAGGGTGGGGTGGGGGTGTCCCCCCTCAGCAGGTGTTCATGCTGATTCCTGTGGCCCCGGAGCCCAGAGGCAGCCCCAGGAGACATCACAGTGTCCTTTGTAAAGGGTGGTCTGCCTGCTAGTCACGCGGTGGGCCCAGGTGGGCGAGACCGCTCATGGTGCCTCTTTTTGGTTTTGAGACCTGCTGATGCACTTGGCCCCGGGGATGGCGTCGGGCACCGGGACCAGGAAGGCCTCCCCAGTGACGTACTCCTTGCCAGACTGGTACATACACCACAACAAGCCGCCCACGGCTGGCCAGAGGCAGTGAGTAGCTGAGGTGCCGCCCTGTTGTCCACCTGCACAGGAATGAAGACTTGAATCCATTTGTTAAAGCGCCTGCAACTTCGGGCTTGGCCTCTGGATTCTGGGAAGCAGGCCTTGGGGAAGGGTGGTGTGTTCCCTCACAGGACCTGGAGGGGGCGCTGCAGGTGGGGAGAGGAGGAGAAAGGGTGGCCTTTGTTGCCTGAAGGCAGGCAAGGCAAATGGGGTGGGGGCTGGAGGGAGGAGGCAAGACAGAGAGGGGGAGGGGGAGGTGTCAGGCAGAGGGGGAGATCAGGAAGCCCCGCAGCAGCTGAATGCAGGTCTCCCCTGGGTCCTCAGGGGGCTTGCTGCCTATGTGCCCGATTACATGGTCCATGAAGAGTTTAACCCCAGTTTGGCCAACAGCAGTTACGAGTCTAGGAGGGGGCCGTTCGACTTTGACATGAAGACCGTGTGGCAGAGAGAGGCTGAGGAACTCGAAACAAAGAAGAAAAAGGTAACCGGTGCCCTGATAGGTGGTGTGGTGGCCCAGTGCATGTGGCCCCCGGGGCAGTGTGGTGGTGCTAGTGGTGGTGTGTCTGTAGTTGTGCGTGGCATCAGCTTGGGTTCTGCCTCAATCTTTGGTGACCAGGGTCAGATTCAGTCACAAGAGTCCCCCTCTTTAGAAGTCAGGGGTGCTCCTGGCCTGGCCACCATCCCTGGGATGCCAGGGCCTTGGCATCCTTCTTACCTGGGCGACAATCCCTGAGGCTGCCATCAAGCTGGGCAGGCAGTGGCATGAGCATTGGTGTCCACTGGCTTCACTTGGGTGGACGAAGACCATCTGGTCACAGCCCATGCACATTCACCTTCATAAGAAGCCACCCATGTGTCCACAGTGGCCGCCCCATCGTGATCCAGGCCCCCCTCCCCAGAATGCAGGGCAGTCTGGTGCTCCACACCCGTACGCCCTTGACCTTGTCTGGGTTTGCGCTGTGGTTTAAATGCACATTTCCTGGGACTAACAAGGCCTTGGACATCTTTCTGTGTGCTTTCCCCCCAAAATATCTTCCTCTGGGAAGCACCTGCCCCCATCTTCTGCCCACTGTTAAATCAAGGCTGTTCTCTTTGCACTGGGACCGGAGAGCTCTCTGTGTGTTCTGGAGACGGCCTGCCATGACAGGAGCCTTGCCTGTCCTCTCCCCCCACCCGTGGCCAGTCTTTCCCTTCTCTTAACAGCGTCTTGGGAGGGACAGAAGTTCTGACTTTGGAGAAAGTCTGACTTGTCCATTTCTTTATTTACAGCTCCACTTTTGACTTTACCTTGAGATCTCAACCTCACCCCCAGCTGCAGACTCGTCCCTATGACTGTGACTGTGACTGTGACTGATAGTTTCGCAGCTGCCCCCACCCCTCACTGCTCCAGCACCCGTCCCTCTGCTCAGCAAGGCCCAGCTTTCACTTTGGGAGTCACCTTCCTCAAAACACCTGCCACCTGCCACTCATTCTGGTTCTGAAGACCAGCCCCATCCTCTTGGTCCTCGGCTGCCCTCTGTATGGGGCATCCTGGCCGCCCCTCTGATCCCACCTCCACTCTCCACCTGGCCCTTCGTTTCCCCTCCCCTCCTTGTCACCTTCGTGCACATCCCCTCTAGCCACATGGTCCCCTCCCCTCTTTTCTCGGCTGTGCCCCCTGGATTTCTCAGGCAGGATCGGGGTTTGTGCCAGGGTAGAGTGGACAGGGGAGCAGACCACCTCTCTTCCAGTGGCTGGACGGCATGTGAGCCTGCCTCCCAGGATGACTAAGAGAAGGCCTCTCATCCCATGTCCACTTTGGTTCCCACCTGATGGCTTGAGCCCAGCCAGGGGCCGCCCCTCCAAGTGTGGCACCCCATCCTCTTGGAGCCCCTGGCAGGCCCGGTCCCCCTCAGTGTCTCACACAGTAAGCTGTTCCTTGTTTTCTCCCCGAGTTGGTGCATCTTTGCTCGAGCACAGCAGTGCCGAGAATTGCTGGAGGTCTGTCATGGGGGTGCGGGACAGGGAACTGCCACACTGCTGGGCAGTGGTGTGGCGGCCATGCTGCTTGCTGTCCTGTGTGTGTGACTTCTGCTGCCAGCTGCGAGCTGCCATCTCCCTTGGCACCCAAGAGGATGAGTGCTTTGCACTGACCTAGGGTGTCTGTGTTTCTTCTTTCAGTTGAGGCTCCCAGCCATTAACTCCAAGAATCCCAGCAAAGCAGGGACCCCGCTGGGCCCCAAAGACCCGGCAAGAAGTAGACTCTCCTTCCCTCCCATGTAAGTGCTCAGGGCCACACTGACTGCTGTCGGGTTTGGTGGGGTGTGGCCTTTGGTCCTAGGGACCACAGTGACTGAGAGACAACCACATGCTGTGCTCAGGTTGGCTTCTGCCGGTGTGCTGGGCACTGTGATGCTGACGTCACAACATCCCACAGCCTGCCCCAGTCTGTGGCCTGCTGTTGCCTTTCCCCCCGAAGGAGCTGTCTGTCTACTTTTCCCAGTTTGTGCTGGAACAGATGTGGCTGATTGTCTGATTCTCTGGGGAAATGGGGTGGGGGGGGGAAGAGAGAGAGATCTCTGTGCTGTAAGAAACAACGAGCCTCTAGTTTATAGTCAGCATGCTTGCCAAGAACCCTCTAGAGTATGGTTAACCTTGGTACTTAAGCTTGTTGTTAATTTTTCTCCTTTTGAGGCCTGGGCCAAAACTCAGTTCACCCACAAACTTTTCCAAACTCATCAGCAATGGGTATAAGGACGAGTGGTTACAGCAGCGCGCCGAGGCAGACGAGAGCCCCCCACAGACATCCAGGGCGTCCCCGACATCTCAGCCCTCGAAGGACCTTGAGGGGCAAGACTCTGAGCAGCTCCCAGACACAGAGGTTCTGGAAGGCTCTGTGGAGGCTGAAGGTGAGGTGCACCCTGCCCTGGGGTGCCCTGGGGCCTCTGGCCCTTGCGGTGGCGGCCAGTTTCTCTCATCTGATTGTGTGGCTCCTCATATGTCCAGTCTAAGAACCTTGTCCGAAACCTACAGCGGCACCAAGTGACAGATGCACAGCGGTGACGTCTGTTTTGCTTTTTTATCTCTTTATTCAGGTGAATGGCAAACGTAATTTCTATGGTCTCACATTTCTCTTTATTTGCCAAAAACAATGATACTTCATTTGGTATACCAAGCAAATAACATAGCAAATAATATCAACTGCAGTCTCCCACTCCCTCAGTTTCTGACCAGCGTCACTTGACCCCATAAGCTAAGCAGCAGGTCCCTTTGGGGAACCTTCCTCAACAGCCCTCGTTCTCCGAAAATAACTCACAGTTCAAACTTGAAATTCCTCCCCTACCTGTGCTGCTTACACATTGTCCTTCAACTTTGAGTAGTTCAGAAGTTTTCCTGTAATTAGATGTTCAAAGACCATGTCGTTTTGTTTTTGACGGTCACAGTGCCGGGGAGAATCGGTCCCGTTTTTGGCCGCACCCATCCCCAGGCCTGGCAACCGGGTGCTTTCTGTCTGCAGCCCCAGGGGTTGCTGACCGAGTGCCTGGAAGCCACCTGCATTCACTCTGGAGGCTTCCAGACCTGGTTAGGGCGGTGGGAGGCTGACCGTCTCCTCTGCCCCACGGCCTCCCGTGGCCGTTGGTGCAGGGGGCGTGGCAGGCCCTTCCCCACCCAGCTCCACGCTGGGGCGGCTGGACCCCTGCTGCCGAAAGTGGGGTTTTCTCTTATTTAAAACAGATGGCCACATTTCTTAACTTCTAAACAAAGTCTTCCCCCATCTCATCCCTTTCGGCTCACGCCCGCGCTCTGCCTTGCAGGTGCCACAGCCTCTCGGTCCTCGACGACACCCGCAGAGCTCCAGTGACCTAAACGCAGCCGCCCGTGGGCCCGGATCCCACGGCTGATGGCGGCCCGACGGCGCCGTGGCTGTATTTGTTCGTGAATATAGATTCTTATGAAATACTCTGTCTTAAAGCAGGTTTGATGTCACCGTGGCGTAGATGGGCCAAGGCTTGGGTCTTGCTTCTTGCATGTTTCCCGGACGTTAAATCAGTGGCCTCTGGGGTGCTGTGCCCCGCTGCCCCAGGGTGTCGCCCTGGATGTCACGGCATCCTCCCTGCCCCAGCTGACGCCGCCCCCTGAATGTGCATCGCTGGTGGGAACGCTCTTGTAGAGGTCTGTTCTCCGGGCTTCAACTAGGGCCAACTCACAGCCTGTCCCGCGATGTGGCCCTGCAATCGCACAGAAATTATTTTTCTGTCAAAAAAAAAAATCAGTTCCAGAATATTGTGACTTAGTTTATATGAGGAAAAAGATTAATTAGCTCTTGAAGTTTTAAATATTTAGTGTAAAGCCATTGGAGCATTTGCTAGTTTTAAATTTTTGCTAATTTTTTATAAACCAAAATCCATAATATGAGAAATTTATTATATTTTTATTTTACTTAAAGTAAAAATATGTTCAATTTTAATAATTCTTTAATAAGACTACATTTTCTTTGATGAATTTTGTTACTGTTTTTAGGTAATCAGCATTACGATGTAGTTTTATATTTTGTACATTAAATTCATTAGTAAAATAATAATATTCTGATGGAAATTGCCAGAAAGCCAACTAAGGTCACGGGTGGTTCAGCTTCTTTTCCAGAGTAAACTTATGCCCTCGCTCCCCTGAAGCTTAGAAACTTTAAATCGGTTTTTCAGATGAGAGACTCGAGTGGGCCCACAAGTCTGTTCTGTTCCACCAAACAGAGGCCCCCGTGGGGACTGGGTGTGACGAAAGCCAGTGTGACTGGCTGGCTGCACAGGCTGAATAAAGAGAAGGTTGCTTTGGCGCAGGCATCCATTTTGTTTCTTCCCCTTTTCTCCCCTCCCCTCTGCTCCCTCCCTCCCACTGGATCCAGGCCTCATTCTCAGACATCCCCGCCCTAAGAAAGATTCTCAGAAACCAGGAACAGACACTCTGGTTCTTTATCAGGTCATTAGAGTAAGAGACACTGGTGGGTTAGGGACCTGTATTCTTCCCTCCCTGTTTTCCCGACTTCGCACCGCACCTGTCCTGGGTCGCAGGTGCCCTGAGCGCTGTGGGTGGAGAACCTTCCTTGGAGATCCTGCCTGCACTCCACGCTGGCTCTGCGTGTGGGTTGCGGGTGGAACACGGAGCCTTTGTTTGCACTTGCCTGGATGCTGACCGCCGAGGCTCCCCTTCCAGGACAGGGGCCCTCCCCTGAGAAAGTGACCGGGAGGCTAGGACAGCTCACATGGTCCTACCTGGACAGCCCTCGGTCGTAGGGCGGGTGGTGGGCACAGAGGAAGCAGGGTGGAAGATAAACGAGCAGGAGGAAATACATTTCCGCCATTTCCGCCACCTCCGCCGCTGCGCGTGCACGTTACCTGCTGCACGTGCTGTAGGTGACAGAAAGGCACTGCTCACACAAGCGTAACAACCAGCAGTCGTGTGTTTATCGCTGTGCCTACCCACAGGGCCTTGAGTTACGTCATTTCCACCTTTTTCTGCTTCTTTTCGTTCCCTCTGCCCGGGTTGCCTGTTTGAGCCCCCCACCAAAATTCCTATGCGAAACCCCAGTCTCCATCGGGCTGGGGTCAGGAGCTTGGCCTTGGTGAGGCCATTAGGGTCATATGAGGTCACCAGGGTGGGGGTCCCCAGGGGATTAGTATCCTCAGAGGAGACACCAGAGCTTGCTCTCTCTCTGCAGGCAAGGACTCCGGGGGAGTGTGCCCCTTGCAGACAGGGAGAAATTCTGGGGCCCCTCCCCACAGCCCCTGCACCAGGGCCCCTGGACATGATGACATCTTGTGGTGGTGCCCCAGGTGTCTGGGGCAGTGTGTGTGGGAGAGAGACAGAGGGAGGGCGGAAAACTCTCACGGAGAACAGTGCGCAGTAATAGATTGGGAATGTGTATACAATAATACATAAATATGTGCACAATGATATTTCGACTCTCGCAAACAGTCGTAAAGATTTCACCGACTTCACGGGCCAGGACACTCACTGGATGCAATGGGTTGGAACCTGGGAACAACTTAGTTCCCACCTCTTGGGAGCTGGCACCTGAATGACCCGGGACCCTGACAGTTGCAATCTGGTTGCTTTAACTCTCTCGGAAAAAGTGAGATGAGGAAGTTGTGGTAAATAGCTTTTCTAAAAGGTCATTGTCTTTTCCAATCCTCTGAGCATTTTCTTTGGGCTGTTAGTGTTTGCTTCATTGAAAACATATTTAAGTTGTGCTGTTTGGTGTGGGTGAGGGGCACGGCCGGCAGACACCTCGTTTTTGGGAGGCTGTAACAAAGTAAACGTGTCATGTGTGTACAGTGTGTAAAAGAACAGCTTGTACTAAAAAAAATATATAACAAAAAACGCAGAAAGTAAAACCAAGCAAGGAACTTGTTTATGCAGCCAGGGCTGGCTGGCGGGGGCGGCAGTGGGGTGGGGCATAGCACAGACAGACCTCTCCACTCCGCTCTGAGGGCCTGGCCCCGAGAGAACCGGGTTGGCGAGGTCGGTTCAGGTAATCTCCTTCCCCAAGAGGCATTGGTTACGGACTTTAACCGTGTCTCCAAAACACCTTCTAGGGAACACACAGAGTAGTGGGGCCGGAGCAGCTGGTCTGGCCAGGTCCCCATGCAGACGGACCACCACACAGCTGTGTCCCCACAACCACTGGTTCTGCTTCCCATTCTCCGCTCTTCAGGTTTATGAAATAACATCTAGAGAACGGAACCTAGTTCCATGTGGCCGAGTAAGTCGCAAAGCAGACCTTCTGGTAGTTTCAAACAGCGCCCCAGACTGGGCAGCAGCACACACCCCAGCAGCACCCCTGCTCCCCCACGCCGGGCAATCTCTCTTCGGACTTTCTCAAATTCACTTACTGCTTTTTATTAAAAACAAAAACAAAACAGCACACCGCTTTATTATAAATCCTAGACAATGTGCCTTTTTCCCTCGAGGGAGGAATCACCTTTTCAACTAGCTCTGCTGGAGCCCTCTGGTCTCCAGGAGCCAGAACGACTCCACCCAAACCTCTCATCCCAGGACAAATCCAGGACTTGGGAGTGAAACGTGAAGCTATCCAACTTGTAGAACCAACACAGGAGAAAATCCTCAGGATCCAGGATCAGGCAGAGAGTTTTTTGACTTAACAAAACCTGATCTCAAAAGGGGAAGTGGACATTTACCCCGATCTCAGCAAGAGTAAAAGTGAGTTCCTTGTGGAAGCTCCTAACGAGGAGGAAGAACAGACACACTGCAGACCAGACTGGGAAACACATGGGCAAATGATGTCTCCGGGCAGCAGCTGCCGCCTTAGAGTGCCTGCTGGGGACTTGGTTTCCGGGTATGCTTTTAACAGTGGGGAGACTCAGTTTCGTTTTCCAGTCTGTCATATATTTAAAAAGTTTTAACTTGACGAAAGTGTTTGATATTCCTGTTCATAGGCAGCCTTTTGGAAATGAAAGTGAGTCCTTAGCATCCCCTTCCCCCCAGCGTCCAGCCGGGCGCCCTCCTACCCCTGCGCGTCCCCCCGGGAGGGATGTGCCCGGCAGCGAGTAGCCGGCAGCTCTGCGTCTCAGCCGGTGAATGAATGGGTGAGTTCCTTCCTCTCCTGCGGCCTCAGTCCCCCGCTTTTCCCGGCGCCTGGGGCTCTGGGACAGGAAGGTCCCGGAAACACGCCCCCCCCCCCCCCCCCCCCCCCCCATGGGATACTGAGGTCCAAGAGAGCCGGGAGGGCAGCGGACATAGCCCATCCCCGATGGGGACCCACCGTGGGCCGGTGTCACTTTCGCTTCTCCTATCCTTCTTGCGCTTGCTGGAGGCGGGGCACCTCCCGACCGACCAGGGCTCCACCCTGGAGGTGGCCGCGGGTGGGCAGTCTCCCCGCAGTGTCCCTGCCCCCAGATGAGGAGGCAAACAGTGAGTGGCTGGTTTTGTCGGTGGCTCGGTGAGTAACTGGACTAGGCCGGGTTTTTCAGCGGGTGGGGCGGGTGGGGAGGCGGGGCCGCGACCAGGGGCGGGGCCGGTTGGCCCTAGACTCGGAGAGGAACTTCTCTTAGCTCAAGGTTCCCTCCCTGTAGCCTGTCCGGAGCGCAGCCCCTGGCCCCCCGCGTCCCTCACCCCAGACCCGCAGTTTCCCCCGGGCGTTTGCAGCCGGCGGCAGTGTCGCGCGCAGCTGGAGCGGCAGGTGTAGTGGCTGCTGTGCAGTGAGAGTGCCCTCGCAGGGGTCCTGCTACCTGGAGCCAGGGACCTGCAGGTGAGGTGACAGGCTCGCGTGGCCCTTGCTGGAAGGAAGCGCTGGCAGCGGGTCGGGGAGGGGCTGCTTGGAAAAGAGAGAGGACGCGCGGGGAGGGTAGGCTTCTTAGCGTCCGCGGCCACCCGGTGCGCAGCGAGGGTGTGGGTCCCCCCCCACCCCCCGCGCCCCTCCGCCCAGGTTCCTCCTGTTGAGACGGAGCCCACTGGTTGGGCTCCCGCAGAGCGCCCCCCACCCGGTGCTTCCCGAATCCTGGCGGGCGGGAGAGGGGGTGCGGGAACACGGAGAACTTCCCCTTTTCAGGCAGGGAGGGAAGTTGCATTTCGGACGTGCAGAGCTCCAGTATCTGACGGCACCAACGGCAAAGGAGACTGGTGGCTGAGCAGAGAAACTTTACTGTCAGAAATTATGTGGCAGAGATCTAAATCGCTCCGGGAGCAGGTCCTTTTACAATCCCTGTGTGGGGCAAGCTGGCCTTGGACTTGAAGAGGGGAGCTGCAAGCAGCCTCACTGGCTGTCCCCAGATCTGTCCCTCCCAGGTCGGGGTTTGGCTAGGTGACTCAGGCTCTCAGGCCAGCAGCCTCCCAGGACCCCCTATCTTGGGCCACCTGCACCTTTGGCCACAACCTTTCCTTTGCCTACCCTTCCCCCCCATTCTGTCCTTGGTGATCCACCCCTGCCCTGATCGCTGCTGCTGGCTCATCAGCCCCCTTCCTGCTACTGTCACCATTAAAGTGACCTTTGGTTCCATTTGTTAGCTGTGACCTTGGCTTTAAAGGTCACAGCTAAGGAAATCTTGTGATTTCCTTGAATTGAAACAATGTCTTAATCAGGTTTCCACGTCCTGCTCATCCCTCTCAGACATTCTACCCTGCACTGAGCTGGGTTGTGAGCACTGGGCCCGCCCTAGGCCTGGACCACGCCCTGAGACTTCCCGGACTCAGGATTCCTAAGGCTATTCCTGAGGCTCTCCAACATCTCTTCAGGCGGACCTCTCTGCACGCCAGCCTCTGCCTCTGTAGGCGTCTTCCACTCAGCACCGCCTTGTGGGGCACAAAGCAGGAAGCCTGGCCTTCACGCTGCCTGTCACCACCAGAGCCAATAAGCAGAGACAGGGACTGAGTGAGTCTTTATGGACACTTTTTTCAGACAGCCGGCGACGTGAGAAGATAGTGGGTTTGTACCCTAACAGGCTGTCTGAAATTCCATTTGAAACCGACCCTTTTTATAAGGAGAAGAAAGTGTAGGTGAGGGGTTTGGGGGATTCAGGGGGAAAGTTAATCGGATAAAAAGCTGTAGCATTCAGTCATCTGTGCCCTGGGCGGTGCTAAAAAACAATTAGGGGTGAGAGGTACAAACTGTGACCCAATCCTGTTTTGAAGGGCCATCCTGGTAGAAACATTAAAAAGTTCTTTAGGCAGGCATTTTCTAGCAATAAAAGGCAAGCCCATTTTTCAAGAATTGTAATGCCAAGGGCTAGTGTGGTTGGGAGAAACAATTTTGATAATAAATGCCCCAGTGCCGGGCCCCTCCCACCACATATCAGTATGTACAAATAGAGGCAGAGCCGGAACTGTTGTTTCATCAAGCCTAAGTAGTATTCTCCAGTTAGCTCCCCAGCTCCCCACTACAAAACGACTTTTGGGGAGATAAGCAATGGCGGCATTCGGTCTTCGGCACGAAGACCAAGAGACTGACTCTTTAGGACTAGTGTCTAAGGTACAAGGAGGAACCAGAGGGGGATTGAGAGTATGATGAATCCTCTCCTGGGTGTGCAGGCCAATTGTAGTTACTGTGAAAAGCTGATAGTAATAATTACTGTATTGCTCTTTACTTGTAGCATAAAGTTGTTCCTTTAAAGGAAAGCACAAAGTGTCAATAAGAACAGAAGAATAAACTAGGGAATACTTAGCAACATAAACTGTACTTTTTGGCGCCAGCATCCAGTGCTTGTTTTCTTCTAATGAGCTGTCTAGTCTGTTAGCTGATCAGTTTTCATTTTCAGGTAGCAGAGCTTGATGTCTGTTTTGTTCATTATAAGGCTTCGCCCTTTTAGCTGGAAGCCAGACAGGACCTGTAGGGATGGAAACACATACATACCCTCTTCCCTATGTTAAGAGGTGTACGGGGCCCTGTCAAGTACCATCTCCCAGCAGATCTCTGTATAGAACCTGAGGATAAGATGACTTTGGTGCTTTCTTTTGAAAATGTTTCTCAGTTGGAGTACAGAGTGATTCATCACAGTTTAGAAAACTATAGGTGAACATAGTTAACATAATCAGATTTTGGGGGGTAGACTCCTGACTCCTCCTTTCTTGTTTTTTAAGAAGATTTTTAAAGGTATGATGCACCCGTTCAACAATTACCTGACCAGTATTCCTGTTTTATGTTGGATATTCTAACACTGAAGGAAGGCTTGAGTAGAATGGGCAAGATATCCTGGGCCATTATCAGTTTCAATTTGCTGAGGCCGACCTAAATGACTGAAGGCTTCAAGCCAATGGGCTTGTATATTTTTTGCAGATTCTCCTATTAAAGCAGATGCGTGTACGGCATCAGAGTAAGTATCAATAGAAATGTGAACATTTGAATTTTCCAAAGGTAGCATAATGAGTGACATCTGTTTAATAAATCATTTGAGAGCTTAGTCTTTGAGGGTTAACTCCTGTGGATGGAGATGTCTTATTTAGTAAGGGCTTAACAGTCAGGACATTCTTTAATAATTTGCTTAGCTTGGGAATGATAAAGAAAGAATCTTTTAAGTTTTTCTATTACTTTTTCTGTTTAGATTTGGGGGTATGATTTTCACCCTCCTGGGAGGGCTCTTTTAAGCCTTTAACCCTTGGCCTTCTGGTTTGCAACAGGTAGGGAGCAGTTGGCTGAAAAATAGCCTCAGTTTTAAAAGTGCCTTTGTTTGTTTGTTTGTTTGTTTGTTTGGAAAGACACGCCCTCTGCTGTTTTTGCAAGCAGCAACGAGTTTGAGCAGCAAGTTAACTGCCCTGTTGTTCTTAGGATTTGGTAGCTTTTAGGTTTAGAGTTTGCAAGGAAAATTGGAAGGATGGGTGGAGGCGATCTGCTCAAACAAGTTTTAGATAAAAGTGGCGTGAGCCAAGAGCCTTTCGTGAGTCGATTGACTAATCCTTTCCTCCGGGAGAATAGCCAGTTCTTCCCTAAGGAAATGATCTGTGTTTATAGGAACTGAGTTAAAAAATAATACTTAGTTTTCCACAGAAAAGGGCTAGTTCTTTCTGGGAGATAGTACACTTATATTTTGTTTTTATAATAAAAGGTCACGGCTCTGGCATAAACAAGGAGAATTTTTAATATTTCTTTAACACATCACATCTCCCATTCCACTTATAGCATGCTTTAGACTAACAAATTTACGAACACATTCATAACTTTTAGAAACAGTTTTTCCTCTACTGGCAAATACATTCACTTTTTCCCCCCTATTTTTGGTGATTAATTACTGCATTCCTGGGGTATGCCCAAAAGGGCGCTGTCTCAGTATCTAGTGCCCTTGACAACTTCAGGGAGGCTGGAGAAGACGGAGGGAGGATGCTAAGCTCCACACGCTTGTTCCCAGGACCAGAGCAGTCCCTGGGCCCTCAGAAGGAAGAATCAGACTGATTAAAAGACACATTTTCTCGTTATTTTTCTTCCTGCGCTTTTTACTGCCTGAGGGAAGTGAGATCTTTTTCTTTTTCTTTTTAATAATCAATTTAAATTCTTTCTGAGTAGAATCCTTATGATGTAACAACATTAGAGATTTCATGCTATTTACCAAAACATTTTGGGGCTGAGACGTTATTTTTAAAACAGAAATAAAAACAAAACTCAAGCAAACCAGTATTTTCAAATTAAATCCTCTAAAGGAGGGAGAGAGACTCTAGTCTTTATCTCACACCGCCTGGTGCTGTTTCAACTTCTGCCGCCCAACTTTTCCCTGAATAACTATGTCTAAAGGTCGCTTATCAGGGAGATATCTGGCAGCCTTAAGAAGCTGCTGAATTAGCTTAAAACATTGCTTTTGTTCTTTAGAGAGCCAGTTCCCCATGGTTGAGGATTGGCAGAAACTAAAAAAAAATTTTTTTTGAACAAATAAAAGAACCTTTTTTTGATATTTTTCCCACCACAAGTGTGGCGACTACAAACCCAATTTCGCTCTCACTCTGTCTGCACCTTTAAGTCCTACTCGTTTTTAGTCAAAAGAATGTAGTGGGTCATAATGTACTGTTGGTGAAAACCATCAGGGAGGGCTGCCTGGTATCTAGGGTACCCTAACCCTGCCTATGGGTTTCAGGTTTTTCCCACAAGTTTAAGACTGCGAGCGGGGCTCGATGTGCCAGGTGACCAACCTTTATATTGCGGTTTCTGACCGAGCTGAGAGTTAAATTAACTGTGATTGGGATTCCCTGTGACGCCCTTGCACATCTTGGGGGATTGACCCCTGACACGTCCGCAAGGCCCTGACTCATGTAGGAATGCCCGAGATCTCTAGCCAGAGGGAGGAATGCCTTTTGTCTTCGGTGCTCTGCAGGCAGCTGAGACACTCATAAATAACTCGGAAACTAACTCTGAGTTCTCAAAGCAATCTTAGGAGTCCGGTTGAAGCCAAAACATTGATTTACTATCTGCTTTTCTGTTTACAGGCAGGCGGAGGGAAAAGGCAGAATCAAAAGGGCGGCAAAAAGCAGCTTTTAAAGAAAGAACGAACAGAGGTGCTTATAAGAAAAAAAAAGCTAATTGAAAGGAAAATTCATTGTTCTCTCTCCCAAGCCTAAAACCTGATTGGGAATTGTGTCATGGAGATGGGCTTGTGAGTGGTTTTACAGTGTGCCTCTCGTGTGGACTTTTGTCTGCGGTTGGCAGGAAACCTAGTGTTTTTCCTGGCCCACGTCCAACTTATGGGGCTTCGCTCTCATGGCTCTTAAACTATCAACTCGTGCCCAAGGGGTGCGGCGATTACCAGAGAGAGAGAAGGAGGCTTTTGCTTACTAAAGAGCGTGTGGTCTCAAGAGAGAGCGACCTTGGAAATACCCTTTTTTTCTGAAATCCATCACACCCTACGACCTTGCCGAAAAGCACTTGGTGTCATCGGCCCTTACCTGGGCTGATGCGCGCATTCCAACCACCTTTGTGTGTTATCCACAAGGACAGCTCGTAGCCTCTGGGTCCCTGTTCCTGGCGCCAGGTGATGCAGACTCTGGCCCTCCGGAGTCTGTGTGTTGTGGATGCGGTGCACAAATTCACACGGAGTACCGAGTCCTGTGGGGACGAAGGGACCGCACGGACACTCTCTCAAGGGGAGAGTGCCTCTGAGTGCCTTAGCCACTCTCTCAAGAGGAGAGTGCCCCGACCTTTGCCTGGACAGGCTTTTATTGCTTTCCAGTTGCATTACATCAAGGAAGGTTCTCATTATATCTTGATTTAGTTAAGTGATTACTTCTTACGGATAACAAAAAAGGAGAAAAAGTTGGTCTTCGTGTATCTAGGATAACCCGCCTTTGAAATGTCCATCCTCCTCTTCCTCAGACCCCTCAGGGTGCAGCCAGGAGACCGGGGACTGTCTCCTGCTTCTGTTGTCTTGTCCCCTGCCCCGCCCCCACCTTGTCTCCTGCTATAGACGTTAACTATCCTGTGCTCACCACGTGAGAGATGTGTGTCTCTCTTACTTTTCATCCCATCCCAGAGATTTGCCTGCTTCACTTTCTCCTCCTTAAATCTACTCTCGGTGGTCCTCACACAGCCCTGACTCCCTCTGGTCTCCTTCTCCGAATCTAGTGTATGAAATCAGCTGCCAACCACTGTTCTCTGGAGCATTTTCTCATTCCATTGAGATTTTACTTCCTGGAAACTGACCTTAGTTTGCCTCAAATAAGCTCTTGCAGGACTTTCTCTTAGTCTGGACACTGTGCTCACTGACAGCATTAAGTTCTTTATACAAAGTAATCTGCCTCTCTGATTCTTACTTTAATGGGTGATGTTAAACAAAAAAATTTAGCTCCCATGGCTGAAAGCCTTTTTTAAAAGAAAGGGCTTATCAGGCCATTGCTGGCGAAAAATGGAGAGTGGCGTTGGGGCCTGAACCCCGAGGAGGAGGCCAGGAGGGGAAGGCCTGGAGTTCTGCAAGCGTGTTTTGTGCACGGGCAGGGCGGGGGTGGAAGGGATGGAATGGATTCTGGAAAGATTTACAGAAGCAAGAGACTGAGGGGTTGGGGCAGGGACAGGGAGAGGAGGAGCAGGCTAAGTCAGGCGTGGGCCCAGCCCAGTCCCTGAAGCCCTGTGAAAATAAGAAGTAGGGTCTCCTGGGCTCCGCAATGCCTGGCTGGTCTCTCTTCTGGGTCGCCGTGGGAAGAGTCACTTGGAAATGAATCTTAAATTCCAACAGACACCCAGCCTAGCAGTGGCTTTCGTCAGAGGTCAGGGGGCTGACCCTCTTTCTCTTTCTCTTTGGCCACTGTGATTTTAACTTAGAACATCCCTGAATTTTTTTTTGTCCGGTAGGACAACAAAAACTGACTTAGGGTTTTTGTTTTAACAAGCTGGGTCTGGCAGCAGGCAGGGCAGCCCCAGCTGCAGAGTGAGGCGGGGTCCTTCTGGATGGGAGTGCAGGCAGAGAAGAGTTCTGTTGATGCCAAGGGGGGCCCATCCAGGTGGAGAGGGACAGGCAGAAGAGCACTTCCTCCCGGCCCACCTTGTGTAATCGTCTCTGGTTTTAAGAGTGGGCTGAAAACGGCTCGTGTTTAACTGTGGTGACCATGGTTATCAATCCCTCTCTCCAGTGTAGGGCCTTTGGGGAGGTTAGCTTAGGAGGGGCCTGGTTTCTGGCAGGTGGCTGGGGATATCCCTGGGCAGGAACGTGTCCTGCAAGTGATGGGCCTGGCCACTCCATGGGACTCCGCTCACTGGATTTACTGCCTGGGCATGCAGTGGCCTTGGCTTCACACCACTCTCTCTAAGCACCGTGTCCTTCCTGCCAGGCTGGGGGAACTGGGGGCCATGCAGGTACAGGGCGAGGTGCTCAGAGACCAGAGCTTTGCCACCTGAGTTCACTGCACAAGCTCGGCTCTTGTCCTCCACACAGAGACCTGGTTTGAGGCCAGTGCTTGATGGCAGGGCCCCGCATGGTCCCTGTGCTATGTCTGTTCCTCCCTCTGGCATTGGAGTGGGGACAGAGCAGAGGACCGAGTCACCCAGCCTCAGGTCCTTCTTGTCCTTCTGTGGCAGGTCTTCAAGTAGTCCTTGAGGTCTGGTGGAAGACTGCTAATGTTCTTGAAGGTCAGGGCCTCAGGGAGTGGTCTGTTGGGTCAAGGTCATCTTCCACAGGTTAGCACATCTTTGCTGCTGGTCCAAGTGACCTTGGATCCTTTCATGGCTCACTATTGTTAAACCACTTCAACAAGAGGCCACTCTTGATGCCCTCTGCCAATGTCAGGGTCCCGAAATGAGAGCAGGAAGGACCGCCAGTGTCAAGCAGCTGGTGAGACTGGCAGCCATGGCTGATCCGGGTCCCTGTCTTAGCCTCACCCAGGCTCCATGGTGCCCTGACCTCACCAGTTCAAGTTGACCACTTCAAGTTGTTTACAGGCCTTGGTTCACAGGTTAACGCTGTCCTATGCTATTTCCCCAGGGTTCTACCGTCGGTGAGAGATGGCCTTCTCAGGGGCTGGCCCCAAGGGACAGGAGCGTGGCAGGTGAGGCTCGTGCATGGCTGGGTTTCTGGGGGGCTGTGGTTCCTTCATCAGAACTGACTATGTGAGCACGCCAGTTCTCTGGACAGTCCGGGGGACAGCAACTGGGGTGGAGGGGCCCTAACTGGGCTGGAGACCTGGTCTGGCCCAGCCTGGGCTTAGCTCTCCAGAGGTGCGGTCTAAGGGGACCTGGGCTCAGAGTTCAGGTTTGAGGCCTGGGGGGCTTATCTGATACCCGGACACTCTCCAGAAACTCAGTCCCTGACCCTTCCTGCTCTTTCTTGGTCCTGAACCTTCAATACTTCCCTGGTTTCTCTGCACTGTTTCATAATTCTCCTTTGTGATTCTCTCTTCTGATGAGTTGCTGGAAAAGCACACATTTCTTGTTTTAGTGCCAATTCCCGCATGGACTTTGAATTTGCCAAGCTGCCCCTCTGCCCTGCCGTGCCACGGCACATCTCCCTTGTTTGCAGGAGGGTTGGGGGTGCTTGGCCCTCCTCGCTGATCACCTGGAACCAGCCGGTTTTCATTCATTCTGAGTCTCACATTTAAAGCAGGGACTTAGTCCCTATTCAGTGATGTGATGCAACAATGCCAAAGAAAATCACTTGATTTTGTGGGTGGACTGAAGAAATCGTTTTGCAAGTAACATATCTCTGACTTATCATCTGAAAATCTTTTAAAGTGTAAGTGCGAACACATCCTGGTGGATCATGGTTCGGTGCACTTTATGAGAGGCCAAAAAGTCTGTGACGTTTTTCCCACAAAATAAAAGACACATTTTTCATTTTCACCAATAACTTTATATATTTGGATATTTTGAGGATGTCGGCTCTCTCCCATGTGGTAGCACGTTGATCATTTTCAGTTAATGCCTCAATTTGATCGCTGTCAACTTCAGCTGGTCCACCCGACGGTGGAGCATTGTCCGGTGAGAAATCTCTAGCACAGAACTTCACAAACCACTTCTGACATGTTCATTCAGTCACAGCACCTTCTCCACACACTGCACAGATCTTTTTCTGCAGTTCAGTTGCATTTTTACCTTTCTTGAAATAATAAAGCACAATATGCCAAAAATGTTGCATATTTTCTTCCATCTTCAATATTCAAAGGGTTACACAAAAGTTCACCAATTTTGACAAGTTTCTTTAAATGCACGCTGATGACAGCTGTCACAATACAATCTAACAGCATTATTTCAAATGAAGTGAAAGACAGTTAAGTGCTACGAGAGCCGTCATATGGAAAACATCAAACGACCTTTTCGGCTGACCCAGCATTTTAACATTGTCGCTGGCCATCCACGACACCCTGTTGCCTTCTCTTGTTCCTGGAATCAGAGAGAAGAGTAAGGTTTTCTGTTTCAAGATGTGTGACCGTGCAGTGTTGTAATGCCCTGCTGCATTGGTTTGTTGGTGGCCCTTCTGTTGAGACTGGGCGTGCACAACATCCTGAGGTCTCCTTCCCAGGGATGGGACCCCGTGAGCAGCTGTGGTCACTAAAAGGCCTTAAGGCTGTGGTATGGTGTCAGAATTTCTGTCTCAAGATCGGGGATCATCCTAGTTACACACAAGCCTAGGTTTCCTCCTGCGTAAGAGGCATCCCTGCCCAGGAGAGAGAGACACCCCTGGTCTGGAGACCCAGGGAACCTGGTCAGGACTGGGCAGGGGCTGCGGTAGACAGGTGTGGCTCTGGGCCTTGGGGCGACTGGCTGGCTGTCTGCACTGAGTGAGACCCTTGGCCCCTGCGCCCAGATGTAGCCAGCGCCTGCTGGGATGGCTGGTTTGAGCCTCCAGGTGTCTGAAGCCCAGCCCTTGCCTGTGGCCATGGGCCAGCCCTCCCCCTTTGTAAAAAGAGCCTTCTGTCTCCTGAGTATTCTGTGCTCGGCTTTGTTTGGGTTGGCCAGAAACTTCATTATGTTAGTGGTGGCTATAGCAGTGCTGAGCTGTCTTTAACTTCATTAGAAACAATTTTGTTAGATTGTAATATGACAGCTGTCATATCAGCATGCATTTAAAAAAAATTATCAGCCCTGTCTGGTGCAGCTCAGTGGACTGAGTGCCAGACTATGAAGCAAAGGGTCACCAGTTTGATTCCCAGTCAGGGCACATGTCTGGGTTGTGGGCCAGGTCCCCAGTGGGGGTGCATGAGAGGCTACCATACATTGTGGTTCTCTCCCTTTCTCCCTCCCTTCCCCTCTTTCTAAAAATAAATAAAATCTTTAAAAAATTATCAAAAATGGTGAATTTTTGTGCAGCCATTTTAATGTTGAAGATGAAAGAAAACGTTCAGCATTTTTGGCATATTATGCTGTATTATTAAAAGAAAGGTAAAAATGCAATGGAAATGAAGGAAAAAGAATTTTTTTCCTGCAGTATGTGGAGAAGGTGCCGTGACTGATTGAGTGTGTCAGGAGGGGTTTGCGAAGTTTCTTGGTACTAACGCTGTTTTGGCCAAATGACTCTCTGCTGGGGGCTGTCTGATACACTGGAAGGGGTTTAGCAGCACCCAGGGGCTCTCCCCACTAGAAGCCAACAGCAGGAGAGAGCCAACATGCTCAAAATACTCAAATGAAAAGGGCTATTGGTGAAAATGAAAAATGTCTTTTATTTTACAGAAAAAATCGTAAGGACTTTTTGGCCACCCCAATAAGTCAGCCTTTTGACAAAGTTCAGATGTGCGTTCATTTGGACGCCCTGTGAGGAGGGGGGAGGGGGCATGGGGGTGGGAGCCCGGTCTTGGCCGTCAACGCCCAAGCTGCCTGGAGACACAGCAAAACGTTGATACAGCGACAGACACGGGGATGTGATGGTGAAGCAGGCGGGGCCGTGGGCTGGTTGCGTGGGGCTGCGTAGGCTCCAGGGATTCACAGACAAGTAAGACCCCGTCTGGCTTTCAGGGCTTTGTTACCGGAGATAATCAAAGTGATTGTCTTCATCACACAAACAGGTGAAGCGATTGGTGCGGAGCAGGTATTCAGCGTGGGCAGTCACGGCTGTCTTCGTTATTGAGAGTTGGTGAATATCATGTTTTCCTGGGAAACACTCCCTTGTACCCAAGGCAACAATAAACAGATGGAAATAAACATCGGCAGTGTGGCTGTCCAGAGCCTCTGTCTGTCTGGCAGAAACGCGTGCATTTTTAGTGAGAGCTGTAATACCGGTTGAACCTCTGACACTTGGATCCTCAGGAAGAGGCCGCTGCCCCAGGGGCTGGAGCCTCAGGCGAGCATCTCCCAGTCAGGACAGTGCACTCTCTGCTGGGTGCTGGGTCAGCGCGGTTACACCTCGGCCAGGATGCGCCGGCTGGCCCCTGGGAAGCCCTGTAGTGGGATTTCCAAGCCACGGGTTGTGGGGACCTTCTTCCTCCGCACGCTTTTCTGTCATCAGCGGGTTCTGGGCAGGAAGCCAGACGCAGCAGGAAGAGAAGGGAAGCCCTGGTCACTGCAGCCAGGGGCCCACTCTGCCTTTCTTCTGCTCTGGTTTTGGGGAGCAGCCCTGGGAGTGGGCTCCAGGAAGGCACGATGTGGAAGGAGGCGTGGCTAGGGTTCGCTCTAAGGGACGTCGCAGGTGAAGACACACTTTAGACTCAGCATTTGTTCCTCGAGTCCGTGTTACTGGAATGACCACACTCATTTGCATGTTGTCCATGGTCGCTTTCACATGACGGTGGCTGAGTGGTTGTGGCAAAGCTGAAATGGTTGCAAAGCCAAAAATACTTGATGTCTGGCAATGTCTGGCTTCCATGGCAGTCCAGGGTGAATGTGTTATTTTAAAAATTAGGTCAGGTTTGTGTGCCAGGTGAACATGAGCTGAGCAGTGACTGGCCGTGCTCTTTCTGTGTGAGTGACCTTTGATCTTGTTCTGTTTGGGTTCCTCATTTCTGATCCACCCTGCTCCCCCCGGGCACCCCCCTCCCGTGGGCCGGGCCCTGGGCGAGGGGAGGAAGAGGGAAGGGCACAGAGAGGGGAGTGAGGCTCAAAGCGGGCGTCTCTCCTTCCCTCTATGCGCCACAAGCTTCCTGCTGACCCAGGGCACTTTGTCACCATGTTGGCCACTGGACCCCAGTGCTCTGCTAACCTTCTACTTTCCTGGTTTGGAACAGTGACCGCCGCGTCCAGCTTTGCAATCCAAACCTGGCCAAGATGAAGGAGGACATTCTCTACCACTTGGACCTCAGCACCAGCACGCACGACCTCCCAGCCATGTTTGGGGATGTGAAGGTAAGGAGCGGGGATTGATTCTGGGGACCTGTCCCCTGATCGCCGCCTCACTGGTGACACGAGTTGTGACCCCTCACAGAGGGCCGAGGTGACAGAGGCAGGGTCACAAAGTGATAGGTATATAGTGGACTTTTCCCAACTGTCACTGTTGAAGGGTAGGAACTTGTGAGTAAAAGAACACTCTCAGAAATGCCACCTTAGTGGCCCCTCTAACTTCTCACCCACTGACTGTCCCTTGGAGCCGATGGAAGTGTCTCCCAAGCCTCATCCAGAGAATGGAGAAAACGGGGTGGGGAGCGGGGCACTCAGTGAGAGTGAGTATATGAGTGTGAGTGAGTATGTGCGTGTAAGTGTGAGTGAGTGTGTGAGTGTAAGTGTGAGTGGGTGAGTGAGAGTGTGAGTGTAAGCATGTGTGAGTGTAAGTGTGAGTGAGTGTGTGAGTGTAAGTAAGTGAGTGTGTGAGTGAGATGCGTGTTGACACTGATTCCTCCACGGCCTCGAGTGTGCCCTCCAGGCCGTTTTCCCCACAAAGTCTCAGCCTCTCAGCTCTGACTGATCCTCCCTCACGCCTCTGAAAAGGTCGAATCCCGCGGGTGAGCGCGGGCTCACGTTTAGAACTCCAAACCAGAACGTGCCAGGGAGGGCAAGACCGCATGGCCTTGGCGCCGACTCCCATCTGACTGTGGAGTTCTGGCCGGGGCTGCGCTCGCGCACTTGCTCCGTGCTTTCCTTCCCAGCCCTCCCCATCTGTTCCCGTTCATTCCGCGTCCCGTCTCCTGAGGAGTGCGATTTTCTTCTTCTTCCTCAGAGATGAACAGTTCTTTTGTCAGCCAACTCCCTCGCACTGGGGCACTTGCTTTTCTTGTGTGAAACAAAAGGAAAGGTGTGCTCTCAGCTCTCTGACCCCACCCCTGACCCTGTGGCTGCCACTTTCTGTGCCTGGGCCATGGGGCGCTTGGGCGGCCAGGTGAGAGGTGGGGGCAGGAGCCCGTTTTGTAGGTGGGCTGTGGGGCCCTGGTCACCCGGGTGAGAAGCCCACGCCACCTTACTCCACACCCAGCTCCCGCCAGGACAGTGAGCTGCTGGCCTCAGGCTGGACGGAGGCTGGTGGGCGTGGAGCGGACTGGCTTCCCCCAGCGCCTGGGTCTGTGTCCCTGGGAGCTGTGGCTGGTGGCAGTGCCGTGCAGTGCCAGAGCCTCCCACCCTGCACGGGAATTTCAGGAGCCAGGACCCCCAAACTCCAGGGAGCACCGAATCAGCAAGAGGCCTCCCTAGGCGTGGTCCGTCTGGCGAGGGCCAGGGGACTGGCATTTCTAGCACGTTTCAGGAGGGGCATGTGTTGCTGGTTGGGGCCCTGCTGTGCAGGTGTGGGCTGCCCCTGTGCTGACAGGGTCTGCTGTCCGTCTGTCCATACCCACAGTTCGTGTGTGTGGGCGGCAGCCCCTCCCGGATGAAAGCCTTCATCAAGTATGTGGCCTCGGAGCTCGGCCTGGACCGCCCAGGCAAGGACTATCCCAACATCTGCTCAGGCACTGACCGCTACGTCATGTACAAGGCGGGGCCTGTGCTGTCCGTCAGCGTGAGTACCTGTCCCCCGAATTGGGCGGCCATCCTGTGCTCTGCAGGCCCCCATCCCTCAGGCAGGGTCCAGGCCCCTCACCTCCTGTGGACCCCATCGGGCTGGGAGCAGCTGGGGAGAGCTGAAGTGTCCCTGCCTCAGGAGCAGCACCTGCTTGTGTAGCGGCCCTGGGGCCTGGGGGCATCCTGGGGGAGGTGGCCCTGGAAGGGCAGGAGGCAGGGATGAGACACAGACGGGATGAGACAGAAGGAAGCCAAGCCTTGCCTCGGGGCACATCCTGGGGCGATTAGCACTTAGTGCAGCTGAGAGAGAAAAGCCAGCCCAGTGTACCCGAGGCCAACACCTGGGGGAGCTGGCAGGGCTGGCTGTCACCCCGCATGGGGACTGTGGGAGCTTTCCTGCTTCCCAAAGTTTCCAGTTTTTATTTATTTTTTTAAATTAATTTTATTTACTATTTTTTATATTATATTATTTATTTATAGAGAGGGGAAGGAAAAAGAGAGGAAGAGAAGTATCAGTGTGTGGTTCCCTTTTGAGTGCCCCCTACTGGGGACCTGGCCTGCAACCCAGGCCTGTGCCCTGACTGGGAATTGAACTGGTGACGCTTTGGTTCTCAGGCCAGTGCTCAGTCCACTGAGCCACACCAGCTGGGGCTGGAAGTGTCCTATCTTCTAAGCCTTTGTGTTGAGGTGCATTCTTGGGGGCCACGGGCAGGAGCGCCCACAGAACACATGGGGGCTTGTGGGCCGTAACGCTATGTCTCTCCCGGGGCAGCATGGGATGGGCATCCCTTCCACGGCCATCTTGCTGCACGAGCTCCTCAAGCTCCTGTACCATGCGCGCTGCTCCGGCGTCACTGTCATCCGCATTGGCACATCCGGTGGCATAGGTGAGGGGCGGGCGACTTCTGCGTGGGGCTTGGTGGCGGGGGACAAGCACTCAGCTCCCTGTGGAGGGTGGGTGGGTGGGCCTGGGCATCAGAGCTCCTTTTCCGGACCTGGCAGAAGGAGGTGTGGGAAGGGGCTGTCCACCTGCAAATGCTCGGCCCACAGCAGACGGCCCGGGCCAGGCAGCTGCTTGTACATGGTGAGCCGCTTGTGGGCCGCAGGCTTCCTCTCTGGCCTTCGTCCCCGAGTCGCTGCTGCACACCCTTCCCCGCCACTCTCCCACCTGCCTCCCGAAAGGGTCTGAAGCATCTTACAGGAAACCCTGCTGGAAAGTCAAGGGCAGTGGGGGGGTCGGGAGAGGGAGAGAGAATACAAATTTAGATAAGAATGCATCTGCCCTAAAGGAAAATGCAGTGGTTAGGAGTTGGTTGATTTGCAGCCAGGCTTGGGTGCACAGGGCTCGTAGTACGGTTCTTGTCCACTTTTGTGTTTGCTTGACATCTTCCAAAATGGAAAGGCACAAAACAGGGGCCGATGAAATGCACTGCGGTGCTGGCGTGCCCGACAGGTAAAAATAGAGCCGAGCGGAAGACACGTATCTTGGGAGGAGAGGTTTCTGGTCGTTTCTACTTCCTTGCACCTTTCTCCTCCGTGTTTTCTGCAATGCTTGGGCCTTAATATCCGTGACTGTCAGGGATTTGAGGGGGGAGAGAGACCCTCACCCCTTCTTTTTAGCACGTGACTGCTGCTGCAGCACTTCAGCGCACAGGTGGGCCGTGCCCCTCCATGTGCTGGCTGCACCCTCTGTCCACTCCACGTGACCGCGACGCCTCTTCCTCCTTCAGGCCTGGAGCCCGGCTCCGTGGTCATCACCCAGCAGGCGGTGGACGCCTGCTTCAAGCCAGAGTTTGAGCAGATGGTGCTGGGCAAGCGGGTGGTGCGCAGACCCGACCTGGATGCGCAGCTTGTGCAGGAGCTGATGCAGTGCTCCACGGAGCTGAACGAGTTCCCCACGGTCGTGGGCAACACCATGTGCACCTCGGACTTCTACGAAGGTGATGATGGGGTGGCCAGTCCCCCGTGGGCTGGGGCTTCCCTGCCTCCTGCCTCATCAGTGTTTCTGCTTTGGTGGTAATGCCTGCATGTGAGTGGGTGGTCCAGGCTCCCACGAAGGTGGGCTGCAGTGGTCGAGAGCATCCCTGTAGGCAGCACAGCCGCGTCACTGTGGGCCCCTCCTTGTGTCCCTAGGCCAAGGCCGCCTGGACGGTGCCCTGTGCTACTACACGGAGCAGGAGAAGCAGGAGTACCTGCAGGCGGCCCACGCGGCCGGCGTCCGCAACATTGAGATGGAGTCGACCGTCCTCGCCGCCATGTGCAATGCCTGCAGTGTCCCAGGTAGGTGGGCACTGAGCCACTGCCCCATTGAACAACCTGAACACCCTCTCCCGGCCCTCCCAGGCATCCGCCCTGTCCCCAAGGCCTGCCCGGGACTGGGCGGCATTGTGCACCCCTGTGCTCAGACCACCTTCGATTGTAACATGGCCAATTGCCAATTCTCAGTGTCTCTGCAAGGACTCACGTGCCACCAAGTGCACTGAGGAAGGTGACTGGAAGGCCCCCCGGCCTCGAGTAGGTTTTGAGGCAGTGAGCCTGCCTGAGGCCCTGAGATGGGCCTACTTTTCAATCTGGACTTGCGTTGGAGTTTGTCCACTTCAAGTTCCTTCCTAGTCACCCTGCGAGGAAGGGCCAGCTCTGCTGTCCAGGATTCCTGCCTCCTTGTCACCATCACTTGCCTTTCAAGGCGGTGCAAGACCAGGGCTGGCGTGGGACGTGCTTGGGACTCTTGGAAGCAAAGGGACAGAGAATAAGAATGGGGCAGGGCAGGGCAGGGTGGCCGGAGGAGCAGCACCCAGGCCTTGCTGAGATCCCCATCCGCCCCCACTCTTGCTGATTGGAGGACCTGGTCCTGGTCCAGTGGCTTGAGTGAGGAGCCCCGAGCTCTGTGCTGACGCGGCCTTTGCTCTCCGCAGCGGCCGTGGTGTGTGTCACCTTACTTGACCGCCTGCAGGGGGACCAGGTCTCCAGCCCCCATGAGGTGCTGGCTGAGTACCAGGAGCGGCCCCAGAAGCTGGTCAGCCACTTCATCAAGAAGCGGCTCGCGGCGGCCTAGAGTCCCTGCGTCTCGACGATGAGTGTCCTTGGGGCTGCAAATAAAGTCTGGTCCAGATCCCTGCTCTGACCTTGCACACTCTGTATGAGGGAGAATGGGGAACAGCCCAGCGCACGGGCTTGAGCTGCACAGTCCATGCAGACACAGGATTTTCCAGTGATTCCCTGTGCAGTGCAGACCCACACTGTCCAGGGCCCCTGGTGTTTGGGAGCTGGCGTGGAGGGAGGGCTGCAGGTTGGTTCCCAACAGTGCAGGCGGGTGTGCCCCTTGCCTAGTGGTCCAGGGCCAACTGTCTACACTGTTCCTGAGTTACAAACAGCCACGTCTCTGGAACCTTCTGCATCAGCCCGGTAACTGCCGTGGTCCCATCTGCTTTCCACCCTGCTGCCTGATGGGTCTGGGGCGGGCCCTGGGATGGTGGGTTGGAGCATCCACCTTCGTTGGGCATGCCTGCTGGAGCCTGTTCTTGGGTATTCAGTCCTGTGTTCCCTGGGTGGGTGCTGGGGCCGTGTCCTGCAGTTAGCTGTGTGACCCAGGAGCAGGGAAGTGTGGGGACCCTGGTGTGACAGGTATGGTCCCTGCATTCCTCAGGGATTCTGAGAGTCACACCCAATGGGGGGTTAGAAGCAGGCAGGTCGGGTGCGCTGAGCCCCAGCACAGCAGGGAGCTCCATCGCTCTGGGTGCTGAGGAGCCCCACCTCCCCTCAGGCCTGGAGGCTGTCGGGGCAGGGGGTAAGTCCCCTCCAGTCCTGCCCCAGCGCCCCCTCCACCCCTCATGTCTGCTGCACCCCAACAGGAGGCTGGCCGAGAGGAGGAGCCCTGGAGGGTGGGGTCTGTGTGGGGTCACCAGGTCTCAGCCGACGGGGGAGCCCCTCACACCCCTCCAGGCAAGTGTGGCTGTGGAGTCCCTGACGAGGCAGAGAGGACACAGACCTTGGGCTCAGATGGCCCTTAAGCTGAAGAGGAGGCTGCTCCCGCCCGGAGAGGGGCTGGGTCCCTCGGGTGCCTTCTCCATCCTGCACTCCACCTCCCTCTGGGCAGGGTGCAGGAAGCGGACTGCGGGAGAGCTGCCAGGGATGCTGGGCTCTCAGGTGGGCCTGTGCTGCCCCATGCTGGCCACGAGTGGAAGGGCGCACCATGTCCCACAGGGGCCGCTCCTGAGTGGACAGCCCCTCCTGTGTCACTGAGGGGGGCTGCTTGACAAAGCTTGACAGTGCCCCACGCAGGCAGCACCCCGTGGGCAAAGCCGCTTGTTCTGATGGGACAATAAAATGACAATCACACGTCTGTCATGAGAACTGAACTCAGCTGAATTTAGTCTGGTGAGCAGGGTGACTCTGAAGGTGACCTGGGAAAAGTCCCCAAACACATGCCCTGGGTTCCTCAAGACGGCCGTCCCTCACCCTGCACGGCCACCCCACCCCTCATCTCCCTCTATGCCCGATGATGACAGCGACCCCCTGAGCAGGACCACATGAGTTTGGCTCGCTCCCCCCTCACTGCGTGAGCGAGTAGGGAGAATTGGAGGCAGTGTTGGGTTCGCTCTGATGGACAAATCATGTTGGATCTGGGGAAGCGGGGTCGGCTGCGTCACCGCCCCTTTGGTCCTGGGGACGCCCTGCACGAGGTTAGTGTGGGAGCGGCCCCCCCAGCTGACCATCGTCTGGCACTTTGTAATTGGTGGGGAGGGGACCCGGGTGAGGTGTCCCCATGTCAGAAGTGCAGCTGCTGTGGGAGAAGCCGGCTCAGACAGGATTCGGGGTGCGTGCACGCCGCTTCCCACCTGTACCTGCCTCCAGTCCCGTCCTGCCCACCGGTCCTGATGCCACCTGACCGAGCAGGGGGAACAGTGACCTGTTTCAATACATGGCAACAGAAATAAGGAGATGCAGGGAGATCCAACCCGTGTCTCTCCTACCTTCATCACTGGTGACAGCACCGCCCAGGATAGGAAGCCAGGGCTGTGTCACTTGCAACCCTGACATGAGGAAATGATGTTACTGTATTAATCTGAGTCCAGTGAGTGTCAGGTGCCATTTCCCAAGTGATGAATGGGTCTCTTCTCTCTGCTGACTTCTCGACCTTGCAGTGCTGGTGAGGGCGCTAAGCCCCACACTTGGAGTTGCCCCAGGTTACAGGGCAGGTGAGGGCTGGGTCTTTGTGTGGAAACGTCTGGTCAGTCCCCGGCTCACTGGCTGCCGACTGGGGAGCACATTCGCTGTAGACGTGCTCATACCCAGCCCTTCAGGAGCAGGGCAGGGGGTACCCGCTGAGAATACAGCCTTCACCCGTCCCTAAGAGAGGGCATTTGAAAGATCCAGCACTGGCGTGTGGTGTTCATGTCGGTGAGGGACATAGCCCTCCTGCAGCTCCTGTGGCCCTGTGGGGGCTGGACGCTGCAGCCTTCTCTGTGGACAGTCACTGGCTGCTGGGAGCAAAGGCTCATGGGGAAGGTCAGGGCCTCGGGCTGTGCTCCTGTCTGCTTACCTGTCACAGGGCCTCCTGCCGGCTAGAACTCGGTTAAATCTGGGGTCTGAGAGCTGCCGCCGGAGTGGGCACGTGATGAGGGGACCTGGTGGATGTGGTCTCTGAAAGCGGCAGTTGGTGTGACTTGGGCAGCCGAAGGGGAACTGGGAGCCCCCAACGTGGCCCAGAGCCACCTCTGCAGGAACTCGGAGCTTGAGGCCAGCTGGGGGGAAGGCCCGGCTCCCCCAAGGTCTGGCCTGTACATCACCTGAATGCAGGCCCTTTGCCAAGGCCCTGCATCCCTGCCTTATGGGGGCCACGCTCACAGCGCAGCCCCTGAAAGTCGGTATTCAGTAATGGCTCCGGGGGGTCTGAAGCACTGTGGCTTTTAAAAACACCCATGGGCCTCCCGGTGCATTTCCCTCTTCCTTCAGAGACTGCCATCGAAAGGTCGCTTCGACCTCTTCTATTATTCCTGGAGATCCTCTTCAGGATCTCCATCATCTTGCCACTTGCATCTGTTGGTTATCTGATACTTGGATTCCTATCAGTCCGGGTTTCTGGTTGTTTTTCCTAAAAGACCAATAGGCCCAAGGTGAAGGCTAAAATAAAATAAAATAAAAACACCCGCACAAACGTATTGTTCCTGGGACTCTCCCGCGCCCACCGAGAGGATGCCATCCCACGTCCAGTGTGACCTGGATCGGGGAAGTGAGGGAAGGGCTGCCCCACCCACCCCTTCCAGGAGCCTGGGCTGGTGCTTGGCTCCCAGCAGCACTCTGGACTGCTGCTGTTTGGGCAACACCCACATGTTTGAATGGGCTCTGCCCTCCGGAACTTATTGGACCTTTCCAGCTGTGAAACTGGCACCAAAATTGGGACCCACTTCAGGCGGCTGGTTCACAGTTGCATCCCAAGAGCTTGGCCCGAACCCGGAGAGGGCAGCCCTGAGTCCCGCTGCTCACGTGACTTTGGGCTTAGACTTCTGGTTCTGCTGCCTTTTGCATCCACATCAGGAGTAGGCTCTCTGGCTTTGGAGTAAACAGAAATCACATTTGATGTCCCACCTGGAGGAATACAATCAACTCAAAGTGGGGTATGAGAGCATGATTCCAGCCTCAGGCGGTTGGGAGGGGCAGACAGCAGAACCCTCCTCCCCGCCCACCTCTCCAGCCAGGGACTTATCTGCGAGAGCTGGCTGTGCCTGTTTCGCTCTTCTGTGCTCCGTGCATGGGTCCCAGCCCTTTGGGGGAAGTGGGTGAAGAGAGGGTATGGGAAGGGTGAGACAGCACAGCGATCTTGAACTTGAGCCCCTGCCCCGCCCCCTGCTCACCCAGACCAACATTGCTTCTATCTCCTTTCCATCAATCTGCCCATGAGGGGTCTCCCAGTGCTGAGGGTCCAGGAGAGGGAGGAGGAATTCCACCCAGTTAGCATCAGGGGAGCGGGGCTCAGGGCCTCGGGGAGGTGAGCTTGCACCCCCTGCACGTGCCAGCCCCAGCCAGGCGCGTCCTTGTGCTCAGGGGTGGCGGGCTGCTTCCCACGACCTACCCTAGTAACCCTGCTGAGCCCTGGAAGGTGAGACTTCTCACCAGAGGGCGCAGCGAGGGGCGGGGGTGGGGGGACATCTGATGCCGCTTCCCTCAGCGCTGCTAATTCATCCTGTGTCACTCCCTGTTGCTGGGATTGACTGAAGTGCACCGGCCCACCTGGGCCCGTGGATATAAACCCGAGCTCCATGTTTCCCCACCCAGAGAGAGGGACATGGGGCCAGCCGGGTGCCAGCTCAGAGCCCTGCTCTGGAAGAACTGGCTGTGCAGACTCAGGAACCCGGTGAGTGACGGCTGCCAGTTCCCGGGGTCCTCAGGGTGGGACATCAGAGTTGTTGGGGCCGCCCCCACCCCGCACGGAATGGGAGGCTGGGTCAGAGCAAGAGAGGACCTGCCCTCAGGGCCAAGGTGGCTGAACCACAGGACCAGTGGCACGGCATCTTGTCAGAAAAGGGCCGATTTAGAAAAACCGCACATGAAGGTGGGATTTCAGATGTGGTCAGTGTGTTGGGCATCTCATAAAAACTGAGATGTTGAGTCTGCTGGTTGAAGGGACCAGCTGTGGAATTAACACACGGGCGGCCAGTCCCGGGTGCCCACCCCAAAGCTGGAGGCTTCAGGGCAGGTCCCGGAGGTGGTGTGGTCCTGGGCTCAGAGTTCCTCTTACACGTCAGGTCCTTGGTGCTAATTCATCTCCTTTTGGAGCTCTGCCCAAGTGGCGAGCAAGGCTGGCTCTCCCGGGTGGACGGGGATGGCTCAGACCAGACACTGGCCAGCGCTGTGTGAGGACCCTGCTAGCCTGCATTCTGACCACGCAGAAGCCGACAGCTCACACGGAGATGGCCCAACCTGTGTTTCCAAGGCTGTGGCCTTGAGATGAACCCCTGAAAATGCCATTTTGAGCAAAAGTAGGTCTGCACAGTGTCTTTGCAGTTTCCAACTCAAGGCCCCCACTCATCACCCCGGGGCTGGTGCTGCCCTGTTCTTCTGTTTGAAGGAAGAACTGTGACTGACATTGAATTTCATTCAGCTGAATTCTCA